GAAAACAAAAACAGTGGGAGTTTTGCTATTCTAATTTAAGACAAAACAGACTTTAAACCAACAATGATAAAAAAAAATGACAAAGAAGGCCATTACATAATAATAAAGGTTCAATGCAACAAAAGATTTCCCTATCCTAAACATACATGCAGCCAACACTGGAGCATCCAGATTCATGAAACAAGTTTTTAGAGACCTACAAAGAGATGTAGGTAACAACACAATAATAGCAGGAGGCTTTAACACCCCACTGACAGTATTAGATCATTAAGGCAGGAAACTAACAAAGATATTCGAGACTTAAACTCAACACTTGGCCAAATGGACTTAACAGATATCTACAGAACAGTCCACCCAACAACAACAAAATATACATTCTTCTCATCTGTAACACAGCACATACTCTAGATTAACCACACACTTGGCCATAAACAATTCTCAATACATTAAAGAAAAGTGAAATTATACCAGCCAAACTCTCAGACCACAGCATAATAAAATATTTAATAACTAATAAAAGCAAAGATACAACATAACAGACTCTCTAGGACACAGCTAAAGTGGTGTTAAGAGTAAAGTTTATAGCACTAAAATCCCACATCAAAAAGTTAGAAAGATCTTAGATTCACAACTTAACCTCACACCTGGAGGAACTAGAAAAATTAGAGTAAACCAACCCCAAAGCTAACAAAAGAAAAGAAATAAACAAATTCAGTGCTGAACCAAATGAAGTTGAGATGTGAAAAAACATTCAAAGCATCAATAAAACCTAAAGTTGGGTCTTTGAGAGAATAAATAAGATTGATAGACTGCTATCTAGACTAATAAAGAATAAAAGAGAAAAGATGGAAATAAACACAATCTGAAATGACAAAGGGGACATTACCAGCAACCCCAAAGAAATACCAAAATCCTCAGAGACACCTGTATGCACACAAACTAGAAAATCTTAAAAATACCTTTGTGCACACAAACTAGAAAACTTAGAAGAAATTATAAATTCCTGGAAGCATAACATCTCCCAAGATTGAGCCAGGAAGAAATTGAATCCCTGAACAGACCAATAATGAGTTTTGAAATTGAATTTGTAATGAAAAGCCTACCAACCAGAAAAAGCACGGGACCAGAAGGATTCACAGACAAATTCCACCAGATGTATAAAGAAGAGCTGGTATCATTCCTATTGAAACTATTCCAAAAACTTGAAGAGGAGGGACTCTTTCCTTACTCATTCTATGAAGGCTGAATTATTCTTATACCAAAACCTGGCAGAGATACAACAAAAAAGGAGAAAACTTTAGGCCAATATCCTTGATGAACATAGATGCAAAAGTCCTCAACAGAATGCTAGAAAACAGAATCCAGTAGCACATCAAAAAACTAATTCATCACAATCAAGTAAGCTTTATCCCTAGGATGCAAGGTGAGTTCAGCATATGCAAATCAGTAAGTGTATTTTATTAGAGATTTTATCTCTGATTTCTTTCAGAGACAAAGAAATCAGAGACAACACAAACAAATGGAAAAACATTCCATGCTCATGGATAGGAAGAATCGATATTGTTAAAATGACCATAGTGCTCAAAGCAATTTACAGATTCTAGCTCTTCCTATCAAACTATCAACATTTTTCACAGAATTAGAAAAAACCTATTTTAAAATTCATATGGAACCAAAAAAAAAAAAGAAAAGAAAAAAAGAAAACAGCCTGAATAGCCAAATCAATCCTACGCAAAAAGAACAAAGCTAGAGGCATCACACTACCTGACTTTAAACTATACTACAAGGCAACAGCTACCAAAACAGTATGCTACTGGTACAAAAAGAGACATACAGATCAATAGAACAGGTTAGAGAACCTAGAAATAAAGCCACATACCTACAACCATTTGATCTTTGACAAAGTCAACAAAAACAAGCAACCAAGAAAGGACTCCCTATTCAATAAATGGTGCTGCAATAGCTGGCTAGGCATATGCAGAAGATTCAAACTGAATCCCTTCTTTTCATTGTATACAAAAATTAACTCAAGATCGATTAAAGACTTAAATGTAAAACCTAAAATTATAAAAATTCTAGATGAAAACCTAGGAAATGCCATTTTGGACATAGGCTCTGGCAAAGATTTTATGACAATGACTCCAAAAGCAATTGCAACAAAAACAAAAATTGACAAATGAGACCCAATTAAAGAAAAGAGCTTCTGCACATCAAAAGAAACTATCAGAGTAAACAAACTACAGAGTAGGAGAAAATATTTGCAAACTATGCCTCTGACAGTGTTCTAATACCCAGAATCTATAAGTAACTTAACAAGCAAAAAAAACCTCATTAAATAATGGGTGAAGGACATGAGCAGACACTTGTCAAAAGAAGACATATGTGCAGACAAAAAGCATATGAAATGCTCAGCACCACCTCTCATTAGAGAAATATAAATGAAAACCACAATGAGATACCATATTATACCAGTCAAAATGGCTGTTATTAAAAAGTAGATGCTGGTAAGGTTGTGAAGAAAGGAATGCTTATCTACTGCTGGTGGGAATGTAAATTAGCTCAGCCACTATGGAAAGCAGTTTGGAGATTTCTCAAAGAATTTAAAACAGAGCTACCATTCGACCCAGCAATACTGGGTATATACCCAAGGAATATAAAATGTTCTACCGTAAAGACACATGCACACATACGTCCATCACAGCACTATTCACGATAGAAAGACATGGAAGCAGCCTAAATACCCGTCAATGGTGGACTGAATAAAGAAAATGTGGTACACAGACACCATGAAATACTATGTAGCCATAAAAAAAAGAATGAGACCATGTCCTTTGCAGCAACATGGATGGAGTTGGAGGCCATTGTTCTAAATGAATTAACACAGAAACAGAAAACCAAATACTGTATGTTCTCGTTTGTAAGTGGGAGCTGAACATTTCAGTACATGTGAACACAAGGGAACAAGAGACACTGGGGCCTACTTGAGAGTGGAAAGTGGGAGGAGGGTGAGGATCAAAAAACTTATCAGGCACTAGGCTTATTACATGAGTGATGAAATAATCTTTACAACAAACCCATGTGACATGCAATTTTCCCATGTAATAAACCTGCACTTGTACTCCCTGAATGTAAAATAAAAGTTGGAAAGAAAAAATATATATATGTGTATATATAAAACATATCTTTCTCCCTGGCTGAGTTCTGAGCCAATTGAGGGATAGCTAAAGAACCCATTTCATATGGAGTTCTAAAATTTTTGAAAATTAAAGCTGTGTGTACTGGCTAGACTTGCTTAGTTCAAAGTCTTAAAGAAGTTGGTCCTGATCCTAAGATGTACTCCATGTTTGCACACGCTAGTCAAAGCTGGGATTAATACTCTCAACTTTGGATCCATGTCAAAAAATTCAACTATAATTTCATCTAGAGCCTTGGTTTTTCCAAGTAGATTTTTGGTCCCCAGGTGCCACTTGAATATTTTCTCAAGTTTTTCCAGCCCATGTACCCTGTGTTGAAGAATAGAGGGATTCTAAGCACTTATTTCTAAAAGACAAGGAGGACAATAAAGCTCTTAAAGATATGCTGTAAAACGGCCACAGAGTTCCTCAAACAATACCTTATATCGTAGGTTTTCGTGACTCCTAAAAGTCTGTAAGCCCAAGAAGACAAGGCTGTATCTTTTTCTTGGTTAATCATGATGGATGTGTTGTGAAGATTTTTAAACTAGCTTTATTGTGGTTTAATTGACATATATACATATGTAAAGATTTTTCATGTAAAGATTATTTCATCACCCATGTAATAATACATGCTCCATATGTATACATTTGAAGCATATATCTTGATAAGTTTTGATGTGTGTATACCAATAAAATCATGACCACGATCAGATAATGAACATATCCATCAGCCTCATAAGGCTTACTTTTGCCCATTATAATCTCTCCATCTTGCTCCTCCTTTCGTCCATTCCCAGCCCCCATCCTGTCCCCAGGCAATCTCTTATCAGTCACTGTACATTAGTTTGCATTGTGTAGAATTTTATATAAATGAAATCATACTGTTACATATATGCCTTTTGTTTGATTTCTTTTACTCAGCATAATTATTCTGTGATTCATCTGTGTTATGATGGGAATAAGTCATTTATTCCTTTTTTTGTGGAATAATATTGTATGGACATAGCACAGTTTATTTATATATTCCCATGTTGCTGGGCACTTACTTTGTTTCCAGTTTCTAGCTATTACAGATAAAGCTCTTATGAACATTCATGTACAAGTGTTTGTATAAGCATTTTAGTTTTGGTGTATATCTAGGCGTGGAGTGGCTGGATTATGTGAGAGGAATATATTTAATTATTTACAAAACTGCCAAAATGTACTATTTTACATTTCTAGCAGCAGTGTATGAGAGTATCAGTTACTCCATAACCAAGCCAGCTCTTCGTATAGTCAGATTTTTCCATTTTAGCCATTGTAATAGGTATGCAGGGGTTTCTCACTGTGGTTTTAATTTACATTCTCTAATGATTCACATAAAAAAATGTTGACCATCTTTTCATGTGTTTATTTGATCTGACACTTTTTTGGTAAAGGGTCAGTTCAAATCTTGGTCCATTTGAAAATTATTTTCTTATTGAGTTTGGAGGGTTCTTTGTTTATTCTGGATATAAGTCCTCATCAAATATATGATTTACACATGTTTTCTCCTAGCCTGTGGCTTGCCTTTTCTTCTTGTAACATATCTTTTGAAGTGCTGAAATTTGTAACTCTGACAAAGCTTTATTTATTAAATTTGTTGTTTTATGGATCATGCTTTTGATGTTGTGTCTAGGAAATCTTTGCCAAATCTAAGGTCACAAGGGTTTTTTTTTGTGTTTGCTTCTAAAAGTTATCTAGCTTTAGGCCTATGACCCATTTTGAATTAGTTTTTTAATATTTTATGAAGTTTATTTTTTGTAGTATATTAATAACCATCACCCTTTGTTGAAAAGACTGTATTCTGTCTATTGAATTGCCTTTGCACGTTGTTGAAAATCAGTTGCTCCTATATATTGGGTCTGTTTCTGGACTCTCAGCTCTGACTCACCCACTTAGGGGCTTGCTGCATCCTGCTGGGGTTCCCCCTGTCTGCACCATGGTCTGAAAACCCTCCTAAAAGCCATAAGCTGAAATAGTCATGATATTCACTGTGTTTGTTTTCCATCTCTTAGGAATCTATATTTTTTGTTGCCTGACGTCAAGTTTCTTGAAAATCATGATTTCTTATACTTTGTCCATTTGTTTGTGTATTTGAGGAAGGAGAATAAATCTGTCTTGGCTGGGAACAGAAGTGTCCCCTATTTTCTTAGTGCAAAGATTGTGGAATGAAAAAATGGGAACAATAACGCCAGCTGGTAAATTTTTATATAAGTCTAGGCAAGAAATTATGACAATAATGATGTAGGACTATAGAAGAAAGGATTCAACAAGTGCTTGGGAGGTTAGTCAGTGGAATCTGATGACAGATTAGTTGTGGGAAGTCAAAGAGTAGAAAACTACAGTGATACACAAGTTTCTGGCTGAGCAAAACTGGACATAGAGTGGTGGTGTTAACATGTATAGGAAGGTGCAGATTGGGAGAAAATAGTTGTTGAGTCTTTCTTGGACATGCTGAGTTTTAGGTATCTTGGGTATTTAATTATAGAGCTCTAATGCTAAGAGGAATGTCCAGGGTAGAGTTACAGATTTAGGAGTCAACAACACACAGGTGGCCCTTAGAGCCATGAGGATGAATACTGTGTCCCAGGCTGAACAACAGGACGAGTGAAAAGATAACAGGAATACTACAACTGGAATCCTATGGAACAGCCACATTGAAGGCCCTTAGTCTAGCTCAGCTCAGACGCACCTTGTTCTAGCTCACAGTGTTAGAGAGATAGCAAAAGAGAGAATTATATTCCTGAAGTTAGGGAAGGGCACACTTTCAAGAGAAAAGTAGTGTCAGGTGTTAAATGCAGTAGAAAAATCAAAGGCAGTGAGGAAAAAAAAATCTGTTTGATTTGGTAATTAAGGGGGTTTTATTAACTTTGAAGAGTGGTTTTAGGATGGTAATTGAGTCATTTTGAGGTTATTTTATTTATTCATAATATTAACATACATATGTTTCATTAACTAGCTTAACCCTAGATATCAGATTTGAGTTCAGGTCTTCCATTAAACAATATAGATGAGAGGCCAGGTATAGAGAGAGTTAGTATCATAATTTTGCCAAAAATGTCTAAGTACACTATGATTATAAAAGAAAATATGGGCCAAATACGATGTTTTGGAAAAAACAATCATTTTCAGCTAGGTACAGGGCTACAAGGTCAGAGTTATTAAATTAGGCTTAGCTCAAATTTTGACTGCACAAACCTAGAGGGTATCATTCAAAGAATCTATGTGAATGGTATGCCCTATGGTTGTACACTATATAACCATATGCAGCCTACCGAGCTTAGCTGATACCACCTGATGTTTCTTTAAGTGATAGACATATCTCATCATTTAGCCCTGCAAAGTTAAAGCCCCAGCAGCAGACTTGTCTTTCTGACTACTGTAATTCATAGAAACATAACTTAGTAATGGAGCACATTTTCAGAAAATGAGTTTTAATATTTTTAATCCTATACTCTAATGTCAATTTTTGATCACTTTGAATTTATAAACAACAAATTGAATTTGTAAACAACACATCAGAAAAAGTGAAGAGGATATTAATTAACTAACGCTTTAAATTATAAGAGCTCAAAATAACACTAGTAGCTATGTCAACTGCGCTAATGTTTTGAGGAATAACAAACTGCCATTGCTATTTGGGAACTTTTATGAGATACCTAATGAAGCAGTATAACTTGAAAGGCAGTAGATTTATTAAGGGATCAGTGACAAAGAAAATAGAATTGGATCTATGTTGCTGTTATGAGAATTGCTCCTGATGCCTGAAAACAGTTATATGTCCCCATTATGTTTTTCTCTCTTTTTCTTGAGAATTCTACTTTAAAATTAAAATTTGTAACTCTCCTAGTGTCTGTATAAGTCAAACTGCTATTAGCAATGGTTTTAATTCAGGTCACTCTATTTTGTAGTAGTAAAAAATAATTTAAATTTCTATTGGACTACAGGTAATCTTCGAGCCCTTGCAAATATATATATATATTTAAAAAAACCTTTTCGAAGTTGGCATATAAAGTATTTTTCAAGGGAAAATGTTTCTTAACCATATAGTAGTATTTGAGAAATTAACAATTTTGATAATCAACATTCTCCATAATTTTAAAATTTATTTTAGGAGGTTAAATCCCATGAATTTTGCTTAAAAATACACATCCCCGCAGTGAAAACATAGTAAGAAGTCAAAATGTACAGACCGTAGTATTTAAGTACTTTCTGTTCCTGTAAACAAGACAAAACGAACATGATCAGTTGGAGGTCCAGGACTGTGAGACTCAGAATAAAGAGGAGACATGAAATGTTCATTTCAGAAGTTGGCAGTGGTCATTTGTGATTAGTCTAAAACTGTGAAAATCCCAGAAAACAAACAAAAAACAACAAATGGGTTTTAAAGTCATATGGAATTGTAAAGTCACTAATTGTTTTTTTGGTGATTGTTTTCACCAAAATTAAGTGAATGATTACATCTTCTCTGTGCACTAGACTCTTGATGAGTCCCTAAGGGGCTTAGGAGACAGAAGTGAATTATGGCTGTAATGGCAGAATAGCTGGCAGAGCTGCCATAGTAACAAGGAGCCTTAGGAGCAGACTCTCCAGGGGAGAAAACAGTCCTGCAAAGTGACGTGACTTTCCTGAAACTACCTAAAGAGAGGGGAGTGGATGTGTGGTTTCTCATGTTCTTCAAACAGAGCTTTATGTTGAGGCTTCTGTAAAGATGCCAACTACAAGACTTTTTAATTGTTGCGTTTCAATTGTGTAACACAAAATTGAAGTGATCTTCAACACTGCTAACTGAAGGTGGTATTTCGTATTGGAAAGTCTATTTATTATACTTGATATGCTTGCTAATGCTCTCTCTCTTTTCTCATTTTGCTTCGTTCCTTTGGCTCAGTAGAATTGATGGTATCAACCAAAACTTTAAATGTAAGTGAGTCTTTTTGGACTGAAGGGGTCCTTGGATGGATGGAAAAGGATTTAGTCCTGTTATTCTTTGTTGTTTTTATTTTATTTGCTATGAAGTTTATTTCCATTACCAGAAAGGGCTTAATTGCGTTCAGTCTGAGTGTTTACATAAATGAAGTTGGTGGGTTTGATACAGTACAGTTCCTCTTTTAAGAACATCTGTGAAAGTAGGAATCTGCTTATTGAAATGGTAAACCTGTGAACTGATTTTATTGTTATGTTCTCCAATTTAGCTGAAATTGTATATGTTAATGGCTTCTACACGTATATGAAATGACAAATCATTATGCCCTCACCAACTAGCCAGGCTTTTAATTTGCAAGGATTGAAAATAATATTTAGTGGACATTGCTGATGAATTAAACTTCTTATACTGGCACACGTGATTTCTCTGGGATTTAACTAGTCCAGACTGTTCAGTCTGTCATTTGGTTTTTCAGCCCCTGAATTCTGCAATGGGTTTGCATTTAATTAGGCTTTAGGAGACCTTGAAAGGAAAGCATGACTTTCTCACTTTTTGGTCACGACTAGTAGTTGCATAAAACTTCATTTTATGCAACAAATTGCTGTGCCAATTTTAGGATCCTGAAGAAAACTGAAACTGCTGAAAAAAAATAGGCTTTGTTTTAATGTTTTCATTTTCTACTCCCTCATGTTTTTTTACTTCAAAATATTATCCAAGCTTTAGTGTATATGTAGTTTTATACATAGATGAGTTCACCAAAAAAAAGTTATACCAAAGACATTCCATAATCCATCAATCTCTTTCTTTAAAACTAAAGCAATGACAACATGTAACATAAATATGTATCTTCAGAATCCTTTCATTGTTCTTCTGACACTTTACTAAGCCTTAGAGAGGTTATTAACTTGCCCACAGTGGTGTAAGCAATAAGCATTATAGCCTGTTTCTCTTTTCAGGGCCCATCCTTTTAATCATTGGCCATTACTCCAACTGAAAAATCTTTAATTTTTGATTAAAGCAAATTCCCATGGTACTCTCTAAAAGGTGATATTTTTGTAAATCTTCAGACTGGCCTCTGAGTGTATTTGAAGAAAGGAATTTTCATTCATTTATAAATACTTTGCTATTTAGACTATTACCACTGATTGGCCTTCTCTCAATTTTAGAGGGCTAAATGTACTTTAAACAAACCTTTCTACAAATGGAGTGAAGTCTATAATGGTTTCTTTTGCTGCTCACAGATGTTGATGAATGCACATCAAATCCCTGCACTAATGGAGATTGTGTTAACACACCTGGTTCCTATTATTGTAAATGTCATGCTGGATTCCAGAGGACTCCTACCAAGCAAGCATGCATTGGTAAGGCAGTTTGCTTTCACATATGAAAATGTTCCATGAAATATAGTGACCAAGGCTGTTGAGGTTAAAAGCAAATTTATTAAAACATGGAATAAAATAAATGTTGTTACATTATTACAGATTTATTTATAGTACCCTCAGAGATTCTCCTTTTAAACATAAACACTGTTTGCATATGTAACCCAGGCAACATGGTATCTGGCTTCACAAAAATTCAGTTTATCTTCTTTCCTTAGATCAGAGCTTCCTTTCTCCAAATAACATCAGTAACCTTCTCTGATTAACTGAGTTTAAGATTTATAGTCATTTTCAACTACTGTTTTCTTTGAATCCCACACATAGTCCAACACCAAGTCATGCCTGGTCTTTATTCATAGCTTCAGTGCTACACCCACCACCCTGGTCCAAACGCGCTACCTCATTGCTGATTCAGCTCAGAATTCTTTTACCAGATGACTGCCTGTCTTCTTTTTCATTTCCTATTCATCCACAGGTAGTTGCTTGAATCAAATTCCCAGCAGTTTTCATTGTATTACTCTTAATCTAGAAATTCTGTAGTTACTTTACACTTATCCAACATCGTGTTCTGACTTTTAAGGCCTTCATCCACTATGTCAAAAACGGCCGCAACCAGTAATTCCAGCTGTCCTGCCCACCCTTTCATAGGCTTACTGGAGACCCTCTTTTTTTTTTTTTTTTTCCCCTTTCTCTCTTCAGCTACTATAAGAGCTGTAAAATTGCTTGCACCTACCTATCCAAAAAAATTTAAAGAAAAACAAAAACTGCTGAGAGACAGAAATTTTGCTAAAGAAACAACATGATTTTGAATATTTAAAATTCCATTTCTTATCTTACTGTGTTTATCTGTAAGTATTGTAAAAGAATAATGTTTGGCCATTCTCAATCTTCCTAGATATTGATGAGTGCATCCAGAATGGGGTTCTTTGTAAAAACGGTCGGTGCGTGAACACAGATGGAAGTTTCCAGTGCATTTGCAATGCCGGCTTTGAATTAACTACAGATGGAAAAAACTGTGTTGGTATGGAAATTGCCTGCTCCCTTGCAAAAGATTTTAAAAGGATATACATTTTTATTTAGAACCATATACTATTTCCATGAAAGCTCACACACCACGTATGTGAGATCTTCAGGTAACTTAGGTAAAATGTAAATGCATTTAATATAAGACTGTTAAAGCAAAAGGACAGGTTTTTGTTGTTGTTGTTGGGGGCACAGGGTCGGGAGAGAAATGTTATAACAATGAATAATTTACTGCTTCTGAAAATTTCCTGTGTGTTACATGTTAAATTGTAAGTAACAGTTGTTCTTCATAAGTTTAGACGATTACTAGTCCCTACTCTATTTCAGGTATTGGGGTTACAACACTGACAAAATAGAAAAGGTCTTCCCATCCTCCACTAACTAGAGGAATATAAAAATGCTTGACATATGCAGTACACAAATCTCTAAAATTGTGGCCTGTGATGTCTAGCAGTGCAATGGATACCAGTACACTACAGAAATATTGTTTACAAAGCAACACATCATATTCATCTACTAATGAAAGTCCAAATCATTCCATTTGCAGTGAGGTCTGCCATTGCCTTATTTTCTTATAAAATAAACACTAAATTATATTATCTTTTTGGTATACAAAGTAACACACTACTCATGGTTTTTGTGGTTTTAACAGGAACTAAGCACAAAATTTATTTAATTCTTTTTCTTTATATCCGTATACTAAAGGTCCTTTCCACTCTCCACACTATTTTCTCTCATTCAGTTGGCGTTCTTTTTTTTACAAAAACTAAAAACCATGAGCACATGGCTCATTTATGTAGTGGAATTTGACTGGGGGTTGTTTGTGGAAGAAGAAGGAATTAGTTCCCTCAAGGCCAGTGTTCAAAGTCACTCTCTCCTCTTCCGCAGATCATGATGAATGTACAACTACCAACATGTGTTTGAATGGAATGTGCATCAATGAAGATGGCAGCTTCAAGTGCATCTGCAAACCAGGATTTGTCTTGGCTCCAAATGGACGTTACTGTACTGGTATGTGTGGCTTTCAGATAGGAAAGTGACCATGATTGAAACCACCTTTTTTATTTGAATGAACCATGGAAGAATTACTTCAGCTTCCTCGTGTGGCTTTCATATTATTCACATTTCTTGCTAATTCAATAAGGCAGGTGTCTAAAGCTTTCTAGAAAAACATACATTGTGGTCTAGGGAACAGTAATATCTTAACAAAAATAATAATGGTATAGGAAAAATTAAGGGACTGACAGATTGGTTTTAGCAAGTCTTGTGGAAAACAATGTAGAAATAATTTCTCTCAACTGCTTGGCTGAATAAAAAAGAAGAAGAAAAAATCTTGAAAGGTTTTTGTTTTGTATGCATTCTCAGAAGTAGATTTTCCACTGTCATTCATTATGGGTTTAGTATTACATCTTTTCCATAAAGCTAATATACAGATCATTTGTAACTGTATCATTATCTAAAAATCTTACATTGATTTAGTGAAGACATCTTAATATTGCAATTAATTATTTTGTTTATGAAGCCATTTTGAAGACCAACCTCTAGTGATAACCTTAATAAGCTAAAGATGTGCCTCTTGGAAATAAATGAGACCTTATTATGTTTGTACTCACAACTGGAATTTAATAAAATGGAATACATTTTGCAGCTTCTACTTAGAAGCAAATTTTTCTTTTTCTTTTTTAAATTTATTTATTTTTGAGACAGGCTTTTGCTCTGTCACCTAGGCTGGAGTGTAGTGGCACAATCTCAGCTCACTGCACCTTTGACTCCTGGGCTCAAGCATCCTCCCACGTCAGCCTTCCAGGTAGCTGAGACTACAGGCACGTGTTCCCCTGCCCAGCTAATTTTGTTTTATTTTTTGTAGAAATGAGGTCTCACTATGTTGCTCAGGCTGGTCTGAAACTCATGGGCTCAAGAAATCCTCCTGCCTCAGCCTCCCAAAGTTCTGGGATTACAGGCATGAGCCATCGCACCTGGCCAAATTTTTGTTTTTCTTTGTTTCCTTCTTTAAAACAAAATTAACTCCATAAATGATGTTTTGCCTTCAATTGCACAAACTTAATCTAAGTACCAGATAAGGATCATGCTCAATTCCTATAATTTCAATGAATTACAATGAAATTCTAGGGACAGTAGAAATTTAAAAATTGAGACTGGATTCTTATGTTTCTGAATAACAAATAGATTTTTGACTGTCCAAGGAGGAGCAGTACTGTAGTTCTGATGGTTGAACTCATGACTGGGATGTCATCTCAGGGTTAGCTGATTTGGATTTAACACAAGATAGAAAATTGCCATTACGCTGCAGTGTGTAGAATTATGTTACAGTATGTGACTTTATTTCAGCCTTTTTAAAGAAACTTCAGTATACATCTAAAGATGAGTTTGACCTCACCAGTTTCTGCTTTCTGGAAATTAGTTCTTATTAATTATTTAATTACAAATGTTGTGAAGATTTTCAGTATTCCTGAGTTGGCAGCTCTGTGTTTGAAGTCTCCTTCATCTTTTGGGGAAGTCATTTAATGCTGGGTTACATTTGATAAATTCAAGCGGATTGAAAATTAAAAGACATACCTCAAGTTATTTTGTTATTGTGAAATGATCAAATGAATATCAGCATAGGATCTACTTATAGTTAAAGTGTCTGTGTGTGAAAAAAATTACAGAAATTTACCTTAATTTTTAAAGAATTTGTTTTACTTAACTAATTTTTTTTTTTTAACATTAAATGGGATCACCAAATAAATAATGAAAAAGAAGATTGTGAGGCTTTTTTTTCCTCAATGGGTAAAGTAAAGCAACTTTTACTGTCTTTCTGAAATGTGTTGAAAGGATTGCATTTGTATATAATATCTGTTACCACACTTATTTGTTCTTCACAAATTATAAAGTTATAAACAAAAGGTTGGTAGTATTGAGCAGTGGCAGCAAGTAAACCCTGTAATAAAGTTATATTTACCCAGTAACTACTTGACTTCTGTCACCCACTGTGCAGATGTTGATGAATGCCAGACCCCAGGAATCTGTATGAATGGGCACTGCATCAACAATGAAGGGTCCTTCCGCTGTGACTGTCCCCCAGGCCTGGCTGTGGGCATGGATGGACGTGTGTGTGTTGGTAAGTGAAACATTTTACAATGGCCCCACTGTGCAAAATGATCTTTGAAAAGCCGACAGAGATATTTCTATACAATGGAATAATATTCACTATAAAAAGAGTACATACTAAAACATGGATAAACCTTGGAAAGATTACGCTAAGTGAAAGAAGCCAGTCACAAAACACCATACTGTATATGATTCCATCCATGTGAAATCTCCAGAATCGGCAAGTCTGTTGAGACAAAGTAGATTCGTGTTAGGACAGAGAGGATGGGGGTGGTGGGAGAATGGGGTGGGAGCTAAAAGATATTTTTGAGGTGATTAAAATGTTCTAAAATCACCTGTAGTGATGGATAAACACATCAGTAAATATGCTAAAAACTATTAAATCGTACACTTTAAAGTGATGTATTCTATGATATGTAAATTATATATTAACAAAACTATTTTTTTAATGGGCAGGAACCCCCAAATAAAAAAATTCAGAACCTTCAGAAGTCTCTGATGACATGCAAGTCAAAAATGCTGGAGAAGAAAAAAATATATTTTTAAACCAGCATACTTGATAGTATTAGATAACTGAATCCTAAACACAGTGCATTTCAGTTTTATAATTAATAACAAATAAGATATGTAATGGGAATTATAGTTATAGATAAGTAAACTCTTGGTTTTGCCCTAACAAAACTTAAAATATAAATATTGGACTTACATCAAAAGCTCGAAATGTTTTTAGTTACTCCTCATCACCATGCAACTAGCTGCAGAAGCAAGAGAATAAAAAGTATGAGCAAGAATATATATTTTATTCTAAGCCTTTCAGATTCCTCCAGGATACTTTTGTCAAATTGATCCCATGAAAATCAGTCAGAAGTACCAGGCCCAGCTTTGAAGAGGCAGGCAAAACAGAAGTGTCACTGGTGTTTGGGAACCCGAACAATATATCCCAATGATAAGGATAGCAGAATGAGTGGTAAAAATACATTTAATGCAGTTTTCTCTCCAAAAATGCTTTCATGAGGCTTCTAGGGTGAATTAGCCATTGTATACCCTCCATTTTTCATGTTGTACAGTAAAACATAGAAATAGGATTTCAAAGTATATTTGAGAGATACAACATTCTTAGACATAGTTAATACTTTACTCCTACAGATGAGAATCAAAACATTTGGATCCCAAAGGTGGAGGAGAAACAGGAGAGAATTCGCAGATGGAAATAATCTGTTCACTCAAATTTATCCACTCTATCCAGTCAAAGACTTATTTCACCCTACAAAGTGTCAGCACTTTTTTCAGGGATATTTCAAATACAGCAACTGGAAGAATATAGCTTTTTCCTGTGTACAGAGCTAAAATATTTTCAGTTGCTTTAATATATTTACTTGCTTTTTTCCTTTACCTAAATGATTCTGTTGAGATCTACCGTGAGTACAAAGCCAGTTTTGGAGGGAGAAATTATTTTTCTCTTAAGTAACCAACATGTGATTTGTTGCTAGGAATTCAGTAAAACATAAAATTTCATTCTCTTGTTCACATCCAGGAAACACATTGGAAATTGTCATAAAGCCTCCTCCAGTTTTTCATCATTGTGGTCATTTAAACTTTTTAAAATAAAAACATTATTTGTCATGTGTATAAAATTATATATTGTTTCTATAATGTGCTAGATGTTTTCTTCACATCTTTTGACTTGATGTCACTTTTTAGACCTATTGATTCTTTAAGTTTGAGATGAGGCCTGGCGCAGTGGCTCATGCCTGTAATCTCAACACTTCGGGATTCCATGGTGGGCAGATCACTGGAGCCCAGGAGTTCAAGACCAGTCTGGGCATCATGGTAAAACCATATCTCTGCAAAAAGTACAAAAATTCACCAGGTGTGGTGGTGCGTGCCTATAATCCCAGCACTTTGGGATTCCGAGGTGGGCAGATTGCTTGAGCTCAGGAGTTCAAAACCAGTCTGGGCTTCATGGTGAAATCTTATGTCTGCAAAAAATACAAAAATTAGCCTGGCATGGTGGCACATGCGTGTAATTCCAGCTACTTGGGAGGCTGAGGCAGGAGAATTGCCTGAGCCCTGGAGGTGGAGGTTACAGTGAGCTATGATTGTGCCACTGCACTCCAGCCTAGATGACAGAGTGAGACCCTGTCTCAAAAAAAAAAAAAAGAAAAAGAAAAAATAAATGAATCACTGTTATGAAAAAATATTAGGATAAGCATTTTAATTTTAAATCTCTTTTTTGTTTGTTCATTTTTCTTCTGTAGATATTAAAGATGTGTTTGGTTTTTGTTTTTTTTTTTTCAGTTTCAGGTAATTAGGCTACAATTTTAACTAGTATGTTGAAATACAACTCACCAGCAAGTTTATAAACAAAAGACAATCATATCTTTATCTTTCCCATTCATTCAAAATTTATTTTTAAGTTTATTCAATGATGCAGTTTAGTAAATAAGGAAGAAAACTCAGGCCACATGATAACTACTGAATATTCTTAAGTGACAAAAAAATTGTAAGATGACAGCAAGATACAGGACCTCTCTGTTCCTCCTTTCCTCTTTTGTTGTTTTGAGAATTAAATAAAGCTTTGAATGGTGTGTAGCACATAATGAATGCCCACTAAGTTAACTACTATTGATATTATTGTTATTAAATTAGAATAGTGGCACCATGTCTAGGTCATAGTCTTAAGAGTTGCTGCTTTAAGTTATAAATAAAAGTTGATATTAAAGAAAGAAGAATAAAATAAAGTTAGCATTTTGCATCCATACATATTTTACTCATGGTATGCAGAAGCTGCTAATTACCTGAGGAAATTTTAAATCTTTCCATTTTTTAAGAAAGAAAAGGCGCTGGGTATGGTGGCTCACACCTGTAATCCCAACACTTTGGGAGACCGAGGCAGGCGGATCACCTGAGGTCAGGAATTTGAGACCAGCATGGTCAACATGGCTAAACCCCGTCTGTACTAAAAATACAAAATTAGCCGGTCGTGGGGTGTGCACCTGTAATCCCAGCTACTTGGGAGGCTGAGGCAGGAGAATCACTTGAACCCAGGAGGTGGAGGTTGTAGTGAGTCAAGATCATGCTAGTCAAGATCACTCCAGCCTGAGTGACAGAGCAAGACTCTGTCAAAAAAAAAAAAAAAGAAAAGAAAGAAAGATAAAGAAAAGGAAGGGAGGGAGGGAGGGAGGGAGAAAGGAAGGGCATGTGGAAATCTGCTAACATATGGAAAAGGTGCATTTAGGTCCAGTCTGTCGCCAGAGCATTCGTGTGAGCATATTCTGATGGTGCTACTGGTATTGTTCCTCTTATCCTATCCTGTGTACAGTGGTTCAGTTACATTTGAATAGTATACTATGAGCTAGGTTGCCAGTTTGGGGTCTTTGAACGGGAAAAGGTCAGTAGGGAGATAGTGAGTTATCTCAATTGATTGTTCACAGTATCAGTTACGGATAGAACTCCTTGTTCTACTTTTCCTCCCTTCTCACTGCTGCAATTTACTAGTCTTAGAAAAAAAATAAAAGAGAGAAATAAGGTGGTCACCACTTTTTTTTAAGTACTTCAGGGGTGTCCTAGGCACTGTGCTTAGTGCGTAACAAATACACTTTCATTTACTATGCAAACTGTATCCTTATTTAATGAATAAGGAAGATGTTAAGTAATTTATGTAAGATCATCTTGTGGGGATCTGAACTTTGGGAAGTTTATGTCCCTGAAACCCACGCATAAGTTATGCTACTTTCTTTGTCATGAAACTTCTGGTGTTGGGCACTCTAAAGAGATTAGTTCACCTGTAATGCAAACCACCATATATAACATGTCTCACTCTTCCAGTGAGCTCCATGGGCCTTTTATCTGCTTGCTTCTAAAAATTCTGCATGGCATATGCTCTAAACCCAAAAGCAGAAATAACTTTGGCTGTTCATGAATGCCTTCCAAGATCATCAGTAATGCCCAAAGAACTCACAAAAATCATAATGGAAATCATGAACCATGTTGTATTTGTGCAAATTTGCCTTCAAGTGAAATCTGTGCTTGTGTGTATCTCAGAGGATACACTGCCAAACTCAGCCACAGCAGAGGCAGCACAGGGTTCTCTTGAGTTGACTCCTTAGGGATGGGGTTGGTGAATCCCATGGCCTCCTTCCATTTAAGCACACACGTATCTCATTTTTAATGCAGCCATAAATCACTGTGTTAATCAAAAATGCCCCCAGGTCATAAGAAATTACTGGATGACCATTTTGCATAACAAGCAGATAAAAATTTTTTCCAACAAGTTGTGAATAGTTACAGGTATTTATAATAGAGGTGATCTCTGGTAAAATTGCCAGGTCAGTATACTGCTTAAAAATTGTACTGGTTCTTTGCCCTTTATGATCTGAGTTTTTTATAGTTCACCGTTTACTGTCTCATAAAGTTGTAGGATATTTTATGAGAATTAAGAGAGAACTAAGCAGAATATGCTTCTTTGGGGTATAGCATTACTTACTACAAAGAGGAAGAGTTTTGGAAGTCACATAAACCTTGTCTGAACCCCAGCTCAGGCACTGGATATTCAAGGACTTCAAACTACATAGGTAGCTGTGAACCTCGTCTTCCTCATCTATAAAGTGTATGTAATGACCACTCCTATAGAGCTATTGACCTGACTGTTCAATGAGATAATGTCTGTAAAGCAATGAGCACAATGCCAAGAGCACATATGGTAGTTAACTATTTTTATAACTGGATTTACTGAGTTTCTGAGGTTAAAACAGTCACAAGCAGTATCCTGGGGGTTGAAAAGAAAGGCCTCCTAACTCGGAAAGTGGGAGTAAGAAATCTCATGCCCAAGCAGTATCACCTTAAGGTAGATTAACTTCATTGCACTTCATCGTTCATGAGAACTTCCAAAATTGAAATAAGAAGTGTCATTTTGAATATAGCATAGGCAGTGATTAGAGCTCCAAGTATTCTTTATAATTGTGGAAATGTCCTAGGTTCCATGAAAGGTTTGTAAGGATACGTTGGACAATGGATACTGTGTAGCTCATAAAACTTACTAAAGAAAACAAACTAGAGTCGGTGATATGCATCCGTTCTTTTCCTCACTCAGAAAACATTTGTTGATTTTGTAACACTATTAGATGCCAAAGATGCACAATAAAAGTCTCAGATGCCCTTGAAAAGCTTCCAATCTAGTGGCCACTTAGGTTAAGAGAAGCCTTCTGTTTCGAAATCTCTTTGTCTCTATCACTGCCTCAAGTCATTGTTTTTGTATATTCTTTAGATACTCACATGCGCAGTACCTGCTATGGAGGAATCAAGAAAGGAGTATGTGTGCGTCCTTTCCCTGGTGCAGTGACCAAGTCCGAATGCTGCTGTGCCAATCCGGACTATGGTTTTGGAGAACCCTGCCAGCCATGCCCTGCAAAAAATTCAGGTAGTCATATGTGCCATTTTCAGAGTTGATAAAGAATCAAGAAATGCAACCTTAGATGTTTGGCCAAAGAGAACATCAGCTCTTAAGTGTTTCATCATTAATTTTAACTGAAGAAAAGAAAGCCAATCCTGTATTGATATGTGAGGCATAAAAAAAAGAGATTTGGCTTGTGTTTATGTATGATTTCTAGGCCGACAGAACACAGTGAATAAAAAAATCTATTTGCTGGCTGAGTGTGGAGGCTCACGCCTGTAATCCCAGCACTTTGGGAGGCTGAGGTGCGGGGCATCACTTGAGCCCAAGGGTTTGAGGCTGCAGTGAGCCATCATTGTGCGACTCCACTCCAGCCTGGGTAACAGAGTGAGATGCTGACTCTTTAAAAAAACAAACAAAAATCTATTTACTTATATATTTGTGATTATTATAAGAGGTTTTTTTTTACTTGAACATGATAGCCTCAGTTTCCTTGATCTGTGCTGTCATAGTGAAGACAAATAGCATAAAATTTACTTACCACTTTCAAGGTTATAAACACAACAAGAACTCAATTTGATTTTATATAGATATGTGTGTGTGTGTGTATATATATATAAAGATCTCTCTATATATGTATATCTTGACACCAAGTGGTCTCAAGTCACAGTCTCAGACAATAATTCCAAACTCTTAGGTCAATAAGATTGACTCTTGTCTATTCATATTTTAACTAAACCCGTATTGAATGTATATTGAATATATTTGAGTACAGTAGGGATTCTAACATAAACACAGTCTGTGTTTTTCCTTAAAATTTTGAGTAGTTGAGAATACAGGCAGGCAAATGTATAAATTACGATTTAGTGTAATTAGCACCTTAAAAGGTTCATAAACAAGTTTGGAGAGAGCACAGAGGAAGGAGCAATTAGTAGCCCAAGGAAGCTGGGAAAGACCTCACAGAAGGGGCACGTTTAGTTTGGTCTTGAAAAAAATGAGTAAGAACTTTCCATGTGGAGGGTACAGGAAAGCATTCCTGCAAAGGAAATGTCTTGTAATTCTCCTAAACATCCCAAATGGAGTCTTCATACATGGAAATAATGATTTGATGCATCTGGAAGAATTACTGAGTGTGACCTTTTTTTTTTTTTAAAGAAAGATAGTGAGGAGAACCTAGCTCTAAAATGTACCAAACTGAATTATGCATATTATCAAAGAAGTTCAAAAATTGGTATAAGACTAGACAAAAAGCTAAGTGAACTAATGAAATGAATCTAGAAACCTGAGTATGAATATGAATTAGGATATAACAAAGCATTTTGGAGCAGCAAGGAAAAAGATTAAATAATAACTATCGTTGATAACTTTTGGAAAAAAATAAGAAGTTAGGTCCCTACATAAAACATTAAAACATAATTTTCTTATAGAATATAAATTCTTTTTTATTTTGTAATGGTAGAAGACTTTCAAAGCAGGCCTAAATAGTAAAATACACAAGTAAACTGGAAAAATATTTTTATGTATCATTTCTTAATCTTTATAGAATTTACATTAATCAATAAGGAAAGTTGAAATCCTCTATAGAAAAAAGAGCAGGATTTCAGAAAGTAGAAATTCAAAAGGAAGAATACCATGTAAAAAGATGCCCACTCTCCATAAAATTAAAAATAAAATACAGTGCCGTTTTTGTTTAGCAGATTGGTATACTTGATTGATTCTTCCCAGTGATAATGAGGGTATTAAAAAAAATGAATACTGTCTTATAGTGCTGATAGAAGGGTAATTTGGGGGCATTTTAGGAGGGGAAGAACTATCTAAAACCTTAAAAGGGGCATAAACTTTGAGAGTTTTACTTATAAGAGATTATCCTAGTGATATAATTAAACTTCATATTATTTATGATAGTTGCTAAAAGTTGGACAAACCTAATTTCACCAGTAAGAGATTGATCGAATAAATGTGGTACCTCTACGTAACTGAGAAAACAATATTAAATGGCCTATTCCATGGGACATTGACATGACATGTCTGTGATAGAGTACCCAGCAACCAAGTCTGCTTCTCCACTTACAACTGCTGTGACCTTGGTCAAGTTACTGCACTTTTCTGTGTTCCTCTTTTTCTCACTTGTAAAAAAGAAAATACAGTAGTATTGAGTTTGTAGTATTGGGAAGATTAACTAAATTGTTAGATGTAAAATGTAGAACAATACCAGGCACTTGGTAGGTACTATGACCTACATTTTGGCTGCTATTATTTTATTATTGAGGAAAAAGTTAAATATCAAGCTCTGTAAGACCATTTGTATTTTTCTTAAAGTTTCTTTATGTAGAAAATATTAGTAACATTTATATATATTAATAATATTCAGGATGATTATTACAAGTGATTTTTATTTACTCTTTTATGCTTTTTTATGAGTTCAGAATTTTATAATAATCGTGTGCTAGAAAATGGTAATTTTTTTCACTTTAAAAACTAATGCACAAATAATTCTTCCTAATGGGTAGTTTTGGGGTTATGAAATGATTTGTATATGGAATAGGTATAGTTAAGTTTTTAATTCTTCTATTTCTTTTTGTCATACAGCTGAATTCCATGGCCTTTGTAGTAGTGGAGTAGGTATCACTGTGGATGGAAGAGGTAACTCTAGTTAATCTCAATTTTATAATAATCATATGACATAATTGTATAGGTTTATAATTATAATATTAATATGATTATATTTAATATGAAAATGTAATATTATAAAATAATAAGATTATCTCCTAGAGCAGTGGTTATAAGCTAGATGATATTAAGTGATACGTAGATGCACATTTTCATCTTGGATAAATATTTATCTGTTAAATATACATTGTTAAAAATGTCACTAACAAACTACCCTCCTGATTTCATGCAATCATTGCTTAAGAAAAGAATAGATGTGACATTTAAGTTAAAAAAAAAAAAAGTGAGTCAATTTTATGAGAAAATATTAAGTAATGGTGCAGATAGGGTTAGAAAAATAAATAGTATTCAAGAGATATTGGATATGGATCAAGTTTGAGATATACTGGCTGAAATAATTTGTTAAGACTCTTTATACCTAAGAATAATAAAATGTTTCTCTCCAAGTAAAGAAGTAAGATTCACTAAAATTTTTCATGCTTTCAATTTTGTATTATGGTTAACAAAATTCCAATATGGAATCTTGAACACTTAAGTACATATGTGTTTATAATTTTCAAATTCTTTTATATTTTAGTATACATATAGATTCATTTATACATTAATAAAATGGGTGTTATTAGTTTTCTATGTGTATGAATATGTACATATAAGAAGAATATATATATAACCATATATATATATGTATTCTTTTACCCTTGTGTTTGAGAAGGCTTTAGTCAAGTTATAGATGGTAGGCAGTAATGTTGAATCTTTATAATAAACATCCAAACCAGAGTAAAAAGTAAACTTTTACAAGGATGTTTTTCCCAAGCATAAAATGAAAGACATTTCCAAAGTATTTAAGGTCTTCCAAATTATTGAAAACAATAGCATCAAAATTTGAGCTTGGTGACCAAAATTTGATTTTGGGCTTACTCTTTCATTATATTCCCTGACAATATAGCCTCTCCAGCAGAGCCAGTCACTATTGGAAACTACTTGATCATTCATACAAGCACATCAGTGCACAAGTTCCACTGCCCGTCGGTGATACAGTAGTAGTAGTCATGTTCGTGGCTCGTTATAAAACATCATGTTCTGAAGCATCCATGTTTAAAGTGTCCTCTCCGTTAATTTCACATGTCAGCAATGAAAAACACTTACTAAATATTACTTGACCACAGAAAAAGTAATAAAATAGAAATATCCTGTACCTTTGGGGACCATAAAATTATGTGGGCCACCCTAATAAATCCCTGTCTTTTAATTAGATAGGTACAATATCTATCAAATCAAGTTTTCCTTTGGATTTTGAGCCAACCGCCTTTAAATTGTCTTTATTAATTTTATCATAAATGCTGGCATATTTCGTGATTTAACTCTGAATTTCTGCCAGCTTCTTTCATTTTTCTTTTCATTTACCAGTGAAGTGTCCTATGTCTCTCAGTTTTATTTTCTTACTCCTTGTTTTCAGTTCCTTTTCCTTTCTGAAAGGCAGGCAAATTGTGAGTTTGCAGAGTTAAACACTTCATATGTTGAATGGTCTTTATTAGACCTGCATTTATCAACAAACAATAACATGTGTAGGAGCATTAAACTTTCAATATTTAATGCAGATATCAATGAGTGTGCTTTGGATCCTGATATATGTGCCAATGGGATTTGTGAAAACTTACGTGGTAGTTACCGTTGTAATTGCAACAGTGGCTATGAACCAGATGCCTCTGGAAGAAACTGTATTGGTAAGTTATTTGTTATATTTATGCAAGAACCTTTCATATAGTTTAATCCCATGGATTATACTAGCAGTAAAAACATAAATAAATGATTAAAACTAAAAACCAGACAGTTTTTCTTGTTTTCTTCATATTATACATTGATAGGAAAATATCAGAATCAAACAAATTTTGTTACATAATAACAAACTTCTTGGTGGTACCTATTCGTTTTTAAAATATTCTTTTCCCAAATTAACATACTCAGTTATTAGCCTGTTGTTTTCCTGAATGTACCTTAATCCTGTAATTTTTTACTAAGAATTTGACTTCAAAAATTAACAGGTCAGTATGGATAAAAGTAAGTCAAGAAAATAAAGTGTTACAGGTTGAGAGAATTTTGACTTCATAAAGAAACAACCAGTTGCCACAATATACCTAAACATGACAACTAAGACAAAGGTATTTCCTTTTCTAATTATAAGAGAATGATTGACGAAACTCAAGTATGTAATTTATGTTTAACAAAAGGAAGAGGAGGAGGATGAAAAGGTTTGACAGTCTTTTATTGTTTTCTATTAGTGCAAGATTTTCCCACAAAGCATTTAGGTGGACTTTTATAAAATAAATGTTACTCAATCCGTCATTGTGCATGATAGTTTTACAACTATTCACTGATGGCTTTTACAACCAAGTGTTAATGATTATGATTAGGAAAGGAACAGATTTTTCTGTGTTTCTGGTAGTGGCTTTTATTATTGAACATATTTGTTTGATTTGGAGTTGAAGACATACATACCGATGGATGTAAAAGCTCTATTTATCTTATGTGCTATAATAGTACCAAGCAAAGATTATTGACCATTTCTAACAATATGTAAACTATGCCAGCTTTTACTCTCCAGAAGTGAAGTCCAAACTTCCCTTTTTACATGGATACCAGTCATGTGGTTAGGTGAATCACAACCTACCCTAACAACCTCTTTATAACTTGATTATTTCTATAAAAATCCTATTTTCAAATAAAGTCACATTCTGAGATACCGGGTTTTAGGATTTCACCATGTCTTTTTTAAAGGACACAATTCAATCCATAGCTTAGAAAAATGGGTTAAAAAATTGTGATGCAGGCTAAGCGCAGTGGCTCACTCCTGTAATCCTAGTACTTTGGGAGGCTGAGGTGGGCAGATCACCTGAGGTTAGGGGTAGACCAGCCTGGCCAACATAGTGAAACCCCCCTCTAGTAAAAATACAAAAATTAACCGGGCATGGTGGCACGTGCTTGTAATCTCAGCACCCAGAGGCTGAAGCAGGAGAATCACTGGAACCCGGGATGTGGAGGCTGCAGTGAGTGGAGATCATGCCACTGCACTCCAGCCGGGGTGACAGATCGAGATTCCATCTCAAAAAAAAAAGAAAAAAGAAAAGAGAAAATAAAAGGAAGGGAAGGGAAGAGAGAGTAGAGAAAGAAAGCAAGCCAGCAAGAAAGAAAATTGTGATACAGTCACAATTTGTACACATATTAGACTATTATGGGAAAAGCTATGGTAGTCCAGTGCCTAAAATATAATGTTAATTTTTAAAGTATCAAGATTCACAGTTGGAGCAAAAACAAGATCAAGAAGGGAAAAGATCAGATAATACACAAAAGAATATTATCAGTGATGATGGAATTACAGATGTTTTTCTGATCTGTTTTCAAAATCTCCACAGTATCAGTATATTATTTAATAAGGGAAAATTATTATTTGCAAGACTAGAAATGTAACTTTAAGTAAAAGAGCTCTTCACTCTAAACTACAGTGTTTATTGCTTTTTGTCACTACACTTGCAAAAATGGAAGGATAGGAAGGTTAAAATGTGAGGCCAGGTGCGGTAGCTTATGCCTGTAATCCCTGCACTTTGGGAGGACAAGCTGGGAGAATCGCCTGAGGCCAGAAGTTCCAGAACAACCTGGGCAACATAGTGAGATACCATCTCTAAAAAAAATTATTTTAAGTTGGCCAGGCATGGTGGCACATGCCTATAGTCTCAGCTACTTTTGGAAAGCTGTGGCAGGAGGATTGCTTAAGCCAAAAAGTTCAAAGCTTCAGCGAGCTGTGATTGCACCACTGCACTACAACCGGGGAAACAGAGTGAGATCCTGTCTCAAAAACAAACAAAAAACTCATTGTGAGCTGCTTAAACTGGAGGTTTAGATGATATTCTCTAGGCTGTTCTGGACTGCTAAAAGAGTATGCAAAATACATCATTTTTTTTAATAACTAACTTTCTGAGATAAAAACATACTGGAAAAAGATTAATGAATATCTTTTTTTTAACTACTGTTTAATGCATTTTTTAACCATCTGGGACATGAAGACATAAAGCATTCTTTTGAAAAATTTTAATCATAAAAAATGCCTTCTGTTACTTTTATTATACATAAGCAAGTATACAGGCAAATGAATTTAACCTTTTGATATATTTTATGAATGCTTTAAAAATGTATCTAATATAATATCATTACAGGACTAAAAGCAAGTGAAGTAGAGATGTGCCTTTCCAAGCTAGCACATACTTTCCAGGGATTTAAAAGCATCTTAAAATTAGCCACTAGCATAAGAATATCCCATTTGAATAAGACTAAATATATTTTGCTTAGGATGAAGAGTGTGCTGTGATACAGACTATGTCACAGAGAAGAAAGAGGGAAATAAAACAAATAACAAAATTAAACATTGCTGCCCACTATAATACATGCTTAAATATGTGTATCTCCTGTCTTCCAATGGTTGCTTTCAGACATTGATGAATGTTTAGTAAACAGACTACTTTGTGATAACGGACTGTGCCGAAACACGCCAGGAAGTTACAGCTGTACGTGCCCACCAGGGTATGTGTTCAGGACCGAGACAGAGACCTGTGAAGGTAAGAGCTGTCTTCCTTGCCTTATTTGTGAATAGTGAGTACCTGGAGTTGTATAAACATCAATTACAGTGATGAAGCAATGTAGTGAAAGGAATATTGTTTGAATATTTTATTTTATAATCTCGTTTAGCTAATCTGTCAGTTTTTGAAATAGTAAGGCCCTAACACAGTTTACAAACACCGTGAATTTTGTTCCACTCAGACAAAGTATCAACACACATTTGGGACAAACATTTTAAAGTGGATAAAAAAGAAACCAACTGGAAGAAGCCAGATTGTTTTACTTGCTGAAATAGAATGTCAGATAGTTGTTTACTGTGTTTTCCCCTTTTCAGAACCACTCTGATCTATTAATGTAGGAACCTGAATTATAATGGAAAAGTTAACTCTTAGATGAAATGATTGATATACCCAAGAGGTTGGCCCACAAAATATTTGAGGCCTAAGTAAAAATGATAACTTTAATGTGTTTTTAGTCTAAGAGAATTGTCCTTTCCATTTGATAATTTACAAGTTGTCATTTGGGTTTGTAGACCATAAACTAGTGTTTAAAAGCTTCTTTGTTTTCTTCTAATCACATATTTTTGCAGTGAAAGTTACTTAAATGAGTTAAATGGTTAGAGAAGTCTTCATTTTCAGTGAGATACTGGCTAAGCAGTGAGTACACTGAATTATGGTTTTGTATCTTGATCAAAGTACTGTATATTTCAGAAAAATCTGTGGTATGAATACTAGTCATTGTTCCTGTTTAAATCTCACTGTGTGGGCCTACAGAAGGGTCGCATAACAGTCTCAAATCCAATTACTACTTTGGAATAGTAACTTTTAAGAAAAGATTTCATCTTTGATGATTGTGGAATAGCCCCCTCCCTTTTTTTTTTTTAATCTGTTAAAGTATTTGTTTTTTTCATGGTGCCACAGCCAAGAAAACTGCCGTAGTAATATTATTCAAAAAGATGTTAACATTCTCTCTTCATCTTACTGTTTAACTTCAAAGCATTCTTGTGAACAGAAACCAGTTAGGACTATAGAACAAGATGTCAAAACACAAATGACTCTGCTGAAGTCAATGAAATGCAATTACAAAGTGCAGTGCTAACTTTGAATTGAATCGGAGGGGCCACTAGAAAACAATAATTAGCCTAAAGAAAAAAAAAAAAAGAAAACTTCAGCATAAAATCCCCTTTTTCTAAACTTACTTCTGGTGACAGTTTCCCCTGTTGTCCAACATCTTTGCAGGAACTCCTCAAAGAGGAGTGCTCATTCCATTCCCACTGAAAATACTTGAAGGTTCCTCTTCTCCGTAGATGAGAAGGGGACACACTTAAGAGTTTGGAATATCTTTCAATAGGTTATGAGAGCCCTCTTTTTAAACCAGCTCAGGCTTCTCAAGTGTATTCAACTACAGAGTCTCTATTTTCTAGATCCCACTCCCATCTCTAACACCAATTCTTCAAAATGCTCTGAGAAACGTACTTTATGAAAAAGTATCCTAGCCATATTTCCTCTATGATTTCTTTGGAAAGATAGAAGAAGGGATTTTAAAGGTTTTTGTTTTTCCTGGTTTTCTACACTTCCTTCCTACAGTCTTTTTTCAGTTTTGTCTGTTGTCTGTTGTCTGTTGGAGGATAAGCTTCCGTTAAATCTCAGGAAACTTAGCAAGAGCAGGGTGGGACATCATCTTGATTTAACTAGGAAACTGATGATTTTTAGAACTGGTTTCCCTGTCTAGGAAAATACTTTCTGGTGCTATCGTGTCTCTCACATGATTTAGTTCCTAATGCGGAACTAAATGGATAGTGTCTGGTTCTATTTGCTATGTACACTGAATTATCAATGATTATTTATGGACGAGTAAGATAGAGTACAAAGGTTCTGAGAGTTGAAATACCAAAGAAGTTAAAATCAGAGACTCTCCTGCTTACATGAACAGTTAAGAAGAGTAGGAGCTGGTGGTGTTTAATAGTGTAACATAAGGTGATTATGTAAATATTAAGGCACTTTCATACCAAATTAGGCAACAGTGAGTGTTAGAAAGAGTAATCTTCACTTATTACAAGCATACTTATTCTTAAGCTGAGAGATTTATTTAATGAAAAAACAATTTTATGTCTGTCATTCATAGGAAAGAAGTTCATGTTATGTAAATAGAAAAGAAATGATAGACAACTCTTTTGGCTCCAGCCTTATGACATTGAAGGAAATAAAAATGATTTATCATGGGAAAACTAACCAAATAACTGTTATTTCTACACTTTCTTCCCACTGTTATTTGCATTTCATTAAGAGTTTTGCAAAGAATAGACTTGAAGGCTACTAATCTCTTTTTCCGTTGAATTGCTTTCTTATTTCTACCGTTGCATTCAAACAGTCAATGTTTCTGTCTGAAGCAGTTCTCTTCATTCTCTTCTTTCTGAATTAATTTCCAAAGACTAGACAGGGAATTATTAGCAGATTCATTGCAAATCTTAGCTTTTTCTTGTGTATTTGTCTTGTGCACTGATTTTGTCATTCATGTTTTCAACAGACTATTTTAAATATATAACAAATAGTTTTTTTAATAGAGTAAAGTTCTTCTATATTTCAGATTGAAGTTACAGAAACTTTGTTTCTTTTTTTGTTTGAGCTCTGAGAGTCTGTGAAAGTTAAAATTTTTACAGCAAGCACTGTGGTTTAGATTGTGTTTCCAGTGACATAACTAGTTAAATGTAAACCAGATGTGCTTTGAAGTTTATTTCCAGGAATGTACAGTGAACTGTTTCAATTCCTGGTTCCATGACATTTATAACATAACAACATATTATTTAAAGGAAAACTAAATAGTTGATATTTGTAGTTGTCAGTGCATATGTTTATAGTTTCTGAATTCATAATTGCTTAATTTAAAATAGAGATTTTAAAAACACACAGTATTGAAATTCTTCTTTTTTCAGGCTTCTTACAAATGAAATTAATAGATTTATATGTGGTATATCCTTAGATTAGTTATCTGCTTCTTTTATGGTTAACTGGTTTCTTTTTTACATTGTGTTTTTATGAAAGAGTTTTTATACTCTGGAATTGATGTTTTCATTAGAAATCTGTGCTATATTTACAAAATCTCTTCTTTTATTTTTAAGAGGTTTTCTCAGTATTAACAACCTGAAAGCAAAATACATTCATATTTCTTCAAACAATTTATATATCAAGAATTAAATTAGCACCTGGATATTCCTTCGGTAGTGTTGAAGTAACAAAGTGTTTTTCACATTGATTTTTAAATTTGCATGTGAAGTCCACTGACAAAAAAAATCAACTGTGAGTCTCGCTCTTTCAGGATTAAAGTCTTCTAGCTATTTGTTTACATGCTTTCCTCAGTAAACTGCTTTATAATAAATTCAAAGAAATATTTAGAGAAAGAAAAAGTATTCTTGTGAACTTAAAAACCCCAGTGTTCGATATAAAATGCCTTGAGAACTATTGACCTGTTTCAGATAATTAACTTAGTAAAGAAAACTGTGTGCCACTTCTTAAAAGTGTACCACTTTAGAAGTGGTTGAATTTACACTGAAAATGTCTTCGATTTTGTTCATAGTACTTTACCTGAAGCTTGTGTTTCTTTCTCATTGACTCATGTGTTAAACTATTTCACATTACAGGCTTGACATTTTCTCTAATCACCACCTGAGAACATAGGCATAGGGCAGTTCTGCTTACTTCTGACCATCAACAGGAATTGTTTATATTATATGATTTCATGCATATTGAATTACATTTGATTTGAATATTTCATTCAGATCAAATTAATGATTGTAGAGGCCTATTTAAAGCAATTATTTCTACTTGATCAAGTTTTCTAATTTTTATTTTACCACCATTAGTTGTATTAAAAAATAACTAAGCAAACTAAACATGTAAATGTGAAGAACTAAAGACAGAGAAGGTGGATAGGGACTAGAGGAGAGTTATGTACCCACCATGAATGTTTCAGTCCTTATTTTCTGATTTGTACCCAAGAGCTTGGAATTAAAGCAGCATTGTGATATTTTGCTTCCAAGATGGACTTTTTAAGTTTTTCAGAGCCCCGTTAAACCATAAATGATCAAAGCAATCCACCTTTGTTTGTGCACAGGATGTTGCTCCTGGAATTACATATTATTATGTGGGGGAAAAAATCCAATTTATGTAAAGTTGTGATGACGTATTGAAAAAGCATGTAACTGAACTCTTTCCCAATAGGCTGATTGCTGTGGTCCTACTGAGTTCCCAATCCTATAGATGTGTATCCACAATGTAAAATGCATGCCTCCATTCCCCATTCACTTTATGCTTCATAGATCCATATTAAAATTACCAGAGCCAAGTTTACCAGACATTCTGGCATTGCATGGCTTGTTGGAATAATATTTTCCAGAAACACATGGCAGTTCTAACAGAATCTTTTCCTTCTGGATTGTAGATATAAATGAATGTGAAAGCAACCCATGTGTCAATGGGGCCTGCAGAAACAACCTTGGATCTTTCAATTGTGAGTGTTCGCCCGGCAGCAAACTCAGCTCCACAGGATTGATCTGTATTGGTAAGATTCATACACAATACTGATGCTTCAATTTCACTGCTAAGATCAGCACAGATCTCAGGCCTTACTACAGATAAAAACAGAATATGATTCCAAAAAGAAAAGAATTACGCATTACATTAGTTGTTTTTACTCAGTATCAACATAGAGGTAAAACATAATAGCATTAATTAGGCAGCCTATTCAATTTTTGTTAGATTCTAGAAATCTTCCTTTCATATAAGTAGATATATTATGCTATAACTTATAATCATTTCCATACCACACACATATGCATATCCGTTACCCTAAAAATGCCTTAGGCAGCAATATAATCAAATCTCCACTGCATACTTTTTTTATAAACAAACTTCGATGGCAAACAAAAAATGTGATGAAATTTGGATTCAGTTAACAGGACAAGAATTTGAAGCTTTTAAACACATAGAGGGAATTTATTATTTTTTCTTTTTTTCCGTCAATCATAAACTTTTGGGCTTCAAGGAAGAGAAGATAACTGTTTTCTTGCTTTTGGAATTCTCTAGGGGAAATTATTCTAAAACATCTAAACTAGCATCTTTCAATATGTCTCAAAACATTTAAAGTCAGTTCTTGATAATGACATAGGATGTATATTAAAGAAGATTGATCTGTTACTGCAAGGAAAAATCCAGCATGTAAAAGGGAACAAAACTGTCCCAGTAATTTTTCCGTACTTCCAGCATCTGTGGTTCCATTCACTAGGCCTACACAGTTCACATCATTAGCTAGTATCCACCTTTAAGGGGAACTAAATATATATTCCAAATAGGAAGATATTTCAGTTTTACATAGTGCCAAATTAACTGGCAGTTTTTATTATCTAGCCAAAATGAATCTTTAGTTTCATATTTGTCAAAGACAATAGTTTTTTCAGTAGTATGTCTGATGTTAACCATATTTAGCTGGATGCTAGAGTATCTGTTTGTTACGTAAAGACAAATGACCAAGTCCAGAATTATCAATGAAAACCTTCTCTTTGGAAACACCAGCTCCTCGTTTCCCAATGAGGTACAGCTGGTGAAATTTGAGCCTTGTTCAGCTCTCCATATTAGGAAATAGACTGCCATCTGCCTGGGGCATTACTTTTTTTCTTATAGAATTCCGGGCCGGGTTGGTGGGGGGGCCAGCGGGGTGTGTGGGTTGGATGCAGTAAAGCAGAAATATTTTTGCTAAGCCACAATTTCCAATTGAGATGGAGTCATTTTATTATGCAAAGGAAATGAATTCAGCATTAATCAATTAATGTCTCAGAAAACTAAATCTGCATGCCACTTGAGCATCAAAGATACTTCGTTTTTGCCTCATCATGTAGACTTCCATTATTTTGGCCTTTTGCCCTTATATTTATTAACCAAAGAAGAACAAAGACTTTTTACCCCCAAGTCTTTATGTCATTCTTCCAATTGCCAACAACTAACCACCACCATATTTTTCTCAGTCAATGTATTGTGTGCTTTCATTTATTATGATTAAATTTGAATAGCCCAGTGTAGAGCTGCTCAAAATGCAATTTCCCTAATATTTTTAAATTTTAGACATTATTTTATGTACTTTTTTTATTAAAAAGAGAATTCTAGTTGCAAAAGAAAATAACAAATAGTAAAATATACACAGGAAAAGTCAGGAATGTATAATAGGACTGTCAGTGGCTCTCATCAGTGGTTTGCCTGCAACTTTCTCTTCCACAGGGTCCAGGTCATTACATTTTGAAATTTCATGATATGATTACTGATTTAAAATTACATTAGATTATATATGAATTAGTTGAATACTATGAATATTTAAGGATTTAGAATCTATTTTTCAAGCTTTCTAAATGTAAATTAATCTTAAACTGTTCTGCAAACTGCTTAAGAAGACTATGGTGTTCTGGTTGAATATGGTTAAATGTAATAGAACGATGCATTTGATTAATCTTTCATGCATTATACTGCTGTGGTTTGATGGTTCTATGTAATCCAGGCCAGTTTCCCTCATCTTTGGCTTGGGTCTGCACTCTGTCTTCAACTCGCGTGGACGTATGGCTGTGACCACTCTGCTGTCAAATCCAATGGTCTATTCTCATTCCTCACCTTAGATTATTAGCCGTATTTGTCACAGTTCATTACTCACTCTTTCTAGAGAAATTTTGCATTTTTGGCTTCCCAGGCACAACTCTCTTCTCCTTTGACTTTTATGGCTCATTTTCTCTTTCCTTTACTGAGTCCTCCCTATCCTCCTAACCTTTAACCTGAAGTGTTCTGCCAGTCTGTCTTTGGACCTCTGTTTGTCTTTCTACACTCATCCTCAAGAGCCTCTGTGTTGAGTCTCACATGTGTCACTCTAGTTGATAATGGAATTCTAGGCCTCAACCTTGCCACCGATTCCAGATTTGTGTTTCCAACTGTCTGTACAGTGTCTCCACTTGGATGGCTCATCAATATCTCAAATTCCCATGTCTGAAACCAAATTCCTGTGTACTGGCTTGAACCCGAGTCTCCCAGGAACATTTCCATCTCGGCAGATGGCAAATCCGTTCTTCTAGCTGCCGCCCCTCAAAACCTTGGCAGCATCCTTGATGTCTTTTTCTCAAGCTGCACATGGAAGTCATCAGCAAACCTATTGATTGCACTGAAGTTTATCCACATTTCAACCCCTTCTCACCATCACCACACCAACCCCCAATCCAAGTCACCATCATTTCTCTTCGTAATTACTGCTGTAGCTTCTACCTTAGCTTCTTTTCCCCATACTCTAGTCAGTTCTCCACATAGTCACCAGGCAACCCTTTTAAAACATAAATCAGAGCATATCATTCTTTGTCCAGGAACCCTGTCTAGGAAAACCTTGGCTTCTCATTTCATTCAGTAAAAGCTCAAGTCCTAGCCGAAGGCTGTACTCTCCTCATGATCTTGCCCCTGCTCTGCCTCCCGCCCCCTCAGCCTGAACCAGACTGGCCTACTTCCAGCTCCTGCATCAGACACATGCCCACCTGAAGTCCACTGATCTATCTGGCAGGAATGTTTTTCACTCAGATTTGCAGGGTTCTCCTTATGTCTGTATTCAGATGCCACATTGTAAGTCATGATTTCTCTGACCATCCTAGATAAAATAACAGTTTTTCTCCTGTTTCTACCCTCAAGCTAATTACCCTGCTTTATTTTTTGAGAGTTCTTAACTCCTGACTATCTACATCTGTATCTCAGTTGTGTATGAGTATGGGGGCAGGGGTGGGTATACACACACAACAGTGAGTCAGTGGGGAGAGAGGGAGGGAGGATGGAGGAAAGGAATTGGGGAGAGAGAGAAGAGAAGGATGAGCCTGGAGGGGAGTGCAGGGGGCTATCAGTGGATTTGTAACTTTTCAAGTGTTGATGCAGCACCAGCCTAAAGAATCACAGTTGCTACAGAGTGAGGGCTCTGCAGTCAGACTGCATGGGCTTGAATCTTGATGCTGACACTCTACTACTTGGGTGACCTTGGGTAAATTGGTTGACCTCTGTGTGCCTAAATTTTCTCATCTGCAAATTGTACATAATTCACAGGGTTGTTTTAATGAGTAAATAAATACATAACAAAGCCTTCCAGTTCCTGTCACTGTCTTGATAAATCTTAGCAATAACTGTTGTTTATCTTACTTAAAATGATGACAACCAAGGTGATAAATCAGATTAGTCCCGATCAGTAAAAGATCATTTAAATACACAGTAGCCTTACACAAACATCTCTGTTTCCTCTGTGCTATGGAATTTACAGGTGTAAATCTATAACAAGCCTGTAGTTTGAGACCTGACACAAATGGTTCTCTGCAGTTTTATCCAAACCAAACATTTCAGCCAGAGTGAAAAAACAAAGTGACTGTCTAACTCTTTTTCACACCTTTGCCCCAATAACTTTTTATTCAGTACAGGAGGGAATTGTTTTGTTTCAACCTCTGTCTTGGTGTTTAGGTTGTTGGTAACTTCCTGTGTTTCCTAGGGAATGAGAAATTACTATTTTTTTTATCATAGGCCCATTACAGTTTAATTGTAATTCCCTTTCTGTGTTTATGGGGGATTTTTTTGTTGTTTTTATTGTTGAATTTAGAAGTAAAAACTTTTTTTTTTTTGGAAGACAGGGTCTCACTCTGTCGCCCAGGCTGGAATACGGTGACACAATCTCATTGCAGCCTCTGCCTACCGGGCTCAGGCAATCCTCCCACCTCAGCTTCCTGAGTAGCTGGGACTACAGGCATGTGCCATCACTCCCAGCTAATTTTTGTATTTTTTGTAGAGACAAAGTTTCACCATGTTGCCCAGGCTGGTCTTGAACTCCTGGACTCAAGCGATCCACCTGCCTCGGCCTCCCAAAGTGCTGGGATTATAGTCATGAGCCACTGTGTCCAGCCAGAAGTAAATTTTATCTGTACATATTATTATTAAAATGAATTTTCAAATAAATACTGTAGGAATACACTTATTCTTTGTTTTCTTCCAACTCTTAGTGCCACAATATGCTATTGAGGTTTTAGTAGAGTGTTTTCCACATCACCCACATCAGAATCACCTGAGGAGTTTGTCAAAATTCAGATTCCTGGGCTGCACACCTGGAAACTTATGAATTGGCATTTTAACAAGCGCCTTGGTAATATTATGCACACCTAACTGAGAGCCACTGCTCTACAAGGAAAACATGACATATGATTTGTTTTAGCCAATTAGTATTTGCCATATCAGCTTTGACTGGATTCCTTATCACTGCTTCAAAATCAGTTAACAGTCATTTATTATTTGTTCATTTGAAAAACTTTTCATTGTGCCACCAAAAATATACTAACCATTCATTATTCCCTTTAATCCACATACAATAAACATTTTAAAGTGCATAACATTTCACTGGGTACTCTACCATTCAAAAGGAAGAACTTAAAAGATGTGGAGTCAGTCTAAAATGTTAGGAATGGTTATCTCTAGAGGATTTCAGGTGATTTTTACATCTCCCCCATACTTCTCACACACACACACACACATACCATAAGTATGATTTACTTTTTGAACTATAGAGATAAATCTACACACACACACACACATTTTTTAAATGCTTGAAATAAAATACATCAGATATTAGCCCTAGGAATGCATTAGTGGGGGTTTTGTAAGTGTTTATTCCTTCTTTGTTTTATAGCGGTTTTTTTCTTTTAAATTATTCATCAAATAATTATCAGTTGGAGAAATATTGGCCTCTGTATAACAGAACATACATTGTGTGTGATTATTTAGTAGGGACTTAAGGGAGAAGGAGATTGAAGGATTTTATATGATAAAATCTTAAATATCAACGCATTTGTCATTAAGGATAAATCTTATGAATACTTTTCACACAAGTAATGGTCTTATCATGTTGTTATAGTATGTTAAAAAAGAAGAAGGGTGGGGCGCAGTGGCTCATGCCTGTAATCCTAACACTTTGGGCGGCCGAAATGGAAGGATTGCTAGAGGCCTGGAGTTCAAGACCAGACCAACATGGGCAAAATGGCAATGCTCTGTGTTTCTGAGTACCAGCATAAAATCTTGGACAGCTCCCCTTATCAATAGATATAATTATATTAATTACTATATTGTGAGAGATATATAGTACATATTACATATATGTAATAAACCATATTTGAATGCAGGTACATGAAAGTATTTTCAAAGGATATGCTATTAAAAGTGTTTTTTGGGGTTTTTTTTTTTGACAAAGTTTCACTCTTGTTGCCCGGGTTGGAGCGCAATGGCACTATCTCGGGTCACTGCAATCTCCACTTCCCAGGTTCAAGCGATTCTCCTGCCTCAGCCTCCTGAGTAGCTGGAATTACAGACGCCTGCTACCACGCCCAGCTAATTTTTATGTATTTAGTAGAAACGGGGTTTCACCATGTTGACCAGGCTGGTCTTGAACTTCTGACCTCAGGTGATTCACCCGTCTCAGCCTCCCAAAGTGTTGGGATTACAGGCGTGAGCCACTGCGCCCATCCCCGCTATTAAAACTTTTAAAGTATCTTTTTTTTTTTTTCTGGTGGAGATGGGGTTTCGCTATTTTCCCAGACTGGTCTTGAACTCCTGGGCTCAAGTGATCCTTCTGCCTCAGCCTCCCAAAGTGCTGGGATTACAGGCGTGAGCCACTTTGCCTGGCCCTTCTTTTTTAGAATACTTTAACAAATGTCTTTTCATATACACAGCTGAATTCTATTTTCATCAGAGGTAAGAGCTCCCCAACCTTTCCTGTTCTTTTTCAGACAGCCTGAAGGGGACCTGTTGGCTCAATATCCAGGACAGCCGCTGTGAGGTGAATATTAATGGAGCCACTCTGAAATCTGAATGCTGTGCCACCCTCGGAGCCGCCTGGGGGAGCCCCTGTGAGCGGTGTGAACTAGGTAGGAGCCTGACTGGGGGGCTTCTCGGCTTCTCCTTGGAAAGCTTCTCCTGCGGCTAGGACACATCTTTCACTATGAAGTTCCTTAGTGAAGAAGGCCTGAGATCATTTACCTTTGCTAAAATGTTATCTTTGCTGGCTGATGTTTTTTACCTCTTAAAATGTGTATTTGGTTATCCTGGCTCGTAAGCAGCCCTTCTAAATATTTTATTCATGGAAGGGAATCAGCTAGAATCTGCTAGATGACTGTATCCTCCAGTATCCTTGTTTGTGTGTTGGCTGTTTTCCTCAAATCTTTTGTTTACTTTTTTTTTTTTGAGACGGACTCTCGCTCTGTCACCAGGCTGGAGTGCGGTGGCGTGACCTCGGCTCACTGCAACTTCCACCTCCCGGGTTCAAGCGATTCTCCTACCTCAGCCTCCCGAGTAGCTGGGACTAAAGATGCCCGCCACCACACCCGGCTAATTTTTGTATTTTTAGTAGAGATGGGGTTTCACCATGCTGGCCAGACTGATCTCCAACTCCTGACCTCAAGTAATCCACCCATCTCGGCCTCCCAAAGTGCTGGGATTACAGACGTGAGCCACCATGCCTGACCTGTTTACTTTTAACTCAGTTGTCAATGTGACAACAAAAAGAAATTGTAGGAAAAATTATGAGAATCTCAATACAGGTCAATACTGATGGAGGTACCACAGAAAGTCATGTGCCCTACTGAATGAAGTGGGGACAGTGATGTCCTTGGACCCTAAGACCCCGCCTTGCAGTTTGTATGTAGTTCCATTTTGATTCCATTATATTTCTTCTTGAGCATAACATGGTTGTGTTTTATTCTATAATGAAGTAAAATTTGTCCTGTTGTTCTTACAGATACGGCTTGCCCAAGAGGGCTTGCCAGGATTAAAGGTGTTACATGTGAAGGTGAGTGTATCCTTCCTTGGAAGATACTATACATCTTTAGAGCAGTACATAAAATTAACATTCACTCTCAAACTTTGGAAATGTTTATCATTTTCAGAAACCTTGACATTTCAATAAAAATACTCAATGTAATCAACAAATGCTTTAGCATAATTCTCTTAGGAAACAGCTTAGAGTTTCCCATTTCTCCTCTTTATGGAGTTGTGTAAATTTCATGAATACATCACTAGACTTTAAGGCCCAGAACAGCTGGCAAAGGCACATGTTTGGGCTGTGTTTCATGGACAGGCAAGGCTGTGGTAATTTTCATAGCTGGTGCCTAGGAAAGCGGGTGACTGGGTTGTGGAATATTTCTGTTTAACTCAAGTAGTAATCCCCGTTGTGTTGAATGTGGATTGAAAATGCTATACATGAAGTAGGACCACACCTGTTTTTTCTGTTTGTAACATCTTTATTCCTCTGCTGGCTCCATTTCCCTGCAGATGTTAATGAGTGTGAGGTGTTCCCTGGCGTTTGTCCAAATGGACGCTGTGTCAACAGTAAGGGATCTTTTCATTGCGAGTGCCCTGAAGGCCTTACGTTGGATGGGACCGGCCGTGTGTGTTTGGGTAAGATTCACGCCCTCATGTATTCCATGTATAAAACAAGCCATGAATTTCCTTCTTTAAGCAGTGGCTAGTCCAACACCACAGAGTTTGACTTGAGAAAACTTACTTTAAATGAGATATTTAGGGGGAAATCACTAGAGGCTGTTTTAAAAGTGAATGTATTTAAGTGAAATTGTTTCTGTTTCATGCCAAAAATTGGTACTGCTCAAAAATCTATCTCAAAATCTTCCATTTCTTTAACCAGATAATTTAGGCAGGTTCAGTCTTTCACACTGAGTTAGTACGAGTAAGAATAGGTTGAACGCAGAAGGAAAGCTGGAGACGAGGATTTTAAAAGTTTACATTTGTCAGCTCATTGCAGCTACACCCTGAATACAATGGGGAAAGTCATCTGCAAAGATATGTTGCTTCTGCTTAAAAACATTCACTAATCTTGATCCTTCCTTTACTGCTATTAGAGTTTACGTTTTCTTAATACTTTATTTTTTAAAGATCTGTAGTGATGAATTTCTTTCTTTCAATATAGCATTATAGGAATGGTGATTTGACCTTTTTCTTTATTAGTGTCATGGTTGACTGAACTTGAATTTCATGATTGAAAAATACATTTCTATTAATTTTCATTGTATGTAACAATAATTTTTCATTTACCTAGAGATTTTTTTTCCCCAATAAGCTATGGAACAGTAAATTTTTAGTTTATAAAAGAACTTTACATAGATTTGTATTTGAAATTTAGGCATGTAGACAAAACATAAATAATAGTGATGTTATATGCAATGATCTTTAAAGTATTTAAATATCTCAGTGATGTTTAAAATTTACTGGTAAGAAAAAAGTGTGCAATACCATACAGTTTAGTTATTATAATTAAAACAGATTTCATTTTTAACTGAATTTTGATAGCACATTTAAATCTGGGTTGAAAGCATGACTGTAAAATCATACAAAATTATTTAGAAAACATAATATCCAAAGTACAAAAATAAAGAAAATTTCCTTCATATTTTTAAGTATTTTAAAAATTATCTTTTAAGTGATCTACGATGTTTAGAAATAAGTATCATTTGAAAATGACAAAATATTCCCCCAAAACTATCAAAATTTTTAAAAAAGAAAATGACAAAATAATAATATCAATACAATCAGATGACTAATGAAATCAAGTTATCTTCTATAACAAAATGCTGTAATATATGAAGATATATCGCTGATTATAAATTATTATTAGGCAAAATAAATTTTCAATAACATTGTTCAAAATTATGACTGGGAGTGTACTTTGGGAGGCTGAGACAGGTTGATCACCTGAGATCAGGCTTTCGAGATCAGCCTGGCCAACATGGGGAAACCCCGTCTCTACTAAAAATATAAAAATTAGCTGGGCATGCTGGTTCATGCCTGTAATCCCAGCTACTCGAGGGACTGAAGCAGGAGAATCGCTTGAACCTGGGAGGCGGAGGTTGCAGTGAGCCGAGGTCGCGCCACTACACTCCAGCCTGGGCGACGGAGTAAGGCTCCGTCTCAGAGAAAAAAGAAAAAAAAAATTAAAGCATTTTTAAATATTCTAAGATAATATATTGGATTCTTCATCCTTGTACTTTGCTTAAATGCTTTTGTCACTGCTTAAATTATGCTATATTAATTAATTCTGTCTGAGGATGTGAGAAAGTTTCAGGAAGCAACTGGCACATGAAAATGTAAAGTATTCTGAGAACTAAAGTTGTGGTAAATGCTTTGATAGAACCTCGTGTGAATCAGGCATCCCAAACTCAGATGCTTACAGGAGCCAAGCATGTAATATATCAGTGAGTGAAGCGACAACAGGGAGCAGTGGGGACTGCAGCAAACTGCAGAGAACATGGACCATCCAGAGGTTTCCAAATTGATATTTTAATTTCCATGCAAGGACAATCGCAGCATTGATAGGCCTTATTGTGGCCGATGTGCTGACTTTTAATTCCTGATATAAATATTCATAGAGTTCTCAGTAGTGTGCTGACTTTTAATTCCTGATATTAACATTTATAGAGGTCTCAGTATTAAAGAAAGGATTACTCCTCCTGGCTATTATAAGTTTTTACATGCATAGTTTAAATGCCTTTCCCCTCTCACCCCAGTTTATTCCAATAAGCTTTGAAATGGCACATTTTTAGTTTGTCTTGGGCTTCTTGGGCAGGTTCCTTCGGTAACCTCACAGTGTGACTCAGGCCAGAGTTCTTAGGCCAACTGTACTTATATAAGACTGTCACATCTTGGAAAGATTCTTACTTACCTGCTGACATTATGGGACGGAGCCAGCTATAAGGAGACTAGCCCCTCAGAGCCCTGTGATAATGAGACTCTGGATTACTATCACACCTCACACTGGCAAAGCATGTGGCTTTTTGGTTTGTGTTAATGTAGATACATAAGACAGACTCGCCATCTGTGGATATCTACATTCAGTCTGCTGAATCAAAATAAAAATTTACCACAGTTATTTTTTCTTTAAAAATAGGACTTTTTCTCAAGTACCTAGGATTACAGGCGCCCGGCACCATGCCCAGCTAATTTTTGTATTTTTAGTAGAGACGGGGTTTTGCCGTGTTGGCCAGGCTCGTCTAGAACTCCTGACCTCAGGTGATCCAGCTGCCTCAGTCTCCCAAAGTGCTGAAATTATAGGCATGAGCCACCATGCCACGCCCAGTCTTGTTAATGGAACGAGACTCCATCTCAAAAAAAAAAAAAAAAAAAAAAAAAAGGACTTTTTATTTCCAGTATTCAGAAATGTAACTCTGTGAAACTTTAGGCTAAAGGCAGTTGCTAAAGTTGATGTTTTTTTTGGTTTAGAAGTTGAAAGAATCAGTATTGACAGCAACTAAAGTAGTAAACATTAATTTTTATGTGTACATTTCCATCAGGGATCTCCTTCCTCTGTTAAACAGTTTTCAGCCTCTGGAAAGGATTTAATGTCTTAAAATGTTCTTATCAAAGAAATGTTATTTGATGAAGGAAACTTTTCCAAACTCATTATCCATATTTGTAATTAAACAGCCAAGTGCTTTAGTATGATTTGAAAATAAATCTATTTGCTAACAGATGAACATGTTATTTATAGACCATGCTGGTCTACTTTACTTTTAGATGTAGGAACTGTTTATAGATATTCTAAGGTCCTGGCTAGCACAGGCTAAGCACTGAAATGCTGGTCTGTTTTGAAGTTGGAGGGAAAATGTGACATTTAAATAAATAATTGACCCCTTAAAAAGGAAAATTCACATAATCCAGGGAAAAACCATGATGCAAAAGGTAAATTTGGCAGGAGAAAAAAAAAAAAACAAAAAAAAACCTTAAATGCAATAATATTATAACACTTCTTTCTTTTGTAGTGATTTTAATAGTTGTAACAAATTGGCAAATAGATTATAGCCGATCATTTACTGTTTATGAACAGGATCTGACAGGGCTGCTTAAAAGGCACTTGAAGCAATTCTCTGAACAGGAAGAATTATCGTTAAAATTATCTTACTTTTTCTAAAGTGAACAATACAAAAAAGGAATCATAGACATGAAGTAGTCATGTCACGAGAGGACCTTTTCTTCCTGAGGGTTTCTTGTGAGAATTAAGAAAGACTGAAGAGGATCTCACCTTTGTTCTCCTTAAACTACTGTCATTGTGGAGTCCATTCCAGGAGGTCAGGGACTATGTCTTACCCACCAGTACACCGCAAGGGCCTTGCGTGATGCCTGCTGCTGAGCAGACGCTTGACATGTGACTGTTCAATGGGTGTTTCACCTCATTCTCACCCTGTGATTTCACTCTCGGTGTAGATATTCGCATGGAGCAGTGTTACTTGAAGTGGGATGAAGATGAGTGCATTCACCCCGTTCCTGGAAAGTTCCGCATGGATGCCTGCTGCTGTGCTGTCGGGGCGGCTTGGGGCACCGAGTGTGAAGAGTGCCCCAAACCTGGCACCAAGGAATATGAGACGCTGTGCCCCCGCGGGGCTGGCTTTGCTAACCGAGGGGATGTTCTTACTGGGCGGCCATTTTACAAAGGTAACTGCCTGCGGCCAGCGCCTTGGTCCTTCTTCACCAACAGGAAGCCTTCCACATTCTCTGAGAATTGGTTTTGCTTTAAATGTTTGACTTCCCGCTTTATTTTCTCGGTTAAACTTATGTTTTATGACCTATGTTCTGTCCCAAGAGTATAAATGCCCTCTATGAGATGGCATTGAAGTAAAGAGATAAAACAGATTGCTTATCTTGCTCTTCTACTCTTTGTTCCTCTACAACCTGAGATGTCGCCCTGATAACTACATCTGTAGCAAAAAGTTACCTATCCTCACTTATCTTTATAAAACAAGTAGTGAGAAATAAAGGGATCAGAACTCTTTCTTAAGCATATAGGATCTTTGGCTGGGTGTGGTGGCTCACGCCTATAATCCCAGCACTTTGGGAGGCCAAGGTGGGTGGATCACCTGAGGTCAGGAGTTCAAGACCAGCCTGACCAACATGGTGAAACCCATTCTCTGCTAAAAATACAAAAATTAGCTGGGCGTGGTGGCACGCACCTGTAATCTCAGCTACTCGGGAGGCTGAGGCAGGAGGATCGCTTGAGCCTAGGAGGTGGAGGTTTCAAAAAAAAAAGATCGTGCCATTGTGCTCCAGCCTAGGCAACAAGAGTGAAACTCTGTCTCAAAAAAAAATAATAATGTGTATGTGTGTATATATATGTATATGATCTTTTTCACTGTATTGAAGCTTCCTGTGTGTGATAGCAGTGTGATCACTGAAACATTGAGTAGCCCTGTTTTTCACTTGGGTGCATTACTGTTGTCCATCATGACAGATTTTTAACTTAAAGTGATGGACCCAATCGTTTATATCAACCAACTCTACATTCTGGCTTTATTCTGCTTTTAGACATCAATGAATGCAAAGCATTTCCTGGGATGTGCACCTATGGGAAGTGCAGAAATACAATCGGAAGCTTCAAGTGCCGTTGCAATAGTGGCTTTGCTCTAGACATGGAGGAAAGGAACTGCACAGGTAAGATGGTTCTGCTGTTTTATTTGATAAACTCTGTCTGTCTTTCCTTTACTCTGTTTGAAAGTACCAGCCTAAAAAGCTCATCTTCTCATTGAAAACATGAAAACTTTTATTTATTTGTTAATTTTTTTTAGAGAAAAGGTCTCACTTAGTCGCCCAGGCTGGAGTGCAGAGACGTGATCATGGCTCACTGCAACCTCAAACTCCGGTGCTCAAGCATTGTTGTTGTTGTTGTTGTTGTTGTTGTTTGCACCATCATGCACAGCTAATTAAAAAGTTTTGTTGTTGTTGTTGTTGTTGTTGTTGTTTTTAAGACATGGGGACTCACTTTGCTTCCCAGGCTGGTCTCAAACTCCTGGCTTCAAGTGATCCTCCTGCCTTGGCCTCCACAAGTGTTGTGATTACAGGCTTGAGCCACTGCATCCAGCTCTGTAAATTTTTATTTTTGTTTCTTTTCCTTACACTTAAACCAGTTCTCCAAATAAACTCGTGAGAGAACTGCAAAATAGCATGAAAATGCTCTTTGTTTTATATTTAGGAACAGCATACAAATATGATTTTCAAAATATATGATGACTAAAGAAATACAGTCATTAAAGAATTACATAAAATTGAGTAGTGTTCTCTTAAAGATTTTAAGGTTTGTGACATACAGGTTATGACTTCTTTTCCTCATCTGTGAACGGGTATCTTAATATTAGACTTCAGTCACCATCCATACCCATAACGTTCTCTTTGAAAAAGATGAGAAGTTCTAACTTTTTCTATTAGTATACCATGTTGTTCCAGATGCTTGAGCTGTGTCTTCAGGATCTCGTTTTCAACACTGTCTTTGTTCATATTCTTTGTGGAATTTCCCCTTATCGCCCTCGCTCCTGCCTGCTCCTTCTTCCTGACCTCACAGCAGTGTCTTTCTTGGCTCCTTCCTGTGCGTGCTTAGCTGAGGCTATCTCTGAGCCTTTCACAGCTTTCCATCTGGCCTTCTGAAGTCCTGCTGCCTTGAAGTCTGCTCAAGCCCTGTCTCCAGAGCTTCATCCCCTTACCTCTGTTTTCTCCTCTCTGGCTGCTGTGCTTTGCTGGGAGAGTCTGAGGAGCGCTGCCTGAGATTTCTGCATTCACCTCCAAGTCCTCGAAGCTGCTTGGCAACACTCATGTTCACCTCCATTCATCACTTTCTGAATTTCTCTCAGCGCTGCTTCTAAACCTCTTCCCTGGCTTACATGCCCTCTCATATACAACCCGCCCCCATCCATTCCTGTTCTCCTTCGTTGAGAATAAATCTGATTGCCTGCATCCTTCTCACACAGCCTCCTCTCTAGTAATAAAATCTCCTTTATCCCACTGGGCATGGTGGCTCACACCTGTAATCCCAGTACTTTGGGAGGCCGAGGCGGGTGGATCACCTGAGGTCGGGAGTTCGAGACAAGCCTTACCAACATGGAGAAACCCCATCTCTACTAAAAATACAAAATTAGCCAGGTGTGGTGGTGGGTGCCTGTAATCCCAGCTACTCGGGAGGCTGAGGCAGCAGGATCGCTTAAACCCAGGAGACGGAGGTTGTGGTGAGCCAAGATCGCGCCATTGCACTCTAGCCTGGGCAACAAGAGCAAAATTCAATCTCAAAAAAGAAAAAAAGTCACCTTTATCCCCCACTCCCTCTCCTCCAGTGACAAAGAATGAGGTGTAATGCTCTCCCTGGATTTGGGGTTACCTCCTCTTTTCCCTCCTTCCCAGCTCCTGCTCTGGGTTGTCTCAGCAGGTTCGCTCCTCTCTCCTCGTGCTAGCATCTCCTCCTCTTCTCTGCTCCCTATTCCTCAACTTATACACAGGTTCAAAATATCTCCTCAGCCCTTCTTTTCTCTCAAGCTACCATTCCGTTTTCATGCTGTTAGGTCTCACCCCTCTCTTTCAACCAGCCATTTGTTTTGTAATTTTGACTTTTGCCCTCTGTCACCCAGACACATACACATATAGTCATCTACTCTTGCAAAACATCTTTGTGGTGTTAAAACATCTCTCCTCCTAGACCTCTCTGCTTGCCAAATCTCTCCCTGAGATTTTCTTTTCTTTTCTTAGTTTCTGCGGTATTTTCCGGTTTTGATCATCCTTCTATCTTGATGATGTTTCTTCTCTAACCTTTACAGATTATTCTTGCCTTTCCCATCCTTGGGTGTTGCCAGAGTCCTCTACTCAGCATTCTTCTGCCTCTCAGAGTTTCATCTACCATCATGACTTCAGGGATGGCCTCTGCGGAGCTGAATCCTAGATCTTGTCTCTAACTCTCTCTGTTCTTCCTGAGTTTCACTCCCACATTTATAACTTCCTGTCTGGAAAGTTTGTCTTTGTTTGGTCTTTCTTTGTTCCTCCCCCTACCCTGTACTTTCTCCTACTAGGGACTTCCCTGTAGGCATTAGGAGTATAATTTTGAACAGGATTGAAGACCCCAATTGAATTTTGACATCTCTCTCTCCCAAAGTAAAAAAGTTATGCAAATTCTTTCATCAAACCAGCTATTTCAAGTGCCTGTGATATTTCTTCTAGACTGAGGCAGGTTAAGCTCCTCAGGAAACAGACTCCAAGACAGAGAGGAGCATTCAGGAAGTTTATTGGGGCTTGCTCTTGAGATGAACAATGAGGAAGGGAAGAGAGGAAAGCAGAAGTCGGCAGAGAAAGAAACTGGGCTGTGATGCAGTCCCACTGAAGTCCTTAGCCCATGCCACTGGGAGTTCTGGAACTGGCACGGTCCATCAGAGTTGCCTTGAGTAGGGCATGAAAGCCACACACTTAGGTACCTGCAAGACCAATCTTGGGATACAGCTACCCAGGGAAGCGGGAAAGAGGTCCTCTTAGGATAGTGGACATCTGAGGGCTTTCTGCCAGCAACACTCCCAATAGCTGACAGGGAGGGGGAGTGAGTCCTTCTTTCCTGAAGAGGGACCTGGGTGACATGTCACAGTATCTACTATATCACAGACTCCTCCAGGATCTCCCAACCTGTTAAGTCCCCACAGTCAAATCCTTCACTGCCACAACCACCAAGTTAACCAAGCAGGGCTGGATTGTGTAACTTCCCACTGAACAACTGCCACTGGTATAGGCAGTCCTGGTCCTGGATAAAGAAGCTCAGGGTTCTTCCAGTTCTGACCCTACCTCTTCCTTTGTCGTGAAGTTAGCCAAATTGCTTAATGTCTGTAACACGTTGACAGGGCTGCATTGATCAGGATATAATGTGAAGTTCCGTGGAAAATTGATGGCTGTCAACTTCACAGCAGGAAAGTCCGGTGTCCTCCTGTGCTGGGGGCTTTTAGTGATCCTATGGGTCCCTCTTGTACCCACACTCATTGTCAGCCTCTCCAGTCCAGCCAGTCTGTGGCTTACTGCTCCCTGAAATGCTTCCTTTCTCTTCACTGGTGCGCTTCATCTCTTGCCTATTTATTCTGTATCTTTAAAGCTAGCATTTCTGTACAACCTTCAAGAACCAATTCAAAAGCCCACACCCTCCAAATTACCAAGTCTTGGCAGAGCAGAGAAGTTTATATAAACAGAGAGGGAGAGACAGACAGAGAGAGAGAGAGAGAGAGAGACAGAGAGAGAGCGCGCACGCACTTTCTATGAGACAGACACTGTTCTCAGCACTTAACAAATATTCGTTTAATTCTATGAAGTGGATTCTATGACAAATAAGGAAATTGAGGCACAGAGAGACTAAAAGATTTTCCCAAGGCTCTATTCTCAGTAGATGACAGACTGGGATTTGTAGCCAGGTATCTGGTTCTAGAATCCATACTGTTTATACTATGAAACTCCCACCATATCACATTAGCCAAAGATTGTCCCTGCTCCACCCTAGAACACATTCCTCATATGGCTCTTAACACCAGTTCCTAGATACTGGTAGATAGAAAGAAAATTAATATACATATTGTTAGCTACTTAATTGAATCAATAAATTCTGTTAAGATGTTTGTTTAAAAGGAAGTATTTACATTTTTTTCGCATGGCCAGTAATGAGGGAAATAAATAAAGACTCTTGTAATTGGAGAAATAAATACAGAAAAACTAAGTAAAAGCTGGCAGAAAGCATAGACTGAGACCCCCCTCTCAAGAGAACATGCACAAATTATGCACTAAATCCTGTGATTTTAAAACTTCAAAATTAAATTCATCAAAATAAAGAGATCGCGGTGGAGCATTTTTCCCTATTGACAGATTTTTAGATTAAAAACTTTTGATTTTTGAACTAAAATGTTTGTAAACAGGCCGTTTTCTTAAACATATTTTATATAGACATGACTTCTCTATTAAAAATCGTAGTTATAAGCATAGATTTCTCAGAGAACCCTGTGTTTGAGAGTATAGATGCTGAAGATTATTTACTGTAATATATAAAAAGAGAAGACAAACTCACCCACACATTCCTCACACGATAGTGACAGCTCATGTCACCAAAGGGCTTACTAAATTGATAAGCGCTTTACATCTGAATATGACACAAAAACACAAATTGGGGCACACACCATGGCCCTGCCCTATTTGTGCTCTCTGACTCAGGGTTGGTCCGTCATGGCTGCCTATCTCTCTGGGGTCTGCCGGTCCCTCCTGCACAGAGACAGGGGCCCTGCCTTCACACGCTCCAACCTGGGGTGGCATGGGCTAGTGTAGTAGACCAGCACTGTCTTCCAATCACACATGAGGTCGTGGGGCCTGGCTGCCTCATTTACCACCTGCCTCATTCAGCCCATAGAACAGTTGCAGGGTTCATCCTTCTGTTAACATTTCTTTCTTTTTCTTCTTCTTTTTGAGACAGGTTGTGTCTCTGTCACCCCGGCTGGAGTGCAGTGGCACATCATACATCATAGCTCACTGTAGCCTTGACCTCTTGGGCTCAAGCAATCCTCCCACCTCAGCCTCCCCAATAATTTTTTTGTTTTTTTTAGAGATGGGATCTCCCTGCATTGCCCAGGCTGGTCTCAAACTCCTGGCCTCAAGCAATCCTCTTGCCTGGGCTTCCCCAAGTGCTGAGATTATAGGCATGAGCCGCCATGCCCCCTCTTCTGTTACTATTTCTAAGCCACAAAAATAAATCCGCAATTCAGAATTTTTGCAGGTGAAAAGGCACCACTTGCCTGTTGGCGTGGCAGTTTTGGCAGTTGGGGAAAGGAATGTGCCTCAGGCCCCAGGCCCTTCTATCTGGATCTACTCAAAACATACCCTTGTACTGTTAGCCACCACCAATGTTCCCAACATTTCAAGCGTGCAGCAGCTTCACGTGGAAGGCCAAGTCTATCTCATTCAATTTTTAAATTTCTTTTAAACCCTGTGAATTAGACATCGACGAGTGCAGGATTTCTCCTGACCTCTGTGGCAGTGGAATCTGCGTCAATACACCAGGCAGCTTTGAGTGCGAGTGCTTTGAAGGCTATGAAAGCGGGTTCATGATGATGAAGAACTGCATGGGTAAGCACCGTGAGCTCTTCCTCGCCAGGTTGAAGCCATACTAGCACAGACTCATTCGTGTGCATGACCTTTGCTTATCTTCGGGCTGCCAACGGCATGCGTGGCCAGGATCTTTGGTGAGAGAGAGAAGAGATTTAAATGTCAGACAGGAAATGCACTCCTGGATAGCTCTCAGGGAGCCCCAACCTCTTGGCGCCTTCATGGCAATGAGATATTCAGATTGGATCCTGTTTATTCGTAGAATCTAAAATCACACAGACTAGTTACTTCGGTGAGACTCATTTAAAATGCATGGCATCATGTGGTGGCCCCAAGATTTGTATTCAGTCATGCCAATCCCATGTTATTGCTCTTATTTGTGTACTATTACAAACCCTTTTGGTTCCCAACCTTTTAGCCCACTGTTTAATTTTCAGTACAATATAGGACTTACCTCATAGGATATAGTAGGTTATAAATCTAAGATATTCCTTCACTCTGATTAGCGTTATAGACACTAGAATAACTGACAACAATATATCATGAGTCTGGGGTGATATAAAGCAAATATTATTTATTTCTACCCCTTATGAGCCTGCTCATTTCATGCAATTAAATTTCTTGAAAGCTTACTACCTTTAAGAGTAGAATGTTTAGTTTTTCTGTTGGTTGTAGGAAAAGTGAGGAAAGCATTATCCCATCTCCTGTGAGCGTATCTCTTACACTGACTCACACTCTCCCATCAGATAGTATTCTTTCTCCCACGCTGTATGTATGAATATTTTTCCCTCAGGGTTCTTTAATGGATCTCACGTTTTTACCTTTCAGACATTGACGAATGTGAACGTAACCCTCTCCTTTGTAGGGGTGGCACCTGTGTGAACACTGAGGGCAGCTTTCAGTGTGACTGCCCACTGGGACACGAGCTGTCACCATCCCGTGAGGACTGTGTGGGTGAGTTTATCTCCTCAGCACATAAACCTGCCCAGCACAACTGGTAGAGAGCAGGGATCAGTTCTGACAAACCTGTTGTTTGAGGAGCACATGAGATCTAGCTTATTAAAAGGTGGAAATTGAGATTCCCTACATCTGGACGCAGGCTGTGTCTTCAGTGGATGCTTGGGTGGCACTCTTGAATGAGCTGGCATTCCTCTGGTTGGCCTTTTTTTTTATTGCAAGCCATGTGATTGGTGAGGAGCCCTGTGGATGTCCCTGTGGTGTCATCCTCCATTAGGAAAAAATGGGAAAGCTGCCCTGTGCATTGTGCACCTTTGCCCAGCGTCTTCCCATCTACTCAGGCAGACTCCACTCTGCGCCCCTGTGCCTGCTCACAGAGCAGCTTGCATGTGTGTGAACACGGTACTCCCTTAACCCACTTCTCAGGGAAACACTGGGTTTCTTCATCTGCCCTGAGCTCTGTAGGGATGCCAGAAAGGATATAAGAAGACTGATGACTGGTCTTTGGACATTGCAACCTATTGCTTTTCATAATACATGAAAGTCTCTGGAATTACTGGGTTCCTAGTATACTGGCTTTAAAACTTTGATTTAGCCAGAAAGCATGTTCTTCACAGGAAATCTTTCTTAAAACCGTAAGCAAATAAGACAGCCTAAAATAGAACAGATTGCACACTAAATTTCAAATCATAATTTGAGCACACCTTTCTAATACACATATATTTATTTATAAGCCATATGTATTGCTTTGCTAGTATATGAGGTGAATTTTATTATAGATTAAATAGATATTTTAAAGTGATAAATGAAAAGGTTTTTAATGTTCTTATTTCATTTTAATAGTGGTATAAAAGGCTTTTTCACACTAATAATTCCAGAATATTTATTCGTGGTTGTACATACTGAGGTACAGTGAGTCACAGATCTAAGTTTACTTTGTTACTTAGTTTTCATGGATCTTACAGCTTGAAAGAGTATCCCCCAAAGGAACAATGCAGAATACAAAATGTATATTTCTGTATAATATACACTTAGTGATCATAAGCATAAACCCATGCCGTATAAATCTTGGTTATTTTGAAAATTTGAAATGAATTTCTGGTATTTTCTGATTATATTGTCACTGTTTTTTACGTTATCTTACGCCTGACAAGTAGTTTATATAAGGAAGCGTATCACTCTGCCATTTTCTTCTGTTATCTTGTGCTTACATTATTGGTACTAGTTTATTTTTAAGGCACCTGCCCATATTATAGGGGTTAGTTTATTTTAAAACAGGCAGTGTGATTTGTAGATTACTATCCCGACACACAAAACATAACACAGTGTAAACAATCAAACACATGAAGGCCCTATTGTCATGCCTCTGTCTTGTGGAACCATCAGTCTTCCATCAGGATACTTCAAATCATGTAGGTAACACTTCACCATCTAATATAGACCAGGTGAGCATGCCAGTGTAAGTTCATATATTAAGTAGTATTTAGCTTCAGTTCTGGCATGTGTGCAGTCTGTGTGGTCTAACATGATGGTCACTAGCCACATGTGCTGTGTAAACTCAGTTAAAATTAAATAACATTAAATATTCCTTAGTTATACTGTCCATATTTCCAGTACTCGGTAGCACATGCAGCTGTGTATTAGACCGCATAGATATGGGAACAGTTGCATCATTGTAGAAAGCTTTACTCAACAGTACTGTTGTAGATGGAAATAGAGACTCCAGCATTTTCTTTCAATCCCCCAGGAGAACATTTCACTTCCCCATGAAGTACACAGACCCCTTTGGAGACCATTGCTCTGGTGAAGCACCTTTCTGATGGCTTTAGTGATTTGACGTTGTGTAAAGCATTAATTATTTGTATCTTTTATAGATATTAATGAATGCTCCCTGAGTGACAATCTCTGCAGAAATGGAAAATGTGTGAACATGATTGGAACCTATCAGTGCTCTTGCAATCCTGGATATCAGGCCACGCCAGACCGCCAGGGCTGTACAGGTAAGGGGAGACCAAGCAGGCCTGAAACTCATATGTCTCAAATCAGCCTAGGAAAACTTTTGGCACTGAATTATAATGAAGCTTATGCAAATCCTTTGTCCCGAAAATGAATGTAAGACTCGGGGCAGATCTCAGATACTTTGCTGGTCTTGCAGCAGACTCACTCAACTTAATGTAGAAAATGCTCTAATCCCCATAGTTCTTCTATTTCCAAATTATTTAATCTTAGGGTACTGCAGTTAAACATGGAATGCTGCCTAAAATGAAGTTAAAAGAACTAAGAAGGATGATGTTCAGTCAACACACATAGTGGGGAGAAAAATTCAAAGCCACATTAGCATTATCTGTTTAAAAAGAAGAAAACTCCTTTTAAGGAAGCAGACCTGACAAGTAATGTGGTTGCGTTGCTGTTTTCACAGATATCGATGAATGTATGATAATGAACGGAGGCTGTGACACCCAGTGCACAAATTCAGAGGGAAGCTACGAATGCAGCTGCAGTGAGGGTTATGCCCTGATGCCAGATGGGAGATCGTGTGCAGGTATAGAAAGGAAAACACATAGGCTTTGTACATCTAGTTAATTTTTTTCTTGAAAATATGGCTGCAGATATTACCAAGTGAAACCAGATAGAAAACAAAAGCATTTGAGATTGATAAATGACATTTTTATTTTCATCTGATGCTAATTTTGTATCATCAGACATTGATGAATGTGAAAACAATCCCGATATCTGTGATGGCGGTCAGTGTACCAACATTCCTGGAGAGTATCGCTGCCTCTGCTATGATGGCTTCATGGCTTCCATGGACATGAAAACATGCATTGGTGGGTATCATAAGAAAGGATAAACATTTATACACACACGTGCATACACACCCACATGCACACACAAGCATGAAAAAAGGAAGGCTTTTTCAGTTGTTATTTTAAAAATTCAAATCATTTTACTAGAACTATAAAATCTCAGGAAGAATTACTTTTAAAAATCTCTAAAGGCAGAAAGTATATTTATCTACAACACGATGATTTGCAGATGGATTATATTTTAGATCTCACCTGTGTATTTCAGTATTATGCTATTCAGTATAGAAGATAGCTTTTAAATTACTGTGATGAACACCTACTAAGATACTGAAAATAAATTTTCTAGATGTGAATGAATGTGACCTAAATTCAAATATCTGCATGTTTGGGGAATGTGAGAACACAAAGGGATCCTTCATTTGCCACTGTCAGCTGGGTTACTCAGTGAAGAAGGGGACCACAGGATGTACAGGTAGGTTTCAAGTTTGTATTCTCTGTGTTTCAACTTCTCAGATGTCAAAGGCCAACTTTCAACATTGTTTGTTTTCTGGCATCCCTTAGGCCAGTTACCTGCCACCAGGCTGTGACCGTGTGTGGAATGAGTGTGTGACCCATAGCATGTGTGATGGATTTGGCTGGTCTCTGTGGTAGCGCACTGTCTGAGCCACCCACCGGGAGGCTGACTGTGGGCTGTGACGGAGAGTGAGTGAGTGAGTAGGAGTGCAGTCCGGTTCCCATGGCCCTGACCGCTAATGGTGGCTTATGCAGCAGCTGTCACTTTCTGAGTATGACTGCTGCCCACATGGAAGACATTCATGAACAAAGAGCACCAAAAGACCCAGGATCCCAGTTGCCATTTACCTCTGCACTTCTTTTAAACTAGTAAAAATTAATCTTAAGTTTCATTGAGACCCTTTCCCTTTCTTCCTTTCTCCCATATTTTCCTTTCTTGTTTGCTCTTCTCTGTTTGCTTTTGTCTTCTCTCTGCCCAAATTGCCTTTCTCTTTTTTCTCTCTTCACTTTCCTTCTTTGCTCACTTCACCCACTTTGTTTTTTGTTCCCTTTCTCTACTAACTAGTTTTAGCCTTTTGCGTGCAGGTGGGACTAGGACATGCCGGGGTCGAGGTTTTGGATCATGTATTCCTCAGTGCTTAATTTAAGACTTATGTATGATATTTTTTCAAGGCAGGTGGTGGAAGACTTAGAAGGCAACCCAGCCCTTAATCTGACCCCTCCATTAAGGGACAGATTATAAAAGAAGGTGTTCTCTGCGTGTTCACCACTGACTGTGTGTGTGTGTGTGTGTGTGTGTGAGAGAGAGAGAGTATGTGTTTGTGTGTGTGTGTCTGTGTGTGTGTGTGTGTGTGTGTGTGATTTCAGCATCTATAATATGTAATCATTGAACTAGATAGAACACATTACTATTTATAGTCAAGAAAACTTTGGAGAACCAAATCTACATAGGTTATACATACATACATAAGGATATGTGTGTGTGTATACAGACAAATACACACACTGGTGAAAGCATCTGGCTACTTTCCAGATAACATTCCCAGTGAATATTTTTCTATAATCTCAAATAGAAGAAATAAAAATAAACACCTAAATTATAGTTTTTTTTATTCTATAAAATATTTTTTTTTATTTTTAAAATGACAAATGAAAAAAAAATTTTAAAAAGAGAATAAACTATTACTTTTTTTAAAAAGTTAGATTCTTCATGAAAAAAATGTAATAAATATCATTAGGAAGGAATAGCACTGTCTCTTATTGGAAATAAGATTTCTCTTGATCTGTAATCGAATGTCCTCTTTATGGAGCTGTGTCTGAGTCTGGACAGGGAAGAGGGCCCCAGGATGACACACGTACCTGCCAGGGAGCAACGCTGCTGTGTCTATCTCTCTTCTACTGGAAAGTGGCTCACAGTTCTTTCTAGGGAAGAACTCGTTTTATTAGGATCATGAATTTTCCAAATCCTCTTGTAGTCTACAAAACTTAAGAATAAAAGTTAGGCTACCATTTTCTCCATACAGTTGCATCTTTACTTTAAAATGTTACCTATACAAAAATATATCTGGAAGTAGAATTAATTAGTTTGTATTTTTATTTTTTCTTATGAATTATGGTTTCTCAGATGTGGATGAGTGTGAAATTGGTGCTCATAACTGCGACATGCATGCTTCATGTCTGAATATCCCAGGAAGCTTCAAATGTAGCTGCAGAGAAGGCTGGATTGGAAATGGCATCAAGTGTATTGGTGAGTTTGCAAATGTAAATATCCTTTGCTAAGGCACAGATTTTTAAAGGCTCTTTTTGGCACGATTGTAGAATCATGCTGTTCGCTTTTATTAATTCCCTTATAAAAAGGTCATCTTAGTTGCAAGGTAGTTCCTGGCTAAGAGTTTCCTTTACCCTTATCAAAATTTCAACAGTATGCCTTGGCACCTGTTTTTTAATGTGGTGTTGTTCAGTAAAAAATTGATATGCAGCTGGTGATCCAAACACAGCTGTATGATGAAAAATGACTAGTATGTTCTTCCCATCTTTTCAAAGAAGTAATCAGTGAGATTTAAAATCCAGTGAAATAAATGGAGGACAATAAAAGGTTTTTTCTGATAACCTAAGTTTGTAGTAAGTCAACAATACCAGCATCTTATTAGAAAATAAAAAAAAAAATACAGGAAATTCTAAATGCTTTCTTGGATTCCAAGAGGTCTTGTTTGAAGAAAAAAAAAAGGGCAATTTCTCCAAGTTTTATGGTTCTTAAGCCAGAGTCTAAGGAGAAGTATTTTATATCTGAGAGGCAAGGAACTAGAATATACCCTGAGTGTCATTCACAGTTCTGTGTAATATGCTTAGTGTTTCACTTGCCTTACAATAAAGCATTTTTCCAACTGGCAAGAATTTCCAGGTCAATTTAAAACAGAAAAGAAAGCAAGCTAAACTCACTTCCCCCGATAACTTACAAAAAACGTATAGACCCACAGTAAGGATTAAAAAATAGCTTTAAGATCTCTTACCAAAACTATAAGTTAATTTGAATATATACTTTTTTATCCATTCAAATATTTCATACTTATCAAAAGTTTATGTGCTGACTATAGAATTTGAAGTATCAGAGCTTCCGAATAACTGCTAAATAACATCCTGCAATGGCTTAGTGAAGCACCAGCCTCTAGTCCAGCCATCTTTCCAGGGTTACTATCATAACTTTTCAACCATGCCCCCATTCCCGTTTTTGTAGCCCCATGTGCCTACCCCTTTTCTCTTTTCAGCCTCCCATTTTTGTGCTTCTTGTCCATCTGTCATTTTGGCTAACTATTGCAAGACAGCCTGCCTCTGATGCAAGACATTCAGCTGTGTCCAGCCTCCTGTGCTCCAGGATGTCACCCAAATTCATCCTCTTCTTTACATCTTCTTTCTTCTACTCTAGTCCCAACCAGAGAGAGCAGAGAGAGTCTCTCTGTGCTCTCTCTCCCTCTCTGTCTTTCTCTCTCTCTGTCTGTCTGTCTCTCTCATGCACCCTTGATCTTGGTGTCTGCTGAATGCTAAAAGAACCCCCCTCTGGTACGCTGGCTTGTTCCCTCTCTGGCCCTCCTGCAGTCCATTCTCCACATAGCAGCAGGAGCATGGATTCAATCTCTTCATAGTCTTCACTATAACCCATTGAATTCAGGATAAAATGCATCTTCCCTCCCTTGGCTGCGGGTTTCCATTTTCTTTCTAGCTTAATTGTCCATCGCCCTCTGTCTGGTGTATTCTGCTTTGCCACTGTAACCTCCTTTTGTTTCTTCAGTCACACCGAGCTCATTTCCTCCTTGGTGTCTTACCATGCGCTCCTCCCTCTGGAAGGAATACCCTTCCCCACCTCTGTTTAGCAGTTAAGTCTTTCTCATCCTCAGGTCTGACGTTTACTAAAAACTACTACCTCAAAGGGGGCATCTTTGTTCCTGCAGCCCAAATAGGATGCCCTTTTTATTCTCTCATGACACCTTGTAACTTTTCTTCATGGCACATATAGCAAGATTTAATTGTTTTCTGTGTTTAACATCTGTCTTTTCTACTAGACTAAGGGTTCCATGAGGTCAAGAATCATATCTCTGTTTCCTCATCTATTAAATAAACTTGAAAACTCTTTGTTAATTTTCCTGTTCTGAAATTCAGTATCACCTTCAGAATTGATCCTTTTACTGATAAGGAAACCACTAATAAAATTCACCCTCAGTAGAAGTCAGAATGAGATCTAACACTAGTTTGCTTTGAGCTGTTAAAAAATTCATGTTGACTATATATCTCACAAAATGCTTGAGTTCATAATTTTGGCCCACATTTATGGCATGGACATTGGATATTGGGTCTGAGAGCTTAGTGAATTGGAACTGTGATCCTGCAAACTAAAACGCATGCCATTTGTCCAGTTTATATGTAAATTAAGACAAACTTTCTTTCCAGGTGCTTAAATGTTGCGTTTTCATTTCTGAACTTTTTTGCTGTGTTCTGCAGATCTGGATGAATGTTCTAATGGAACCCACCAGTGTAGCATCAATGCTCAGTGTGTAAATACCCCAGGCTCATACCGCTGTGCCTGCTCTGAAGGTTTCACTGGAGATGGCTTTACCTGCTCAGGTGGGTGACAGTCCTGAGGTGTGTTCTGATGGGCTGGTCATAGAATACTCTATATGCTTCCTCATTTGAAGAAAATTATAGCTAAAGGAGACAAAAGTAACTACTTTTTTTATACTTGACGTGCAGGTAACTATGTATCTTTCTCTTACATTAAACACAAAAATCTGAATGACTTTCCAGATATATTCTTGAAAGTTTTCAAATAAAGGCATTTGTAACAATCATGTACTGTTAATGATTTGCCATTTTATCTTACTTATTTGTAACATGGTGGTTAAAAAAATGCAGCCTTTGTCTGGATCAGACTACCTGGATTCAAATCTTGCCTATGCCATTTTTTGCCTGTAACTGTAAGTGAATTGCTTGACTTGTCTGACCTGATTTAAAATGCAATAGTAATAATACAATTTTCTTTTCTTCTTTTTTATTCTTAAATGAATGGTGTGGGAAAACGGTTCAGCTTTTTAAGATAGGATATATGACCTATCTGATCACTGCTATTTAATGTGTTTATCAAAGTCTCAGTAGTTTATCACATGACATTGGAAGGATTAAATGGAATAATACAAATAAAGGACTTAGAAGAACACATCACAAAATTTCAGTAAATATTAGCTTCTATTTAGCTTCTATTCATTCATATTCTTTGAGAATAAAGCATCCTCTCATTGTGTGCATGTATAAGACTAGATAATCTTGCTGGACATAAAGTTGAATACTTTTCAGTTTATAAAGTAAGTGTTTCTCAATTGATTTTCAGTACACATTTTAAACCCATAATTAAAGGATAGACTAAATTAGTTTCTAATTGTTGACATCAAAAATGCAGCCTCATCATTTTCAAATGCCTGTTTAAGGAAATGTGTTTATTCAATTTTAAAGCTTCATTACTTGTAGCCCTAGATATTGCATCTTTCCTGGCATTTCTCCACACTGTGGTGTCAAGGAAAGAGCATGGCTTTCAAGTCAGACACATCTGCAATCAGATCCTGACTCAGTCAACATGTATTATTACCTTACTGTGGCTCTGTCAGCTTACTTGGATGCTCTTAGCCACAGGTTCTTCCTCTTCTAAACCTCAGGAGATTGGTGAATTCAGTGAAAAAATGCATGTCAGGCAACCAGCACAGCACATGGCAAATGTCACCCTCACTAAACAATGATTTTTCCTTCCCTCTGATTCCACTTTATAGAATTAAATTATCTTTAAGGTCTGTGAGTAATGTCCGTTTGTGTAATTAAGATAGAAGTATTTTTATAAGATTATGACATGAAAGAAACTTTCCCCATTCCCATAGTGTCTCTAGTTTGCTTTAAAACACTTGAACTAGTGAAAAAGCAAGTTGTTTATTCGAATACTATAATTTTCTCAAAGAATGATCACCATTTTAAGGTTAATTCCAATGTTTTTCATATCTAAATAACGTTGGCATACCACTGACAAGAGAAGGCAAATGTGAGAGATGTCTGCATTTCTCCTATTAATAATATTACAATTGAATGTTAGGGTGCAGGTTAAATAGCTTTTCTTTAATTATATTACAATTCAATGTTGCGGGGGGTAGGATAAATAGACTTTCTCTCAGGTTGTTACCCTCCTTTAAGTGAATGTGATTATTGTTTCATGTTAATGAGCATTAAGTCAAGCCAGTAAAACTGATCTATTTATAGGGTAGGGAGAAAATATGTCATGAAATTTGGAACTTGACAGAGATGGAATTTCCTTTTTTGTGCAGATGTTGATGAGTGTGCAGAAAACATAAACCTCTGTGAGAACGGACAGTGCCTTAATGTCCCGGGTGCATATCGCTGCGAGTGTGAGATGGGCTTCACTCCAGCCTCAGACAGCAGATCCTGCCAAGGTGGGTCACCAGGATTCCAACTCATTTTCAAGTTGGATCAACCACAGCAAATGAAACCACAACAAGGGCTGGAACAAGCTCCACCTGGAAGCAGAATACATAGCACATGCTGCACATATAAAAGTCGTTCGTTTAAGCGTGGATTATTTTGCCGAATGAATAATGATGAAGGCAGCTTTCATCTCTTATGAAGTTTTCCTGGCCAAGAGCCAGTAGTTGGAAGTTTGGCTCATTCTTTTTTCTTTTTTAACCATTTTTTCTCTTCTTTCTTTTTTATCACTAAATGAATGTCATGTGGAGAAACTATTCAGCTTTTAAAATATGCTCCATTACTTGTCTCAACCACCACTATTTATTGTGTTTATCAAAATCATAAAAAGCTCATTTTTGGCATTTACCTTCATGGTTGAGACTTCTGTCTGTATGTCTGGGAAGGGAAGTCCTCTTCAGGGATTCAGCAAGGGCTGTACTTTTGCTTAGTACTAGTGGTTCCTTATTCTAAGTGATGACATCATCCCCCTTTCCTAGAAATGGGTCTTTGTGCCTAGTATGATATCTTTCCAAGAAAAAGAATTTGGATTTTCTATTAAATTAGAAACTCAATTCACATTATATATAGTTTGAGCCATCATTGTGTTATGAATAGGGACTATATGAAAATATAAATGAAGAAAGGAGAGATTGAAAATAGTTTATACACCATAGGGCTTCAGCAGAATTTATGATTCACAGAAAACCTTTAAAAAAACTCAGTTTGGGCTGGGCGTGGTGTCTCACGCCTATAATCCCAGGTCTTTGGGAGGCCAAGGTGGGTGGATCACCTGAGGTCGGGAGTTCGAGACCAGCCTGACCAACATGGAGAAACCCCGTCTCTACTAAAAATACAAAATTAGCCGGGTATGGTGGCTCGTGCCTGTAATCCCAGCTACTCAGGAGGCAGAGGCAGGAGAATGGTGGAACCCTGGAGGTAGAGGTTGTGGTGAGCCGAGATTGTGCCATTGCACTCCAGACTGGGCAACAAGAGTGAAACTCTGTCTCAAAACAAAACAAAAAAAAAAAAAACAAACAACAAAGAAACTCAGTTTGCCAGTCATGCAGCCTCATAGAGGAAAAAAAAAAAACCTAACTGCTGAGCAAAAATGATAAAATGAAAACAGATTTAAAAACTTCCCCCTACATCAGTATCTAACCAAATGAACAGAAATGGCAAGTACTGGCACACGTGCACACACACATACACACACACAAACACACAATTCATCAGTGTCAACCAAACAAAACCAAATGATACACCCTGCAGTGGTTCACAGTAGAGTCCAACTCTGCTCCACCGTCAGAAGTGGCCCTGAAGAAAGAAAGTGAGCCAAAAGTTCATGAAATTCTTCAGAAAGAGCAACAAATGTGGAGAGACTCAGAAAAAGGGGATGAACAGTTGGCCCTAGGGAAGATGAAGTTAGAAACTGAAAGCATTCATGCTTCTACGTTGACCCACAATATTGGGCAGAATCTAATCCATTTTATACAAGGTGACTTAGGGTAAGTTCCTTTTTTTCTTGGTCCTGGTTTCTTCTAAGCACTGAAGTGTAGTAGTAGAATTAATGGAAAATGTGAATCAATGTAAATATGGAATAACATGATTTATTATCTACATTAGTTTGACAAGAGTTAGTGGGAGAAGGAACAGGTCAGCAGTAGCCACTTTCACTAACGTAAATTCTTTATACCTGGACAGGATTTTTCCTTCCTAATTGTATATTACTTTATGGGTGGCACAGGCCCTTTCAGAACTTCCCTCTCCCCCAAGATGGTGCTAAATAGTTACTGTTTACTGTACTTCCTGCACATCTAGTTTTCTCATATGTCATTACCACAGAGAGAAACTCGTAACTGACAGGGCAGCTGAGGGTTGGCACACCTGTAGTTCACCTTCAGTTGGACCCTCTGCTCCATTCAGCTGAACACCAGCTTTTGAAATCCAAAAAATGTAATTCCATGGTTCTGGCCATTCTCCTTGTTTTTCTCTCCTCTCCACAAGGTCTGGCTCATCTGGACCGTTTCTCCTGAATTTATTAATTGAATCCCTTGTTGTCTACCCATCTTATTATAAGTACATGATCCTCCGATGAACATTTTCCACCACAAAGTCTCAGAATTTCTATAGAATTCAAAAAATTATTGAAGTTGGCCATTTCCCAGTAATCTCCACCAAAATGAGGGAATATAAAACCTGGAGGAACCCCTGCAGGAACATGATAGAGGACTCCGTTAAATGGAACAGACCTACATACAGACCATTTTCTATAATTTCTAAAGAGAAAGCGAAGGCCAAGTTCATCAACATAGAGCCCAGGGGAGCTCTCCCCGTTCTCAATCTTCTCTCCCTCCACCTTATGAAACTTTGGGCGACTGAATACAGCTTTAATGAAACCGAAACCAGCTGTCTTCCACATAAGCTCTGATAAAGAAGGAAAGATATCAAGAGATGTTATTTAAACTGTACTAAAGTAAACAAAAGCTCTTGAAAGAGCAGGCCAAGTAGTGTGTATACCAGCTGAAAAATAAACAGTAGCAACTATACAGGCATCCTATGAAAACAAAAGAAAGAAAAACACAAAAACAGCTAAAGAACCCCAACCCACAATGGAAGAAAACTCCTCAAGAAATAAAACAGAATTTCCGTAGGTACTTTTTGCCATATATGATCTTAATAAAATCGTAAATGTAGTTGAACAAGCTTATGGAGATTATAAGAGCTATAGAGTAAAAGGGAGATTGCAGAATCAAGAGAAATAAGAAATGGGGACCAATACAGCAAAATAAGAGAACTATTAAATAAAAACAGCAAAAACCAGAAAAAAAAAAGATGAAAATGTAATTGCTAGCATAGAGAAGGGGCCTGAGATAATAACAGTGGAAAAAAAGAGGAAAGAGAAATTAACACTATTAGAGAAAAGACAAAAAAAATAAACATCAGTATAATTGGTGTCGCTGAAGAGAGCCCAAAAAATCAACTGGAAAAAAAAAGTACTAAACAACCAAACATTTTCGTGCAGTCGAACAAAGAACTGAATATACAAAGCCCAAATTGTAAGACAAAGACTTAGATTTACTACATTTGTCAACTTTAGTCATAGGAGAAGGATTGAAGACTTCAGATAGAAAAGGCAACCCATCTCATGTGCAAAGACACACATAGGCTCAAAATAAAAGGATGGAGGAATATTTACCAAGCAGACAGAAAGCAAAAAAAAGCAGAGATTACAATCCTAGTCTCTGATAAAACAGACTTTAAACCAACAAAGATCAAAAGAGACAAAGAAGGGCATTACATAATGGTAAAGGTCACAATGCAACAAGAAGAGCTAACTAGCCTAAATATATCTGCACCCAATACAGGAGCACCCAGATCCATAAAGCAAGTTCTTAGAGACGTACGGAGAGACTTGAAGACTCCCACACAATAACAGTGGGAGACTTTAACACCCCACTGTCAATATCAGACAGATCAACAAGACAGAAAATAAAGGATATTCAGGATTTGAACTCAGCTCTGGACCAAGTGGACCTAATAGAGATCTACAGAACTCTCCACCCCAAATCAACAAAATATACATTCTTCTCAGCACAACATCGCACTTATTCTAAAATTGACTACATGATGAGAAGTAAAACACTCCTCAGCAAATGCAAAAGAATGAAAGTAATAACAGTCTCTCAGACCACAATGCAACCAAATTAGAACTCAGGATTAAGAAACTCACTCATGGCCAGGCACAGTGATTCATGCCTGTAATCCTAACACTTTGGGAGGCCAAAGTTGGCAGATCATGACGTCAGGAGATCGAGACCATACTGGCTAACATGATGAAACCCCATCTCTACTAAAAATACAAAAAACATTAGCCAGGCATGGTGGCGGGTGCCTTTAGTCCCAGCTACTCAGGAGGCTGAGGCAGGAGAATGGCTTGAACCCAGGAGGCAGAGCTTGCAGTGAGCCAAGATCACGCCACTGCACTCCAGCCTGGGACGACAGAGCAAGACTCCATCTCAAAAAAAAAAGAAACGAAAAGGAAAAGAAACTCACTCAAAACCGCACAACTATACAGAAACTGAACAACCTGCTCCTGAATGACTACTGGGTAAATAACGAAATTAAGACAGGAATAAAGAAGTTCTTTGAAACCAATGAAAACAAAGTCACAATGTGCCAGAATCTCTGGGACACAGCTAAAGCAGTGTTTAGAGGGAAATTTACAGCACTAATTGTCCACGGGAGAAAGCAGGAAAGATCTAAAATCAACACTCTAACATCACAATTAAAAGAACTCGAGAAGCAAGAGCAAACAAATTCAGTAGCTAGCATAAGACAAGAAATCACTAAGAGCAGAACTGAGGGAGATAGGGACACAATAAACCCTAAAAAAAATCAGTGAATCCAGGAGCTGTTTTTTTGAAAAGATTAACAAAAGAGATAGACTGCTAGTGAGAAAAATAAAAAGAGAGAGAAAAATCAAATAGAATAAAAAATGATAAAGGGGAAATATCACCACTGATCACACAGAAATATAAACTACCATCAGAGAACACTATAAACACCTCTATGCAAATAAAGTAGAAAATCTAGAAGAAATGGATGAATTCCTGGACACATATACCCTCCCAAGACTAAACCAGGAAGAAGTCGAATCCCTGAATAGACCAATAACAAGTTCTGAAATTGAGGCAATAATTAATAGCCTACCAAACGAAGGAAGTCCAGGAACAGGTAGATTCACAGCCGAATTCTACCAGAGGTACAAAGAGGAGCTGGTACCATTCCTTCTGAAACTGTTCCAAACAATAGAAAAAGAGGAACTCCTCCCTAACTCATTTTATGAGGCCAGCATCATCCTGATACCAAAACTTGGAAGAGACGCAACAAAAAGAGAAAATTTCAGATCAATATCCCCAATGAACGTCAGTGCAAAAATCCTCAATAAAATACTGGCAAACCAAATCCAGCAGCACGTCAAAGAGCTTATCCACCAAGATTGAGTCAACTTCATCCCTGGGATGCAAGGCTGGTTCAACATATGCAAATCAATAAATGTAATAATCCATCACATAAACAGAACCAATGACAAAAACCACACGATTATCTTAAAAGATGCAGTAAGGCCTTCAATAAAACTAGGCCTTCATTAAAATAGGCCCTTCAATAAAATTCAACACCCCTTCATGCTAAAAACTCTCAATAAACTACGTATTGATGGAATGTATCTCAAAATAATAAGAGCTATTTGTGACAAACCCACAGCCAATATCATACTGAATGGGCAAAGGCTGGAAGTGTTCCCTTTGAAAACTGGCACAAGACGAGGATGCCCTCTCTCACCACTCCTATTCAACATACTATTGGAAGTTCTGGCCAGGGCAGTCAGGCAAGAGAAAGAAATAAAGGGGATTCAAATAGGAAGAGAGGAAGTCAAATTGTATCTCTTTGCAGATGACATGATTGTATATTTAGAAAACCGCATTGTCTCAGCCCAAAATCTCCTTAAGCTGATAAGCGATTTCAGCAGTCTCAGGATACAAAATCAATGTGCAAAAATCACAAGCATTCCTATACAGCAATAATAGAGAGCCAAATCATGAGTGAACTCCCATTCACAGTTGCTACAAAGAGAATAAAATACCTAGGAATACAACTTACAAGGGATGTGAAGGGCCTCTTAGAAGAGAACTACAAACCATTGCTCAAGGAAATAAGAGAGAACACAAAGCAAATGGAAAAACATTCCATGCTCACGAATAGGAAAAATCAGTATCATGCAAATGGCCATACTGCCCAAAGTAATTTATAGAATCAATGCTGTCCTGATCAAGCGACCATTGACTTTCTTCACAGAATTAGGAAAAACTACCTTAAATTTCATATGGAACCAGAAAAGAGCCCGTATAGCAAAGACAATCCTAAGCAAAAAGAACGAAGCTGGAGGTATCATGCCACCTGACTTCAACCTATCCTACAAGGCCACAGTAACCAAATCAGCATGGTGCTTGTACCAAAACAGAGAGATAGACCAATGGAACAGAACAGAGCCCTCAGAAATAACACCACATATCTACAACCATCTGATCTTTGACAAACCTGACAAAAACAAGCAATGGAGAAAGGATTACCTATTTAATAAATGGTGTTGGGAAAACTGGCTATCCCTCTGTAGAAGACTGAAACTGCATCCCTTTCTTACCCCTTATACAAAAATTAACTCAAGATGGATTAAAGACTTAAACGTAAGACCTAAAACCATAAAAACCCCAGAAGAAAACCTAGGCAATGCCATTCAGGACATAGACATGGCAAGGACGTCAAGGCTAAAACACCAAAAGCAATGGCAACAAAAGCCAAAATTGACAAGTGGAATCTAATTAAAGTAAAGAGCTTCTGCACAGCAAAAGAAACTATCATCAGAGTGAACAGGCAACCTACAGAATGGAAGAAAATTTTTGCAATCTATCTGTCAGACCAAGGGCTAATATCCAGAATCTACAAGGAACTTAAACAAATTTACAAGAGAAAAACAACCCCATCAAAAAGTGAAAAAAAAATATCAACAGACAATTTTCAAAAGAAGACATTTATGCGGCCAACAAACATAAGAAAAAAAGCTCATCATCACTGGTCATTAGAGAAATGCAAATCAAAAGCACAGTGAGATATCATCTTATGCCAGTTAGAATGACGATCATTAAAAAATAAGGAAACAACAGATGCTGGAGAGCATGTGGAGAAATGGGAACACTTTTACGTGTTGGTGGGAGTGTAAATTAGTTCAACCATTATGGAGGACAGTGTAGCGATCCCTCCAGGACCTAGAACCAGAAATACCATTTGACCCAGCAATCCCATTACTGGGGATATTCCCAAAGGATTATAGATCATTCTACTATAAAGATACGTGCACACCTATGTTTATTGCAGCACTGTTCATAATAGCAAAGACTTGGAACCAACCCAAATGACCATCAATGATAGACTGGATAAAGAAAATGTGGCACATATACACCATGGAATACTATGCAACCATAAAAATGAATAAGTTCGTGTCCTTTGCAGGGACATGGATGAAGCTGGAAACCATCATTCTCAGCAAACTAAGGAACAGAAAACCAAACACCGCATGTTCTCACTCATAAGTGGGAGTTGAACAGTGAGAACACATGGACACAGGGAGGGGAACATCACACACTGGGGCCTGTCAGAGGATGGGGATTAGGGGAGGGATAGCATTAGGATAAATACCTAATGTAGATGACAGGTTGATGGGTGCAGCAAACCACCGTGGCACGCAAAAAAATACGTAACAAACCTGCACATTCTGTACATGTATCCCAGAACTTAAAGTATAATAAAAAAAGAAAAAGAAAAGGCAATTCATGAGCTAAACAGAAATATCCAATACTAAAAGACATTAGATCCATGCCCACAAAATTCTGAGGAAATGTGAAAAATGTTATACTTAATTATAAAGATAATAAGCATTTTCTTACACATGAAATATGTCAGGTAGAAAACACCTGTGTTTTCATAAAAGTCCCACCCTTCTTGGAAAAAGAACAATCAGCAATGAAACACAGCCAATCAAGAAACAAATGGAGAAGTTGTAATAAAACCATTATTGATCCCTTTAAGTAAATAATTAGTACTAAACACTGTGGAAATTATGGTAAACTGCCATAGACATTGAAAAAGTGCAAATGATAAAAATAAGCAGTTGGAAGGATATATGAGTGCTAATTTTCTTATAATTTATTGTATAGAATTAATTAATACTATCTAAAAATTACATTTCAACTTTAGCATAAAGCCAAAAAATTTTTAGCATTTTTTATTCTTAACATTACAAAAGTATTTTAAAACTGTTGAGATGATGGTAAATTTATCTGATGCATACAAATTGTTTTAGCTTCACTGTCTAAATATGTATTATATAAATGTCTGAAATGATCTTAAATGATTCTTTCTAGATGGAAACATTTTTGAGTAATTGTTTTGCTGTTTTGTGTATTATTTGAATTTTTGAATATCTCTCTATTTTACAAAGGAAAGACAGTAATCTTTTAAAGTACCTTCTTTATACAACAATTACATTACTTAGGTGGAAGAAATTTCTAATAAAGTTCATTTATAAGTAAAATAGATTGGGCATGGTGGCCCACACCTGTTAATACAGCACTTTGGAAGGCCAAGGAGGGAGGATCACTTGAGCCCAGGAGTTCAAGACCAACCTGGGCCACATAGGGAGACCCTGTCTCTACAGAAACTTTATAAACTAGCTTGGTGTGATTGTGTTTGCCTATAGTCCCAGCCACCTGGACGTCTGAAGGGGGAGGATTACTTGAGCCCAGGAGGTTGTGGCTGCAGTGAGCCACGATCGTGCCACTACTCCAGCCTGTGTGATAGAGCAACAACCTGTTTGAAACAAACAAACAGGCAAAAAAATGCACACTCAGAAGGCTGACAGTACAATTCCCTTTTTGAGTATAATTAACATAATTCAATTGTAATCTAGCTTAAAGAATTTTTACTCATTTATATAAAGAGAATAACTTTCTTACCCCCAATACAATAAAAGATACCTTTGCACATGTTAAACTTTGAACATGATTAGAACCATACCTTAAATCTAAGATAGTTGAAACCAGTATTTTAACTATAATGAATGACCAAAGAAGTCTTGTTTAGACTTAAGATATAACTGTCTGATGACAGCAGTTTAGGATGACTTGTCTAGTCTAGCCTAAAATGACATGCCTGGTCTGCATTCTCCGAGTGTTAGGCAATTTTTATACAAAAATGTCCATCCTCTTTTTGAGAGTAGAAATTCAGATTATTTCCACAGCTATACATACACGTTGATTTTCACCTGAGTGAGGAGTGATAACTTCATATTTATTAACTTTGAGTTACAGCCTCGTAGAAGACTATCATAAACTTTTCATAAATGAATTTTTAGTCCAATTCAATAGAGATATTTTAATGAAATTTACTAGAATATGGGGTCAATGGACCATCTTATTAACATGAAATTAGGGAAGAAATTTCTTCTCTGTTTAAAACTGCTTTATAATAACAGAGAAGATTGCAAAATAAAAAGGAAGTAAAAACTAAAAAGTTAATTAATATTTATTTAATTAAATTTAATTAACTAAATTAATGAAAAAGTTAATTTTAATATCTCCAATATTTAAAAATAATTATGTATTTGTTTTTCATAATATAAAACATTTATCAACTATAAAATGTCTGCTGTTTGCACTAGTTAGAATCTTTGAATTTGCTTTTATCTTTTTTTACAATTTCATTTCTTTGACATGTTTATATTTAATTTTTGTATTTTATGTGCCTTGAGCCAACTCTTCTTTAAGTATATCATAATCCAAGTCATTTAAAATACTAGACCCTCATTTTACCAAGGAAATAATATTTCTTTTATATCTTAGTTCCATAGGTGAACATTAGTTGCTTGCCCTTTGCACTTATCTACCTAGACAAAAAAAAAAAAAAGCTTTACTGAATAAAAACATCTGAGGGGGTAGAAAAATGCACTAATGTTAGACATTACATTAAAATTTTAAAATTTCTTTGTAAATAAGAGATTACTATTTTTTTTTAAATCTTCAGATATTGATGAATGCTCCTTCCAAAACATTTGTGTCTTTGGAACATGTAATAACCTGCCTGGAATGTTTCATTGTATCTGCGATGATGGTTATGAATTGGACAGAACAGGAGGGAACTGTACAGGTATGGTCAGTTATGGGCTAAGTTGTGTTCTGATTCATTGAAATAAATATTCTGTGCTAATCGTAAAAATTCCTGAGATTTCTGCTTAGCTAATCTATGCATTAGGTTACACATTTTTCTGAAAAAGAAAATTATATTCAGATACGTTTATTTGTAGCTATGGAATTGATGCATTTTTATGTAAATAATATTAAATTGTTATCTATATAATTGTTAATATTAAATATCTGAAATTAAACTAGTAAAGTATCTCTTTGAATATATGTTCATGTATATGTGTATATATACGTGTATATTTGTGATTTTTGTTAAACAAATAGTGACATAATTTTTTCTTCCTCAGAGTTGCAAATTTTAATTAATTACAATGTATTTATCAAGGATACTAAATGCTGTCATAAATACTGTGTGCTTGATATGTGGAACCTGTTTTAGGTATATATCAAAATTTAAGATCTTTATTTTACTGTGTTGAGTCTTTCTAGTGATCTTTAATCTACTAACTTTCAAAAATTCCACCAAATTCTTTGGAACAGCAGTATGCCTAGAAAAAGTAACAGTGGTAACCTGCGCATTTTCAATGCTTCTCCTAGATATTGATGAGTGTGCAGATCCCATAAACTGTGTCAATGGCCTATGTGTCAACACGCCTGGTCGCTATGAGTGTAACTGCCCACCCGATTTTCAGTTGAACCCAACTGGTGTGGGTTGTGTTGGTAAGTAAAGCTATATGAAACAAGTAGAATGATCAAGTTGAATATTCAAACTCTCTTGGTAATGAACTGTGATGAATGTTTGCTACGGTTAACTTAAAAACAAAACATTATATGGTTGCCTTTATTGTGTTTGTCTTCCAAATCATCAGCTCCACCTTCCTCCTCTCACAGACTTGATATCCAAGGCACAGAGAAGTGCAGTAATTTGTTCAAGGTCTCAGAGCTTGAAAATGGCAGAGCTAAGGCAGTAGCCCAGGTTGCTGCCTGGCTCCTTGTCCAGTATTTGGCCAGGATAACCCAGAGTGGTGGTATAGCTATTAGAATATCTATTTCTTCTGCCTACTGGAAGGGTCATATAGCAAAGTAAATGAAGTGATGAGAAGCAAGGAATTAGATAGATGGATTTATGAGCCAAACCATTGGAGCAGAAGTTGAGAGATGACAGGGAGGAGGAGGAGGCAGTAATGAAGGTTCGGAATCTGTGGTCAGCACCTCTGATCTTTAAAAAACAATTGTCCAGCTTTTACTCTCTGCGCTATTCCTGTGTTTTCCTAGAGAAGGAAATGGTCTGGAAAATTTTCTGGAAGTATACAAAAAAAGGGAGGAGTGGAGAATTCCTTGCTTGAGTAGAAATCTGCCTACTGTCCTCAGTGTCAGTTTTTGGGCCTGCAGCAAATGGGAGGAATATTTGCTGCTGTGATTTATACCCACCTTATATACTGTTTTCAAGCTTTAGAGAATACTTTTAATTATCATTTATGACTACTCCAAGTTCTGCATTTTCCATTCAAAATAATTCATTTGGTAAAGATTGAGCGCCTTCTGTCTAAGGGCTGGAGTTGCAACAGTGAACAGAACAAGCACATTCTCTGCTTTTGTGTTTACATTTTACAGGCAGGGAGATAAATAAAAACAAGAACAAACAGAATTGGCACTGGAGGTGGTTGGAGGAGAACTGCCATGTTATATTAGGAATGGGGGAATCAGAGCCTTTAAGGAGGGGACAAGCCAACTGGACCTCTGAGGGAAGCCTCCAGTTAAAAGGAGCAGGCAGTGCAAAGGGCCTGTGGTAGGAGAAGACTGTGCATTAGAGACATAGCACAAGGCTGTGTGCAGCAAGAGAGGAGTGAGTGGAGGGGTCAGGGATGAGGAGAGGAATCAGAGGAGCAGTCACCCAGTTCACAAAGTGATTCTCAACCGAGGCTGCATAGTAAACTCCATTTATAACCTGGAAAATATATTGATGCCTGTTACACCCCCAGAAATTCTGACTTACTGGGGCCTCAATATTTCTTAAAAACTTCCTTGGAACAAAGACTGTGAATAGGCAACTCATAAAAGAGAATAGTCTAAACGTTAAAAAATGTAAGCAAGCAAATGACCAAAATCATTAGGAATAAGAAATCCAATTGAAACAATTATATAAATACCACTTTACACCTCATATACTGGCAAATATTAGGAAATTGGATAATGCGAAGTATTGATGGGGACATGGGCCTTGAGGAGCATCCTGTTCTGCTGGTAGAAGTGTAGACCAGGGCAGCCCCGCAGAGAATATACTTGCACAACAGTACACCAATTAACTGTCAGTGTATAATCAATGTTAGTTTTTGAGTTTCTTTTTGGAGCAATTCTATTTGTGTGGATTGACACTTTATTGCTTTCGTTCATTCTCAGTTCCAAAAAACAAAGACTCATTCTATCTCAAAAGTGCCAAGGAGTCTATTGGACCCTTTCATAAGTCTGAAACATTATAAAATGTGAAGAGATCTTGTTTTTCCTTTGTCTTGAAACATTTTGACATTTTATCATCCTAGCTGTTATTTTTATCATTGTTCACCATTATGTCCAATGGATACAACAAACAGAATAAAATAATAAGAAGTGGAAAATTATGGCATCACCTAGAAGGAACATGCATTAGTGAAATAAAATGTCACTGTTGCATCATCCTTCAGTTTCCTTATTATATTGCCCTAAGGATTGCATCATTTTCTCAAGAAAGTACAAGAGAAGACTGGAGACACCTTACTTGAAATCTTTTAGCATTTAAAAAAAACAGTTGAGAATTTAAAAGTCTTTACTTTCTGGCCATAATTTTTGGCAAAAAGAAAAAAATGACAGTGGAAAATATTTCACAGTTGTTAGTTGAGCCAGGTGACTAGAGAGAGACAGAGAGCAGCTCTTTCGTCTAGAATCTAAAGGTGATGGTGAAATGAATCGTCTAAGCACAATCCCCGACTAAGTGCCTTCAGAGACGAATATCCTAGGTGAATTTTTTCAAACTTCAGAATCAACAAGTGAATGGACAGTGTATTTCTGTAGACAAAGGAAATGAAGTATTCTCATCCACTTAGTCAATAAAAAGAACTTCAACCCACAATATTTGGTAACAAGAACCTGAATCATCCCAGGTTCGTGGATTCTTTCATATTTTCATGATGTTTCTGTACCAAAATTCAATTGATATGATTCATAAGCAGACAAAGATAAAGGCAGGTACGTATAAAAGGTTATTGGAAGGAAATATGTGATGTAGAAGTGCAGTCAGTAGATTGATTATTTTAATTAGTTTTGATAAATCTAAAAATGAAAACATTTTCTATCTGGTAGCCTTTAAAGAAGACAGCTGTCCTCTCATCAACAAAATCATGAACTGTTAATGTTTTCAAAAATTCCTTTGGCTATTACATTTTTATGAAGCAAGAACAAGAATAACCAGAAATAATGATAAGCTAGAACCTATTAGAGATGTGTTTGAAACCTGGAATCGGTTTTTACAAAATGGATATATTCCAAGTTCATGAATGACAATTGATAGGCAATTAGTTGCATTCAGAAGATCATTTTGAGTAGAATATCTTCAAAACCAAGAAAATACAGATTAAAAAGTTGAGTTAGCTATGATTAAATTCTTATTAATATTGCTAATAAAGTTGTTTTCAACTTTTTTCTTCTGTATATTAGTTTTTATAATATACCTTTCTTCTGTAAATGGTTTTTTAAAATTATTTAGAAATAGTAAAAATTAAAGGGTTCATTGGATGTAGTTGGTAAATGATGACTATTTTTCCTGACTGAAGGCTAAGTATAGGCAAACCCTGTAAATCAACAATTCCTTTTGTGGCTCTATATGCCAATGGCATTAACTCACAGGCCCATACAGAGACACATATATAATGTTCATCGCAGCATTCTTTGTGGTGGTAGGGTTTTAGAAACCATTTTTGGAGAGGAGGGTTTTTTTTTTAAAGGCAGTTATGCACCATGAAGCTGAAAGACTGGAGGTTCACAGAACAAGCATGATTAGAAAAGTTATAAAAATGAAATGAGATGTATGACAAAAGACATTTGTGTAAATTTAAAATGAACACATTAAAACAAAAATAATTTATTTTGCAGGAGCACTTGTAAAAAGTAGTAATGTTAAGTACATTTGGATGATCTGGTAGGGAAGGAGAATGGGAATGAAGAATAGGGATAAAAGAGAAAGGGAGGGGGAGGAGAGAGAAAGAACAGATGAATAAATGAGGAATAAATAAACCTAATTAGGCCAGGGGCAGTGGCTCATGCCTGTTACTCCAGCACTTCGGGAGGCTGAGGCGGGCAGATCACAAGGTCAAAAGATCAAGACCATTCTGGCCAACATGGTGAAATCCCGTCTCTACTAAAAATACAAAAATTAACTGGACGTGGTGGCAGGTGCCTGTAGTCCCAGCTACTCGGGAGGCTGAGGCAGGAGAATCACTTGAACCCCGGAGGCAGAGGTTGCGGTGGGCCGAGATCGTGCCACTGCACTCCAGCTTGGCAACAGAGCAAGACTCCGTCCCCAAAAAATAAATAAATAAGTAAATAAAAATAAACCTAATTAGAAGGGGGACCATGAGAATCTTGCTGCATCTGAGATTCAGCAACAAAAACAAAATGCAAAATCAGAGAAAAAATAAAGGAAAATTAGTTTTTTTTAAAAGCTCAAATGATTCTAACCTGCAGCCAGGGATGAAAATTACTCTGTAGACTGCTAAGAACTCTCGATTTTATTCTGGTTGAGAAGAGAAGCTATTGGAAGTTGCCTGACCTAAGGTAATGCTATTGAAGGGTCACTCTGGCTTACAGAAGGAAAAGTAGACCATAGTTTAGTCAAGAATGGAAGTTGAGAAAAGAGTTAGAAAACTATTACGTTAGACTAGGTAAAGGGATAGTGACGGTGGCTGGAACTCAGTAGTGATTAAAAAAAAAAAAGATAGTAATGATAGAGGCAGTGGTAAGTAGACAAATTCCAGATATTTTTGTCTGTTTGTTTTTTGTTTGTGTTTTTGTTTTTGTTTTGTTTTGTTTTGTTTTTGAGATGCAGTCTCCCTCTGTCCCCCAGGCTGGAGTGCAGTGGCACGATCTCCACTCACTGCAAACTCCACCTCCTGGGTTCACGCCATTCTTCTGCCTCAGCCTCCTGAGTAGCTGGGACTACAAATGCCCGCCACCACGCTCGGCTAATTTTGTATATTTTTAGTAGGGACAGGGTTTCACCAAGTTAGCCAGGATGGTTGTTTCCAGATATGTTTTGAAGGTTGAGTAGACAGCCCTTATTACTTGATTGAATAAGGAGTCAAAAATGATGTCAAAGCTTAGGGGGCCTGTGCAACTGGAAAAAAAAAAAAAAGAATTTCCTTGTATTGAAAATGCAGAAGACTGGGAGAGAAGACAGCAGATTTTGTACATGAAGGAAAGAGCATCGACAATTTGATTTTAGATGTGTTAACTTTGAAATAACTATTAGATGTTTAAGAGAAGAAATGAAATAGGCAGTTGGCAGAAGGGTCTAGAGTTCACGGGAGAGATGAGATACAGAACCATAAATTTGAGAGTTCTCAACAAAAAAGTAATATTTAAACCCATAGACTCAATGGAGTGATCTGGATGATAACTGTAGAGATAAAGAAAAGCCTTAGATTAGCTGATCCCTTAAATATTTTCTCTAAGTTTGTTACAGGCTATCTTTTCCAAAACCTGCGAAGTTAGCTATGCAAGTTGAAACTAAACCATTGGATAAACTCATGATATAGATTAATTATACAAAAAAAATGTGTTGTATTCATATTATTGGAGGTCCAGTATGTCCCAAATGAGAAATGCCTTACTATCTTGTCCATTCCATGAGTATAGGAAAATATGGTCTGTGTGGATGTCTAAACATAGGAAAGTCTGCCATAATTGGCTTCCTCTGACTCAATCTCGAAAAAGCTTAAAGCAGGCGATCGCTTGGTAGTAAGGATTAAAAGGAGCCTTTCATGTTAATGTACAAAATTTGAATTTCATCCTTTGAGTGACTTTTCCCTAAAATGGAGTCCTTACTATGTAAGCAAGGGCAATTGTAAGCTCCTTTGTTGCTCTACAGACAACCGTGTGGGCAACTGCTACCTGAAGTTTGGACCTCGAGGAGATGGGAGTCTGTCTTGCAACACCGAGATCGGGGTGGGCGTCAGTCGCTCTTCATGCTGCTGCTCTCTGGGAAAGGCCTGGGGAAACCCCTGTGAGACATGCCCCCCTGTCAATAGCAGTAAGTACAAAGCTGAAGAAGAGACAGAAAACCACCTGGTGTTTAAAGATTCGTTGCAATTTTATTCCTGAGCTGGGAGTAAGGAGTGTTTAGTGAGGACAAAACAAAAAAATTGAATTTGGACTACTTTCAGTGATCACACTGAAACCAGCCAAGAGTGTTAAAGGATTTGAATTCCTCTCTTCCTGTGTTTTATCATGATATGTTAAAAAAATAATTTTTAACTGTAATCATGTATGGATAGTACTAATATCAATTCTCCATGATATCACAGATAAAACATATTCCTGATTCTTCTCAAAGGTTATTTAGTTCAGCTTCTTAGGTGTGTTGTATTCCTGAAGTCAATTATAGAATGCCTTAAATTGAAACATCTGTTCTGATATGAACATGAACCAAAACCTGTATTCTCTAAACTTAATTTACTAGCTAAAAGAACTGCAAGGGAATTTTTTCTTTAATTGAAAACAAATGGTTCGTGTTATTCTACTGTGTATGTGATTAATAAAGTATGATCTTTTATGTAAAATATGTAACTTTAAATGTATATGAAAGGGCACTAAGAAAAATTTGGATACATCCCTTAGGATAAGTATATTGAGCCTGTCATTTGCTGAATGCTTGCTCGTTGTCTCAGCCATTTGGATGTGGGTATCAAACCTCTTATTTTTCTATTGTTTTGTAGCGGAATATTACACCCTGTGTCCCGGAGGTGAAGGCTTCAGACCTAACCCCATCACAATCATTTTAGAAGGTGAGCTAATCCCACTGTCACCCAGATTTAAACAAGGTAAAGAGTTAATTTTAGAGAAAAGCTGGTGGAAAAGTTACGGCAGAGCAGTCATAGCAAGATAATTTAGTAAAATTACAGATGGACTTTAATTACTAAAATGTTAAACGACCACTTTTATCAAGCAGTAATGATCCATTGCAGTGATTTGATATCTGACTGTTCTGCAGAGAAACTCTTTCCCATTGTCACCTACCTTGAATAATCCCCAACTTACTTTATTCATTTTCTCAGATAATGGTAAAAGTTCCATGACAAAGCCAAGAAGATACTTGAGCAGAATAAACTTGCCATCTAAGTGTGCATTCATTTGGATGCATAGAAGTCTGCTGATTCTTGCAAGATCACAGTTTTGAAAGATCTAATACTAACTCTTATCCTTCATGAAAGTGTTTGTTTTAAGTGCACTATCTCCCCTTTTGCAGACATTGACGAATGCCAGGAGTTACCAGGTCTCTGCCAGGGTGGAAACTGCATCAACACTTTTGGGAGCTTCCAGTGTGAGTGCCCACAAGGCTACTACCTCAGCGAGGAAACTCGCATCTGTGAAGGTGAGATGAATTTGATGCCTAAAATGCTCAGTGCTATTCGAAACAAAATGGGTGCCGAGGCCTGGGGGAAAGGCCCATCCTCAAATTCTACAAAAGGCTCAATTAAGACTGGTTCATAACTTTTTTCTTTTCATATCAATGTGGCTAAGTTGTATGATGATAGACAAATTAATTTACAGCTCATTGCCATAATTCACTGTATTTTTCTATGAGGCTTGATTAAATATCAATTGGGAAAATGGGGTAGTGTGAAAACCTACAATATTAAGTAAGTTATTAGTGAAAATATTGATAAACATTACATTTTACAAGGAAAAATTGGTAAGCTTCAATGTGACCATTAACTTAATATTGATCAGTAATTTTTTAAAGGTTGGACTATATGGTATGAAGAAGTTCAAAGGTTATGCAGCTGCCATTCTTGCTTCCATCCCCTCACCTTATCACATGGTATTTCAATTGTTTTAGGGGCCTGTCTCACCACTAAACTGGGGGCTTCTGGAGGCACGGTCCACATCTTACTCATCATGACAGCTGCAAGTTCTAGCTTACAGTAGAATCTCAATATTTAATTGTGAAATGAATGAATCCTTCTAACTGAATATTAAGCATGTAGCGTAATTATTTCCATTTTAACTTTTCTTTTGGAACACGTTCGATAAATGCATCTGGAAGAAATAGGATATAATAAGGAGAACAACCAGCAGCTGCACTGCTTTAAGAATCTCTGAATTGTTACTAATTTGAAAGAAGCTACAAAGACAAAGGCTTTCCCAACCTGCATTCACTTTAAAGTTGGCATTAAAACTTAGCCTAAAAAAAAAAATATATATATATATATTAAAGAAATTCCAATTGAAGAATGTGAATTACAATTAAAAAAAAAAAAAATATATATATATATATAGTTGCCAAGGAATTTTTTTTTTGCCACTTTAGAATAATTTCTTTTGATGCTTTATATTTTTTAATATGGGGATTTTTTTCTTTTGAAGAAAGGTGTATCTGTGTTATATAAATGCGTATTTGGCATATTTTCTTTATTTCTAAATTTTGCGTAAATAGGGATTTAGAGAATCACCTATGCTTTGTTCGGTCATCTAAGTAATATAAATTCATTGAAAAAATATATTTATTAATTAATGGATATTCTTGCCTACTCTAGATATTGATGAGTGTTTTGCACATCCTGGTGTGTGTGGGCCTGGGACCTGCTATAACACCCTGGGAAATTACACCTGCATTTGCCCACCTGAGTACATGCAGGTCAATGGAGGCCACAACTGCATGGGTAGGTAAAGAACTCTGAGATTAATTACAGCACAGTTGTCAACTTCACACCTAAAGCACTTATGTCTCAGAACTATTGTTCAGGAAGTTTGAAAGTTAAATCTTCGTGAATTGATATATTTCAGAATCCTGTAAGCTGCTGGCTTAGTATCAAATTTTTGACCTTTGGATATACATTTACATTTTTAAAAGCCTGAGTCTAATGTAGAAAATTTCCTCAAATGTTATATATTCGTAAATTTGTCATCTCCATTCATATAGTGTGAACATTAATATACAAATAAAATAACATTTGAATTTTAATGCTTAATTTTTTTAATTAAATAAATGATTTTGAGAGAAAAACAAATATGTACTAACATTGTCTCCAAAGAAAATTATAAGTGAAATCCTTTATCTAAGGATAAAGGAGAGATGTTAATCTAAAAATGATTTATGTTTAAAGACTTATTTTAAGATAGCTTCAAATGACTCAGAAGGTTTTCAGAGTTGTGTTCATCAGGAAAGCTTGATGTCTGCAGCAGTGTGGGCTTCATTATAAACTACTCGTGGATACAAATGGCCAGCTTCTTTGTTTTTCTTTATGTAGACATGAGAAAAAGCTTTTGCTACCGAAGCTATAATGGAACCACTTGTGAGAATGAGTTGCCTTTCAATGTGACAAAAAGGATGTGCTGCTGCACATATAATGTGGGCAAAGCCTGGAACAAACCTTGTGAACCATGCCCAACTCCAGGAACAGGTAAGCACATGGCTCGTGCTTCCGCTGACTGCCGTGTCAGTGATACATGCATACATGTAACAATGTAGTCAAAGTCAGTGCGTGCTAAAACTAGAGATGCTCAGTTCCGAAAATATTCAAGAGCATCATATGGCTCTATTTCCCAAGTGGCCCTCTTTGAGATTCACACACTAACTTCTGAGACATTATGTTGAATAGGCTTGTGAATCCTGAAAATAAGATCATTGCTGAAGAGTTAGAGTTTATAGCATTAGTCCATGTAAACTCGGTATCTTAAACTATGCTTGTCAATTATTGATTTATTCATCAAACAAAAAAAAATTGAGCAAGTATCGTATGCCACTGTGCTAGACATGGAAGGTGTAATATTTGGAAAAAAAACTAAATTCAAAAAGTTCATTTCTTTAGTTCAGTCATGGAAAATATGCAAAAAGTGTTTTTATGAGCAAATTTTACATAAAAGCAACCCATTGTCAAAATGTGCCTTTACATCTTCTTCCTCAGACATCAATGAAATTTTTAGGCAAAAAATAAAGCTTGTCTTTACTTGGTCATTTTTTTTTTCACAAGACAGATTCTTTTGAAAGAAAAAGTGAAAGATAATAGAGATAAGACCAAAAATGCTTGTCTTAAAATTGCTGTCCATCAGTTTCTCTTTTATGACCTGTAGAATGGCAACTTTTAATAACTATAGATACTAAGAGTTGAACCAGTAGGCCAAATAAGAAACAGTGATTATATATTAGTTACCAAATATTACTTAGGGTATTTGTATTTAAATGTTTCATTTAATGTGTTGATGAAATGAAATTAAGGAGAGAAATGGTGAAAAGCAACACATAGGCCTTTTTCAGTGACTCGAATTCACTGGTCAAATGGATTTTCTTAGCCTTTTCTTGCCATTATTATGTTCCATACAATTAAATAGAAACATTCCTACAGTTCTCAACTTTCAAACTGCATAGTTACAAATTGAAGATCATTGATTTGGGGAATTAAAATGGCACTTTCTTTGTGAGAAGAAGCGAAAGCTTAGATTTGAGAGACAGGTCTGTATTTAAATCAAAACTCTTAGGATACTTATTGTGGAACCTCCTGCAGAGTATTTATCCTTTCTGAAACTAATTTCTCATGTATAAAATGGGAATAATAAATAATTACAGTGACTAATTCATATGGTTGCAGCGACAATTAGGGAGATTATACATATAAATTATAATGTGTACATTGCCAGACAATTAGAGACCATTAAATTGAGCATCTATTGTCTTTCTCCCTGTTCTCAATATTCGGTATATATTGCTGGATGAAATATACAGCATCCCTGACCCAATAGCACTTGGAATATAGTATGCAGTTCAAGTTTTACCTAATACTGTTTTCAGGAGTTTTACTCACTTGTATAGCATTGAGTGTCAGAAGCATTTTCGTCTTACAAATTATAATTCTTTTAAATTTCCATTGATTTGGTGAATTATGTGTGAGAATACCTCTTGTAGTCCCTATTTTATTTCATAATGCATTGTTTTTGATGATTCGAATTTCACATTCCAACCAGTAGACACAGTAAAAAAATAATAATAATAATAATAATATTCGTATCTCATTCATTATTCATTGTTTGCCTATTTCCCCTCTACAACATTATTTTTGCATGTCTATACCTTTGTGCACTCTGTAATTCCTTTTTCAATTTGTACTTCTCTTTTTTAAATCTTTATGTATTGTATGTTTTCTAAAGCTCTGCGTATCAAAAGAAAAAGAGTATTTAAATATCTAAATAAACATTTTGAATCTTATAATGATTTACTTGCCTTCTGATATTAGAGCAGTAAAAAGTTAATGAGAGTAATAGAAATAACAATGATAATAATGGTAAAGAATGCCTAGATCCACTCCTAGTAGAAGCTGGCATTGCTATCAAATAAATATAATTGAAATCAAAATGTCTGGTTGTGAATAATGTAAAATATATTTGTTTGTGAAAGTAATACAAAATGTTATTTTGAAGGAATTTGAGAAATTTAAGAGTGCATTGCTTTGTTTATATTTTAAAGCTGACTTTAAAACCATATGTGGAAATATTCCTGGATTCACCTTTGACATTCACACAGGAAAAGCTGTTGGTGAGTTTTTCCAGATTATGTTTGTTTTAATACATACGTGTATCATTCTGTAAAAATATCTCTTTTTAAAATTCAAGAGTACCGCAAAACATAATAATCTGGATTCCAATCTAATATAGTTATATAAGAGAGAAATAACAGGCTTACAGACTCTAACCAAGTATTAATAATGATACTCCATCAGCATAGTCTGGTGATTGGGTTATGGTAGTTATGTGACTATCTAAATATTTGCCACATCCACCATGCTAAAGCTTCAGTTGTCCTTGTCATGCACATTGTATTACATGACTCTAAATAATCTACCTTATTTTAACCTTTAGTTGCTATTTTCTTTTTTTTTTTTTTTTGAGACGGAGTCTCGCTCTGCCGCCCAGGCTGGAGTGCAGTGGCCGGATCTCAGCTCACTGCAAGCTCCGCCTCCCGGGTTCACGCCATTCTCCTGCCTCAGCCTCCGGAGTAGCTGGGACTACAGGCGCCCGCCACCTCGCCCGGCTAGTTTTTTGTATTTTTTAGTAGAGACGGGGTTTCACCGTGTCAGCCAGGATGGTCTCGATCTCCTGACCTCGTGATCCGCCCGTCTCGGCCTCCCAAAGTGCTGGGATTACAGGCTTGAGCCACCGCGCCCGGCCTAGTTGCTATTTTCTTAAGTACATTTTTAAATTTTTGGTGTATTTTTGCAGTTTCCCTTTTTACTGGTCTAAATATGAATTTGCAGACTTATTTTTCATATTAATTAATTCCTTCTAAATGTACATTGTGTTACTCACTCTAGTTTCCTTCCTCAAAGATTCGGTAAGCAATGTCTTTTTTTTTTTTGAGATGAAGTTTTGCTCTTATTGCCCAGGCTGGAGTGCAATGGCGCAATCTCGGCTCACTGTAACCTCCGTCTACTAGGTTCAAGTGATTCTGCTGCCTCAGCCTCCCGAGTAGCTGGGATTACAGGCAACCACTACCACACCTGGCTAAGTTTTTGTATTTTTGGTAGAGACAGGGGTTTCACCATGTTGGTCAGACTGGTCTCAAACTCCTGACCTCGTGATCTGCCCACCTCAGCCTCCCAAAGTGCTGGGATTACAGGCGTGAGCCACCACACCTGGCCTAAGGAATATAATTTTAAGTCTCCATTATGAATACATGATAAAACAAAATACATACAATGATGAAAGCATAGCTTTTTAAACAAATGACTAGCAGCAGTTAGGGTAACCTGAAGAAGAGGTTTGATTGCCTAGGAAGTTCATTTGCTATATTGACACTGAAATTACTTGGTATATTTTATCAAAAAAATACATTTTTTCCATCACTGTTTCTGTTTTCTGGTATATATGTTTTTATAAACCAAAAAAATTATCCATGCCAGTATATAATTGATTTTTGTGACACTGAATATTTGTTCTCATCCCAGGGTACATGTACCATTATTCGAGGTTATATGGTAAGTACATTAAGCAGAACAACATATATTTGACCAAATCTGTTCCATTTCAGACATTGATGAATGTAAAGAGATTCCAGGCATTTGTGCAAACGGTGTATGCATTAACCAGATTGGCAGTTTCCGCTGTGAATGTCCTACAGGATTCAGTTACAATGACCTGCTGTTGGTTTGCGAAGGTAATCTGAATAATGTATGTCCTTTATCCAGTATAATTTAGTATACATAAATAGCATTTAGATGGTTTCTGATTTTTACTATTTCTTCTACAATTTTTCAAGAATTGATCATCAAAGTGTGACGTGAATGTAACGCTAATACAATAATAAAAAGGACTCCTTAAAATGGAACTGTTGCTCTTTCAGATATAGACGAGTGCAGCAATGGTGATAATCTCTGTCAGCGGAATGCAGACTGCATCAATAGTCCTGGTAGTTACCGCTGTGAATGTGCCGCGGGTTTCAAACTTTCACCCAATGGGGCCTGTGTAGGTAAGAAAGAGGCTGACTCATTCTTTGGCACTGAGCAAAAGATTCCTTAGATTTCCTATCAAAAAATACTTCAAGAATAATTTCAGAAAGATTTTCTCTCTCAATCTGTTCACTTATAGTGAACCTATTTCACCATATCTTTTATTTTGTTAAGAAAATAGGTCTCTTCAATGGATTTCCCCAGGATTGGACCTAAAACAAAATAATATCCTTGAGATACCAAAAAAACATAAATTATTGCATGATTAAATAAAGAGGGTTGGATAAGTTACAGCCTTGTTCATTTCGATTCAGCTATTGTTATGGTTCATTTCCAGCCTGTCTGTAATAATTAATAGCAGATTAGAGAAACACAACTGTGAAAAATGAAGAAATCTTAATAAAAATCACATACATGTAACGTGTTTTGTTTGTTTGTTTGTTTTAGATCGCAACGAATGTTTAGAAATTCCTAACGTTTGCAGTCATGGCTTGTGTGTTGATCTGCAAGGAAGTTACCAGTGCATCTGCCACAATGGCTTTAAGGCTTCTCAGGACCAGACCATGTGCATGGGTAAGAAGGACATGTGGCTCCAGGGAGTGAAGTGGGGCTGGGACTCCAGAACAGATGACAGTTCCATCAAGTGCCATGACTAACTACTATGTGTCTGTCAGAAACAATCTTGCAAAAAATTAACTAGGTCAAACTGTTTAAGTCTTGATTCAGTATAAAATTTGCAAACAGGGACATACTGCAATATGTTCTTCAGTTCAGTGATTCACAGCTTTTTCTCTAGAAGATGTTCACATGGCTCGATATGCACTCTGAGTCACTTGGGCTTGTGTGGAACTTACCATAGCACCCGCTGCCCTTTACTTTCATGTTTCTCCTCAAGACACCATTTTGGAATGCAAGAGAGTAGTAAGAGTGACAGCATTAAACTTAATAAATGTATACACATATGCACATACTTTTGTAAAACAAATTGTTGAATACATGGGATTTATGTACATATTTTCTGTTTTAGCTCTTAAAAATCGCTTCAGGAGCAAATATAGCCAAACTCTTCAAAAATTCCGAGTAGCTAATGTAATGGGTAGTCAAGTGATAATAGTGCTTAGTGAGTTCTTGCTGAGCTGATGATTAATAAGTTTTCAAAGACAGATGGGCTGGATGCCATGAAGCTGGGACTGAGTATAACCCCTTAAGTCTGATGTCAGCCATTGGCTCTGCCTCTGCTGAAGAGTTTTCTTTCTGTGCTTTGCACTTGAAGGGGGAAAATCAAATTTAAAACTTGGCTACTTATAATTAGCATGTTCTCAGTGTAGAAAAGGCTAGGGCTGTTCAGCTACTCTTTTGATATTCAAGATATTATCTATGTGAATATTAAAATCAGATTTCAGTACCACAGGACTGGTTTCCTTCATGACACATTCATACAACAGGGAATACCTGGAGTGTGTCTCCACGTTCATCCATTGTCTTTAGAGTCCTCCCTTTGGAATTCTCCCATAATGGCAGGGAAAATTCTCTAGGTGATGCTTATACAAAGGAATATACAGGATCTGGTCTTATTTGCATGAACTCCCTAAGAATGCTTGCTTATACATGCTGTTTCTTGCCATACTCCCAGAGAGAGTATGATTTACCAAAAAAAAAAAAAAATGTGAGATTTATGATTCAGAAATTCTTATGGGAAAGATCTGTCTACTCATAACAATTCTTCCATGATAAAAACTAGTCGGATTCTTCAGTAAGACCTCCCTTATACAGACCTTCCTTCCTAAAGAACAATACCAACCCCCACCCTTTTTTTGGTGTAGTAGAGTTTCAGCAGACTGGAATTCATAATTGGGGAGTCTGCTGTCTCATATGACAGATGACCTTTTTAAGTATTTTCTTAATTCAGCTTTTTTGAAGGCTAATAGTGAATTCTAATAAACTTCAATTTGGATTTCATTACTTCATACAATTAAGTAAACTAAAGTTTATCTTTGTTTTCCCACTCAAATTAAGGGATTTAAATTTCTGGGTAAGTGTTTATAATGCCTTTTATAATGAAACAAATTGTTTCAATATTTTAGAAGATCAGTTTTATTTATAATTATTAAGCAGACCTGCTCATTAATACATCTCTGCTAGGGGGATGCTCTCCTAGGCTATGTCTGAGTATTATCTGACACAGTCAGTACCTGTTAAACTGTTATTATTTTCTTATAATTTTACAATTTTTATTTCTTGTAATTTTGATTTTCTCTATCTCATACTCATTTTCCTCAAGGAGATATGAGTTCCTAGTATTTTTTTAGGAAAATCTAAATAATTCCATAGTTTAAACATATAAAAGGGTTAATAGCCTATTTTTTTCCAGTTAAAAATTTAATTTTTTGAGCCAATATTTCTTTGTAGATGTTGATGAGTGCGAGCGGCATCCGTGTGGAAATGGAACTTGTAAAAACACCGTTGGATCCTATAACTGTCTGTGCTACCCAGGGTTTGAACTCACGCATAATAATGATTGCTTGGGTAAGTACTTCATTCAGTCTTTTATTGCTTCTATTTCATTTCCACACAATGTGCTGAAAAAAAAAACAAAACTAAAGACCAAAAAAAATTATATTACTAAAATTGCAAATATGTGCCAAAAGATATATAATATCATTGACTGGTTACTAGTTAACTGATACCACAGTATTGGCCTAAATTATCACAAGACAATATACGCTTGAACCCTTTTGTCAGTCAACCAATCAATTGAGGAAAAAAGGTCATTCAGATCACAGTAAACATATTGGGACTGATTTATGGTTTGGGGTATTTGTATTCCCTTAATGAGATCAAAAATAGACCATTGTCTCAATGTTATTATAAGTATTTCATTTAAATCCATTCTGGATTATTCACATTCAAGTACCAGTAGCCGCCTACTTCCACTTGTCATGGCTTGACATTTCATTTTCCATCAGCTTTTGAAGCCAAGATGCCTTCCCCCACTCCAAAAAAAAAAAAGAATGGTGACTAGGTTTCTAGATTAGCCCTCAGAAATCTGTCCTATGCGCAGTACAGGACTTTAGCCTTTGGCCCACAGCAACATACAAATGTGAAATGGAAACTGATAGTGAGTGAGAGAGGGTCCTGAAGTAGTTGGAGGAGAGAATAAGAGAAATGACAGCAAACGTTTATTCCTTGTTTACCGCGTAGCAGGAACTGCATGGGTAGTTTACAGCATAATGTGTTGTATTTTGCATGGCCCTGCAAGGTATGTGGAAGAACTTAGGTTTTCTACCATTGTGGGACTATATCAGAGCTCATCCCCACCTCCTCATTTAACCCAACATAAGTTCCTCTCTGTTTTCTTTATTTTTCAAAATTCCATAATTGTGAAAGAAAATAGAGCTAATTGGACATTTTATTCAACTGCTGCCTTCTTGACTGGTTTCTTAGAGCCTTTGTACAGTCAGGGAGAACTAAAAAATACGGACATGGCTCTGATCAAAGTACAATCTTCAAACAACCCAGGAAATTACCCAAATGTAATCAACCCTAAACTTAAATGAAAACTTAACAGTTAGTGTCTTTTTTCTTTAAATTATGTATTATATCAGCAATTCCAGTATTTTTAATATCATTGATTTTCTTGTAATAAATAAGCTCATTTATTTGTTCTCTGAATATGGTCAACTTAGCTCCAGGTAAAGTATCTGCAAATTAGGCAATCAGATTAAATCACACATATCCCCCAGCCTGTAGGAAAATAAATATTTTTCAGTTAGAAGGAATGGAAAGCTTCACCTTAAACCTTGGTTTTTATCTGGTTCTAAATTCATGAGTTATATTAATATCAAAAATGAAAAAAAAAGTATCTTTATGGTTGAAAAATAGGAATCTATAGGATCCTATTAATTAAAAGATCCTTACAATATGTGCCATTTTTGTCTGTTGATGAGGAATTGTAATGTGAGATTTCTTATAAATGCAATAAGTATGTTTTTAAGTAGTGACTTGTGAAACAATATACGTGTTAAGAGCTCCTTCTGAAAAACGGACTCCTGTTTGCTTTCAGACATAGATGAGTGCAGTTCCTTTTTTGGTCAGGTGTGCAGAAATGGACGGTGTTTTAAAAAAATTGGCTCCTTCAAGTGTCTGTGTAACGAAGGTTATGAACTTACCCCGGATGGCAAAAACTGTATAGGTAAGTATCTAAATAACAAGCAGTCTTTATGGTGATGGTTTTTTTTTGTTTTTTGTTTGTTTGTTTGGTAAAATGATGATGCGTACCTCCCCTCCTTTCACTTAAGAATTCATTACTATTTCATTTAATCATCAGATCACATGATCAAGATAAACTATGATGGAAAATTTTAGTATAAGGTATCAACAATGGGAATGTCTCATAGGCAATGTTTTTACGAGGGACAGAGCTTGAGGCTGTCCATGTCTTAAGAAAAGTAGGCAAAGGAAACAAATCAAGAAAATTAGCCACTTGCCAAATAGGAAATACCCAAGATGTCGGAAGAGTATCTCTGGGAATATGTGTTCATGGTGACCCAGTAGATCAGAGGACCTGAGTTGAGTTCATGTTAGTATCATTTGGCAGACAGATAAATGTATGCAACAATTATCTCTTGCTTAAATTATTTTTTCTCTTCTTTTTCTCTAAAGACACTAATGAGTGTGTCGCCCTTCCTGGCTCTTGCTCTCCTGGTACCTGTCAGAATTTGGAGGGATCCTTCAGATGCATCTGTCCCCCAGGGTATGAAGTAAAAAGCGAGAACTGCATTGGTAAGACTAACATTTATTCTGAGGCCCACAAGTAGCTCAGTATAGTAAGACATGGTGAAGACTCTGGAAGCATACTAAGTGCAACCATTGCAAGCATGCTGACCTAAGGAATTAAACATATCGCTGCCTATGTCTGTTTTACTGAACCATCAGAAATGATGATGAGAATAAAAAACTTGGGGATGTAGGATTTTTTCATCACCAGAAGTCTAATGCTAGTCAAAGAATTTTCAGCATACGCTAATCTTTTTTCCAAATGTCAACAGAGACTTTCAATGAATTTAAAGAGCGTCTACAAAAATTGTAATCTTTGACACCCAGGTTTAAAACAGCTATTAAAGGTGTCTAGAGTCTTAGAAATGTGAAGCAGAAAAATCTCGACAATGCTGTTGAGGCATTCTTTTCCTTGGGAAGGCCTCATGTCAGAGCAGAAAATATTAATCCATTTGTCATAACAGATGTTTTTCTGTTGAAACTCTTCCAGCACACACGAACTCTGTAACCGCATCAAAAGTGGGTCCTTGAATTGCCTAGTGGACATGATGAAGTCCCACTTTTTTTACAGTTCACTTTATTTCACTTTTATACAAATTATTTTTTACAGCCTCGTTGAAATTCAGAAGCACCAGCATCTTAGTGTGGTATTTCTAACATGAAAAGATGCTAAGGATATTTTTTTGCCTTTGAGTTATCCAATTTTTTATAATTCTGTCACCCTTGGCAAGATTCTACCTAAAGATATATCATTCTACTGTTCATATTTAAAGGAATTAAATAGGGCAGAAGGAAGCAGTTTACTTCATAGAACTGAATTATTCTTCAGACCACATAATTAGATATCATGAGTATCCCCGAGTCATTCTGATTTGTATAGTTCGTTATAAGATTGTCTAGTGTTTTTAATACTTAAAAATTAATAAACAATAATACTAGAATCATCTCAGTAAGAAGTTTCTTGAAAAGTTTAAGATCCTGTTGTTCTTCCATTTTCTTTTCTCATGCTCAATCTTGATTCTTCTTTGTCTCTGTGATCCTTCTCTTTATGGAATGATAATTAAAGTAGTGTGTCAGCCACTAGGAGGGAAATAGAAATACATATGCCTCCTTGTATGAGGCAATCTTGGCTACCTTTCCTCTTAATGAAAGTATGGATATATTTTATTAAGATATCATATATTATTATTAAGTTTCAGAAATATTTCCTTTTCTTTTTTTTTTTTTTAACAATGACACTAGTTTGCATCTCTGAAAAAATGGTTTTAATTTATTACTTTTTTTTTTTGAGATGGAGTCTCACTCTGTCACCCAGGCTGGAGTGCAGTGGCACTATCTTGGCTCACTGCAACCCCCACCTCCTGGATTCAAGCAATTCTCCTGCCTCAGCCTCCGGAGTAGCTGGGATTACAGGTGCCCACCACCATGCCTGGCTAATTTTTGTACTTTTAGTAGAGACGGGGTTTCACTATGTTGACCAGGCTGGTCTCGAACTCCTGACCTCAAGTGATCCACCCGCCTTAGCCTCCCAAAGTGTGAAAAAATGTTTTTTAATTAACTTACTTCACTATAAGAAGATTTTCTTCAGACTAGTATCCTTTCTACCAATGTTTCCCAGATGACATTCTAACATGACCACATACACACACATACATCAATATGTGTATACATACCCTGCACAGATATAAATTCATTCCTACGTTTAGTGGGTATTACAGTGAACATTTGGCACCTTTCTAGGTGCTGGAAATACAGGAACATCATCTTTGCTTTGGGGTAGCTTGCTACCTAAGGGGAGAGACCTATTTTGTAAATAAACCTGTTCTGTGAAGACGTCCTTATAATACAATGTGACAGACACTGTACTGGAGGTCCATTCAGGAGATGGGAGCACCACAGGAGGTTAGGGATCATTGTGGTAGTTGTGAGAGGGTAGCAGTTCAAGAAAGCCTGTCACAGAGGATAGATGATTGTCTAGGTCACTCTTAAGTGTTGGATAGGAATTTCCTGATCAAACAAAGAAAGAGAACGGAAGAGGCTATTTGGAAATGTAGGTAGCATGAGCACAATAAGGAGCATAGAATGGCTGGCTCAGAAGACTGAACTCAGGCCTGTGGTCAGTGTGGAGCCATTGCAGGAGTTGTTGTATTTTTTTGTTTTTGTTGTTGTTGTTGTTTGAAGGGGTGGGTTGGTTTCTGCAGATTTTTGTCATTTTATAGAAGGGTTGTGATGACTCTTTTGTTAAACTTCTCCCAACATGAACTGAGAACTTGTATGTGCCAGATACCGTGCTAGAAGCTGAAGGTTCAACCGTGAGCCAGACAGACATGTCATGTCCTCATGGAGCTTACATTCTAATGTACCTGAAAAGTAATATTTTTTTCATGTGGTTAAAACATTCCATTAAATAAGTACTTCCCACAAAAAATGACGGAAAATCACTAGTGAGGCACGCATGCTTATTTATTTTCAGGAAGTGTTCTGGGGAAGAGGGGAAATGATAACTGTGTCAAAATATGTCTCAGCCCTCCAGTTCCATAGGCACAGATTTTCAAATGTTATCAGATGAATGTTTTAGAAAGGCACCCCTGGTGGCAAGGTGACAAGAAGAAGACAGGGAGATGTAGACATCAGTTGAGAGACTGGTGGCAAATGATGATGGCTGTGGAAGTCCTGAGAAGGTAGAACTGGCTGCCACGTTCTGCTTACATGTGGAGTGAAAAAAGGAGAGAAATAGGGGTGACTTGGGGATCACAATTTGGATTACTGAGAGAGAGATATCAGGGAGACGGGGACCAGTTCGTAGAACATTTGGCCACATGGAGCCTGCAATGCCCATGAGACGTGGAGTTGTTCATGTCAGGTAGGCAGGTAGACATACATACACCACTAAAGATCAAAAACAGGAAGGTGGACATGGACTTGGGACTCTCTGGCACATGGTTGGTTGAAATCGAATATAACTTTTGACTTCTGAAGCAATAATAGTTTATTTTTATGAATAAATTAAACATACAACATAATGTCATCTCTTGTCTGAAATATCAACTGGCTAGTGGACTGTGATAGTATGGACAATTGTTTATTTTCAAGTGTTGAATGACTAATAAATACTCCCCCTGTTCTGCAGATATAAATGAATGTGATGAAGATCCCAACATTTGTCTTTTTGGTTCCTGTACTAATACTCCAGGGGGCTTCCAGTGCCTCTGCCCCCCTGGCTTCGTACTATCTGATAATGGACGGAGATGCTTTGGTAAGATTTGGAATGACTTCACTGTCACAGTTCACCCTTAGAAACTTTAAAGCTGGATTGTAAACCATCATGCTGGTATTAGTCCTGACAAAATAAATGTCTATGCTAAAATACATCTGCAAGTTAAAAATTTAGGTCTCAAACATATGCAGTGAACAATTTTTAAGGTACTTTGAATTATTGCCACTGTTTCTATATTTTTATAAAGTTTTTTACTAAAAGAAAAATTCTTATTCTGATTTATCAGAATGACTATGTTAATTTTGTTGTTGGCATAGCTTTTTTATATATTGGTGTATGCGTTGCTTTTGGTGTGATGTAACTTACTGAAAGTTACCTCAATTGTTTTTCTTAGGCTATCACACAACAGTGAGAAAAGAGTGGAAATCATTTTGATACTGAGCATGATTTCTCGAATTTCCTTAGCACATTATAAAAATATTTTAAGCATATTAAAAAATTAAATAATTTTGTAGCCAGGTCAATCTAAATTGGCAAATGAAATCAGCAATTGAAGATTTCCAGACCTGTCTTCACTGTTGATCTAGTCTGCATCGCGTGTTCTACAATGAGAAATGTTCTGTCCAAACAGTGTTACAAAATAATTCCATCTGTAATATTTGCTTTTTTGATTAGATACTCGCCAGAGCTTCTGCTTCACAAATTTTGAAAATGGAAAGTGTTCTGTGCCCAAAGCTTTCAACACCACAAAAGCAAAATGCTGCTGTAGTAAGATGCCAGGAGAGGGCTGGGGGGACCCCTGTGAGCTGTGCCCCAAAGACGATGAAGGTAAGAGCAATGACATCAAACAGCACTTTGTGTACCAGTTTTTGAATATTTGCCAGAGTGGCTTTAACCATGTAATTTATGAATATTTTGAGGGTGAGGTCATCTCCTTGCATATAAGTTTTGATGGTTCATTGAACAACCTAGCCTGAGAAACTTCTTTCAGCTTTTGAATAAGACATGTGTGAGCACAGGTGGTGTTACCCTTTTATTTCATTCCCCACCTCCAAGGTTAGTATTACTTGCTTTCAGAAGTATGAATTTGAGAAGTCCAAGGCAGGAGAAAGAAGGGAATGGAAATTATATTCCGAGTTGCTGCAGGAGTCCTATGTGGGCATTGTATCGCAGGCCGTGGCTCTCAGAATGTTACATTAAATTCTGAGAAGCTGAGTCAGCACAATGGCCCTTTACAGGAAAAGATCAATAGCCTCAGGTCTCGTTGGCATGCATAAATTATAGGATAAATCCCAGCAAACTCCAACTGACTTGGCCTCTAGGTTAGGGATAGCTTCTGAGTGTGATGGGCAGGGAAGGTCTCTTTAGCTGCTCAGCTTTAAATGAGCAAACAGAAAGAACCAGGAGCACTGAGCAGGTGGCACCCTAGAAGGTGGCCCTCACTAAATATGCTTTTGAACTAAATCATAAAAATAAAAGACTCTTGTTATAGACAGCTTTGTAACGGAAATGTAAGTGTAATTTCATGTATATTGTTCATCCTTTCTTAAGTTCTCTGATAATTTCAAGTCTTCAATAATGGAGAATTTGTATTTTCTTTGTAGTTGCATTTCAGGATTTGTGTCCATATGGCCATGGAACTGTCCCTAGTCTTCATGATACACGTGAAGGTGCGCTTTGATATATTTTATTTCTGTATTCTTATTTAATACAAACATATTATTTTACATTTATTTTATAACTCATACTAACTTTTGTATATAACATATAGTATATTGTATTTAATGGACATATATAACCCTTATTTTGTGTCATATACGTTATACATATATCATAAGACTATATCATGATATATGAAATACATTACATATTTCTTTTTTTTAAGAAGTATGTACAACTCTGTGTTGAATAGACATACACAGTATTGGCATATCTTTTTTTTATTTATTTATTTATTTATTTATTTATTTATTTATTTATTTTGAGATGGAGTCTCACTCTGTCACCCAGGCTGGAATGCAGTGGTGTGATGTAGCTCACTGCAACCTCCACTTCCTAGGTTCAAGTGATTCTCCTGCCTCAGCCTCCCCAAGTGGCTGTGATTGCAGGTGTGTGCCACCACACCTGGCTAATTTTTTTTGTATTTTTAGTAGAAATGGGGTTTCACCATGTTGCCCAGGCTGGTCTTCAGCTCCTGACCTCAGGTGATCCACCTGCCTCGACCTCCCAAAGTGTTGGGATTTGCAGGCGTGAGCCACCACGCCCAGCCGGCATATCTTTTTATATGAGGAAATTAATGGGCAGTTCTATATTTTAGATGTCAATGAGTGTCTTGAGAGCCCAGGCATTTGTTCAAATGGTCAATGTATCAACACCGACGGATCTTTTCGCTGTGAGTGTCCAATGGGCTACAACCTTGACTACACTGGAGTACGCTGTGTGGGTGAGTGTTGGCTCCACACTATAGAGATTTTAAAGTTCTATTTTATTTCTCATATTCAGTAAAAGGTCTCTCAGGCACCCTGGGTGATGTTAGGATTTACAAATCCGGGATAAATAGCTAGTAGTGGCACCTTCTTCACCAGTCTTACATTTTCCAGTCAGACCTGATTTACGTGAAGATGGAGAGAGTTACCAACCCCTGTCTTCAACCAAACATACAAAATCTTATGTGTCCTAGAGACTTACAGTTGCCAAAATTTCTCATTGGACATGAAATCCATTTTACTCTATGCTCTTCCATGCCTGCTTTTGAAGCAGAAGACCACATCCTTCTTCTGAATTTGTCATCTTTAGGGCAAGTATTGCTGCCTGGGGGCCAGAGCATTGCACACTGATCCTTCAGATCCTCTGCACTGCATAACAGCCAGCCAGCCAAGGCCCAGGGGATGCCAGGGTTACATGTGCCCTTCTCAGATCCTGGAAATGGGTGAGGGCCAAGCATGGGTCTTTCTGGGCATGCTCCTGTTAAACTAAAATGTCTTTGTGGCACTTTCTTGTTATTCTTTTTTCAGATACTGATGAGTGTTCAATTGGCAATCCATGTGGAAATGGTACATGCACCAATGTTATTGGGAGTTTTGAATGCAATTGCAATGAAGGCTTTGAGCCAGGGCCCATGATGAATTGTGAAGGCAAGTGATCTGTGTCTTAAATATTACTTCTTCTTGACATAGAAAGTTTTTAATGTCTCGATATTTATTTATATAGTTTCTGATATTCTGCTGGTGAGCATATGGTGGGCTTTTTTGTTTTTTGGGTTTTTTGTTTGGTTGGTTGGTTTTTAGTTTTCCTTTAGTACAGTTACAATAGCTGCTGTAAAGCCCTTGTCTGATCATTCCAGCATCTGGGTCATCTCAGGATTGGCATCTCTTGATTGTCTATTCCCTTGAAATGGAGTCACGGTTTCCTGCCTTTTCAGTATATTGGTTAATGTTGGATTTATATTCTGGATATTGTGAAAGATACGCTTTGAAATCAGTTATATTACTCTGAAGAATATTGATGTATTTGTCTTAGCAGACAGTCATCTCTAGTAGGCACAATAGCAGACTCTCAGGCTTGAGAAGGGCGATGGCTCATCTATCAGTTTGTTAAAATTTACTCACTAGCATTCTTGATTTTGCCCCACACATGCATAGTACAGTCATGCCACTTGAGCTGACAAGATGAAAAACACATAGTGTTTCTCCTTCCCTGGCCGCCTTCTTTCCAGGGTTCCCCTCTCTTTAGCAGACTTGGTTGCCCTGAGATTCCCTCCCCTGGTTCCTCTGGATGGAATCTCAGAAAGTTTCTACTGGAGAGTTAGCTACCAGATGACAGCACTGCCAGTACATGGTCATCTGGAGGGTAATTTCAGAAAGAAAGAAGCCAAATCAATGTGAAATTACTCCCTACTGGTGGTTTGCTCTGACTTTCAGCTCACCACTAAAAACTTCAGGTAGTTTTTATATTCTTTCCAGAGTTTATAGCTGTTATTTTTGAAAGATGAGTTTGTTAGGTACTGAATTCTGCATACCAGATGTGTAATAAGTTCTACTATTCTATTGCTTTCTGTATGACCACCAAGTAAATGACATCAACATCTAGTTATATAAATAATTAGAACTCTAAGCTGAGCACATGCCTATCCATTTCTTTGGTCAGATATCAACGAATGTGCCCAGAACCCACTGCTGTGTGCTTTCCGCTGCATGAACACGTTTGGGTCCTATGAATGCACGTGCCCAATTGGCTATGCCCTCAGGGAAGATCAAAAGATGTGCAAAGGTAAGGCCACAGACATGGGAGTAGTTTGAACCTTATTTGTCATGCTGGAGATACATTTTAATAATTTTACAGTTCTCAACTAATTTCTTCTAGAGCTTTACAGAAATATACATATGACAGCATTTTGCTAGTGGATTTCCATACCTAGATAACAAGACACATGATGGTATTTTTGTAAAATCAAGTCAGAGATAAGGTGGGTTGAGAAGCCCACTATTGTCACACTCTTGGATTCTTATTAAAGCAAAGATTGCCCTTCCCTGAACTTCTTATCACTATGAGCAGTACTGAAACTTACTCATCTGGAATATAGCCAGTAGCTGACAACGGCTGGGCTTCTCCTTTCTCTGTCCCACCATAAGATTACATGTTAAGTGTCAGAAGACCACACCTATGACTTAAAAGTACTAAACTACAGCTTGCTCCAGATAATTTCCTATTTTTGTTTTTTGTTCTAGATCTGGACGAATGTGCTGAAGGGTTACATGACTGTGAATCTAGGGGCATGATGTGTAAGAATCTCATCGGCACCTTCATGTGCATCTGCCCTCCTGGAATGACCCGAAGGCCTGATGGAGAGGGCTGTGTAGGTAAGCGGTAAGGGAAGGTGTCTGCTTATGTAATGCCTCCACTCCCAGCCTACTTAATGGCACTACTCCCACCTCATCTTAACTGCAAGCGAACTATTTTTCCAGATGTGTTAAGGCAGTGGTACAGCTAGCTTTCTTCTATCTCAGGGTCTCTGCTAATATAATAGGTTCTGGATTGTGGCACTTATGCCTGCTCAAGAATACCTGCCCTTTTGATTTTTCATATTTTAAAGAAAATTGTAAATAAAACTATATGTGTTCTGTAGGTACATATGTAACCAAGTAAATATATAGAAAAATATTTAAAAAGATAAACTAGGGTGGTTCTTCTATTAATTCATAGAAGGAATTACTGCTAGGGAAGACATTGAGATTAGAAGTAACTAGTCTGAGGTGATTTTAGATTTAAAATCTGTCAACTTTAATTTTTTCACAAAAGAGTGAGTTTCTGAACTATTCTGAATTACATGTGTCATAAAAAATAATATATGCAACAAATTATAATTGGATTTTTTAGTTTCTTTCTTTTCTTCATTTGTTAGATACTTCATTCAAATACAGTACTTAATAAAGTTAAAAATAGACCTACATAGATGTAGTTATGCAGTGGTTCTTTCAAAAACACTATTCTTCCAAGATCTGTTATCTCAGAAGATTAACCTAAACTCCTAAGTCATAGTGTGTGTTCCTCCAAGTCTAGCACAGGGCAAAATGCTAATAACTATGTATAGAAGAAAGGAAATCAGCATTGTTAGTCATCCTGTCTTCTTACTGTACATGAAATTTATTTTCATTTATTTCTCTTTTAATTTATTTGAATGAAAATAATGCATGCATGTGCTGTTTAATCAGAGATTGGCTAAAATACTTAGAAATGTGTTTTAATTTTTAGGCATATAAATTTCTTATTTTTGTAACTAGCTGAATTTTATATTATACTATCTTTATTACATTTGAAGATGTGTTTTTGGGGTGGAGGGAGTAAGCACTGTGACCAGATTAAGAACACAGGTTTCTGGTTGTGGATCTGTCATAAATGATCTAGATGACTTGAAAGTGATTCAGTTCCCTGTTCTTCAGTTACTTCATCTGCATACAGTGAGAAACCTAGTCTGCATGATTGATAGGAGTGGTGGTGGCGTGTGTTGGGGAAGGGTGTATCTGCTCTAGCTCTAACATTCTGTCATCCTCTGAACTTACTTTTTCAAAGAAAAGACCCAGGGCAGCATTCTACACTTGTATTCTTTTCATTGTTAAACAGCACTACAAAAGGTACAGGTTCTGAAACTTTTCTGATCCTCAAGCTTTTCATTATACCATGCTGACAGCTGAAATGTCTGTCTGAAAAATTTTTTTGATCATCACAAAACTCTTTGTAGAACACTTTCATGCAAACAATATGTTTTCACAACTAGCAATTCCAGTTTAAAAACAGCAAAAATATTATTACAAACAAAAAGTATTTACAAAAGTCAGGATGAAAAATAAAGCCACAAAAACAATCAATAAAAATGCCAATGCATGAAATTGGAATCAAACAGAATTAGCCAAAAAAGTCGATTGCAGCAGAAACTAAAAGCATTACAGTTAAGGGAATTAAAATTATGCAGGAAATCTAAAACCTCTTTAATGAAAACCGTAAACCTAATCAGAGATGGAAACTTGACTATGCAATATATTATGCCTCAGTAATTATTTCCTAAACAAATAAATGAATCAAGAAATCTGATAAGTAGAACATTGTTTTACCAAGATCATTAAATTTTCTTCTTTAGACTTTGGCAGACTGTCCCAATTTTTGAAAGTTTATCCAACCATCTTTGATTAGAAGATCATAGACATAAGCAAATGAGAAAAGTATGGAGTGTTTTTGTAGACCCATTTCTACACTGCAGTGTGAAGATAGGTAGACACAAACGAGAAAATACTGAGATGCTATTTAATTATCAACAAACTAGTCTCCTAGACGTGGCAGCTGCCAGAAGTGTAGCAGGAAGAGGAGAAGCAGCAACTATCAGAGATTCTAAGGCTTTAAGAACTTTGTCAGAGACACATGACTCCCTAAATTACATGGAAGCCCGAGCGTAGTGCCCCAAGGATAGAGAGCATGACAGATTTGGTGAGAAGATGTTCATACAACAAATATGAATTGAAACTACACATTAGGCCCAGTGTAGCACCTGTGACCTGCTACACTATTTTTCAGCAAGTAGCTGAACTGGAGAAAATTGTTCAAAGATGAATAATTACAAGACCAGTGTAGCTGAAGTTTGTGCAGGAGAGTGGCATGAAGTGGGTCTAAAGGTAGGCAAATGCCTTGGAAAGGAATTTGGTTTTATGCTCAAAGTGTTATGGCAGAGTGACTTGGAGTATGGGCCCTGGGGATGGACTATAAATGTTAGCAATCTAGGTTCATATCTACTAGCTCTGTGACCCTGGGCAAGTTGGCTTAAATATGTGCCTCAGATTCCTCATGTAAAAACAAATAGGAATTTTGAGCACAATTTCATAGGATTATTGGGAGGGTTAAATTTAAAATTCACGTGAAACCCTTAGTACAGTGCTTGGCATAGAGTAAAATTTCAATTAAGTATTAGTTGTTGTTATTTTCTATTTTATATTTTTAAAGATATCTGGCTGCCTTATAGGTAATGGATTTTAAGGAGGTGGTAGCAGAAACAAGAGTTTCATTTAGGTGACCATCTTAAACATCCAGATGAGAGAAAAAGGAGGCTCAGATTAGGGCCACCGTAGTGTGGAAAAGGAGTGGACAGATTCAGAAAATGTGTTGGAAATAATCAACAGATTGGATTGCTGATGGATTGATTGAATGTGTATAAAAGATAAGTCCCAGGATTTTTGCTTGAGCAACTAAAGTAAATTAGCTTACTATAATAATTTACTTGATGCTACTATTAGCTGATATAGAAAAGATTGTAAGAAACAGGTTTGGTTGGGGACACAGAAGAATGAAAGTTCTATTTTGGTTGTGTTCAGTGTCAGATACGTACTAGATTTCCAAGTGGGAATATCAAGTCAGCAGACATATTCATGAGCCATAGATGTAAATTGCTAGCAAATAGTGTTTGAAAAATTATGGGATTGACTGAGAACACCAAGAGAGAGATCCTGGAGAGTAGAAGGAGCAGGGCTCCTTCCCAGGAGACTGGACTCTGGTTGTTCCAGTATTTAAAGTGACTAAAAATAGTAGGAGACTAAGAAAGAGTAGCCAGCAAGATAGGAAGTTCTCCATGTCCGTGTGGTGTCCTGATAACTAAAGTGGCCGTTTTTGTATGATGCTACTAAGATGTAGAGTAACAGAGTTGTAATTAGATTTGGTGACTTCTTCAGGAAGTTTCAGTGGAGCACACGACATTAAGGAAACAATCAGTGATAAGGAAGCGGAATTTATTGTCATAGATCATTCTTCCAGAAATTTTGTTCTGAAAAGGAATCAATACATATGGCAGCAGCTAGAGGGGTAATAGGTGAATAAGAGAGTTCTTTGTATTGTTTCAAGACGAAAGTTACTAGAGAATTTATGCTGAGGGAATGATTCCTTGAAAAGGGAGTATTGTGAAATCTGGGAAGGCAATCTAGAGTACCAGTATAAGAGCTGGCCTCGGAGAAGAAACAAAGATAGTTTAGCTGTTGGAAGAGGACAAAGGGTTGAAAGTGAGGGTACAGCCAGGGGGTTCACAGCGGAGAGATGTCTGATGTGTCTGAGTGTGTGTAGTGTCATTTTAGAAAATGGGAGTGTGAAGATACTAAGAAGCATAGCAGGATTGTTGAGGGAGGATCACGTACCCATTTGAGATTTGAGTCTTGAGTCTTGAGTCTCATTAAAATGAGGCCTGTTTTCCTCTAGCCTGTCATGCTGCACTGGATTGGACATAGAGTAGCTAGAAGTAGGGGCGCATTGGGCAAGAGTGATGGACAATGGAAAGGTCAGTAATTGGCAATCCTGATGCAGCCCACAAATTATCAAAGGGTAGAAAGTACAATGCTGGAAATCAACATAAAAAAAAAAAAGCAACATTTTTTTTAGATATACCCTATTGAAGTTACAAATTTCAACAGAAAAAAAAAAATCAGGCCTTTTTTTTCAACCTCTTCTCAGTAATTCTTAATGCCAATGTCAATAAAGCAAAATTAATCTAAGAATTTGAAGCACAAGTTATGTACTACAGCAGAAGCTTTATTATACATAATCAAACTTGGAAGAACTCGGCAGTATATGCTGAGTTCTTCCAAGAATGCTTTTAGTTCAAGGGCCCTTTTTGAAAAAAAATCATTCAGACAAATCAAATATAATTCAAAATCAGGGTGAATTACATTAAGGATAGGATTAGATCAAGGCAACAGACCTTGCACCCTCAGATTCTAGAAATAATAAACTAAAATTTTTTTTAATTCATAACTCATTACTTTCGTATATACCTTTAAATTTCTGAAGTAAGTGGTTTTTTTCTCAAATAGGAAAATAAATCGCAGGAGGCACATCATGGTGAATTTCAAAACACTAAGAAGAAAATGAAAATCCTTAAAACTTCCAGAGAGAAAAACCAGATTTCCTAAAACTGAACAGTAACACTGGGTTAAAATAAATAAATAAATATAGGAGCAATATTTTGAAAGCATTCTAAGGGAAAATAATTTTGAACTAAAATTCTGTATTCAAATCAAGTATGAAAACAAAAGAAGACATGGTTGGAAATCTGTTTTAGAATACGTATACCCCTCTTAAATAATTACTGAACTACATATGCTAATTTTTTTAATTAATTCAAGAGGAAGCAATAATGTAAGTGGAACAATGGTCAGCCAAGAAACCAGTAAGCCTCATTAACAAACAGATGCTGATGGCACACTAAAAATTAACAAACCAAAACTTCTAGATAACATCAACATGGCAGGTGGTTCAGGGAGAGAGCAGAGATAAGGAAATTTATGCAAAGGTGCTTACTGTGGCCCAGAGCTTTCAAAACAGATACTTCTTGGCATTGATAGAAAATTATTCATTAAGAATGTGTATTGAAGTTGTTCAGTGGTTTCCACTGTAAGAATAGAAAGAAGACTGTACCTTCCAAATATGAGTTCAGAGGGAAAAGGAGGGCATAGGAAGAGGACAATCACACAATAAATATAAAACAATATAAAATGGCAGGTAAGACTCTAAACACATCAGTAATCATGACAGACGTAAGTGGTTTAAATTGCTGGTTAAAAGATAAATGTGTTTTTAAAAATTCAGCTAGGTTCTCTTTAATAGAATTGTAGTACCAAAATTGAAATCTGAGATAGGTTGAAAACAAAAATATTCAAGGCAAATGCTAATAAAGGCAAAGTGCATGCAAATATAAGTGGCAGTAAATTTAAAAAGTGTAAATGTAAACATGAAAGGAGCAAATTATCAAAAAGGCGTAATTGTCATGTGCTCTCTTACGCTTCTAACAACATAGCTTTGAAAAAACCTCAAACAAAATATACAGAACATCAAAAAAGCCGAAAAAGTAAGGATATAGAGAATTTTAATAAAAACAATTTTGTTGAAGTAGGTTTATTTATCACCAACCAAAAGAGCAGTATTACTTAAATTTCCTGTCCCATTAACTACCCTCACAGACCACAGTTGTTCCTGTGATTTTACTCAAGACCAATTTAGGAGCTTGTCCTTTATTCCTGGCCTGTGTGGCTTTTACTCTACTCATCATCCCTACCCAATACCCACCACCCCTCTCCCCACCCTTTCTCCAATATCACAGAAACTCAGAAACTGAATTCTTTTCCCCAGAGTTCCCATCCTTGCCTCGTGTCTCAGGGCAATTCTATCCCTTTTGGAGGCCAATTTCCAATTCTATATATTAACACCATCCCTCCTCTGCAGAGGATAAAGAAAAGAAAGAAGAAGAAAACGTTATCTTAAGAAAGAACCCACCTAGAAGGATGAAGTAAGGCTAAAAATAAATTAATACTCACACATTACCATTTTTAATCTCATCATATTAGTATTTTGGCAAAGAAGTGTTAAATAAGATATAACCCATTAGGAGATAGCTTGTAAATTATAATTTTACAGTTTTCTCATTATTCATATTGTTTGTTTTCCTAAAGATGAAAACGAATGCAGGACCAAGCCAGGAATCTGTGAAAACGGACGTTGTGTTAACATTATTGGAAGCTATAGGTGCGAGTGTAATGAAGGATTCCAGTCAAGTTCTTCAGGCACTGAGTGCCTTGGTAAGTTGACATCCAAATATATTATACTTGGTAGATAAAACATCTGTTCGTGATGTCATCACAGAAGAGCTCCACATATATATTCTTGTCTGCTAAACAAATCCCCCAATCTCAATAATCCACATGCTTCTTCCTAAAGGTGCACAGCTATTAAAATGATACATTTGTACATGTGTGTGTTATATGCACATCTATGTGTAATGTAAATAACAATCTTAAATAGTCTTTCCAAAATTAAGATTAATTAAGCTCTTTGGAAAATTTGGCTTCAGTAAAACTTACATCAGAGGACGACTTAATTCCCAAAGAAAATATTTGCAATATGAGTAAGTTCTGCCACAATTAATAAAAAAAAAATGCCATATTTCAAAAATGCAGGGAAGGTTAATTTTTATATTGTGGTACATAAAAAAATGTTTTACAAAACTTTTTATGGGAAATACAAGTCTCAGACATTATATTGTATTTTAATGCTAAAATGCATGCATTATAAATCATTGTAGTTAATTATGGCAGCTGTAAAAAGTGTGCTATAGTAAAATTCAAGGTAAACAAATAAGAGCAGTAAACTGACTCATCACTTGATTTAGGAGTATTTCAACTATATCAGATTTTTTTCTGAACGATGTCATATGCTTCAAATTCTAAGAAATTTTTGATCAAGAAAACATTTTTTTGTTTATTGTTATATCCAATCTATACCTTTACTAACTTCAGTCTTTTAGGAAATAGGAAAAGTAACCTACATATAAAGTGTAATTTTCTGTTCATGTTATTAACAGTTTTGCTAGGATTGTTTATAAAACTATATTAAAGATTTAATTGACTTTTATATCAGAAAAAATGTTTATATTTTTAAAAAATCTACTCAGTCCAAGTGTTTGAACAGTCTCTCAGATGTAGAAAATATGAGATATCAGATTGAATAAGTACCAAGCTCATAAAATATAGTCTAGAATTTGCTTTCCAGAAACTAATCCTGGCACTCATTTGCTTATTTAAAGGAAAATAATTTAATTTGATTTTCCTTTCCCTTCTATTCTACAGAAATGGTAGTTCACTATCATTTAGTTGGCAATGGATTAGAGGAAAAAATTTATCTATTTCTAAATTATAGTATCACTTTTTGTCAAATTTAATAAACTGTAGTCTGTAGTGAAAGAATATGTTATGAACTTAACTGTCAGCAAAACTTTGTAATCATTAAGCTGTCTTAATTATTCCTAAGGAGGAAATTCTTGACTGCCCTGCTTAATTTGAAAGCCAGCATAATGAAATGTCAGTTCTGCCTCCTTAACTCTTTCTACTTTGCTATTTCAGACAATCGGCAGGGACTCTGCTTTGCAGAGGTACTGCAGACAATATGTCAAATGGCATCCAGCAGTCGCAATCTCGTCACTAAGTCAGAATGCTGCTGTGATGGTGGGCGAGGCTGGGGCCACCAGTGTGAGCTTTGCCCACTTCCTGGAACTGCCCAGTACAAAAAGATATGTCCTCATGGCCCAGGATATACAACTGATGGAAGAGGTAAGGAGATGAGGAAATTTATTCATATAATCAACACATTGAATTTTATGAATTCAGATAAATGTGAAGTAAAAGTGAAAAATTGATACAGTAAAAAGAATAGCTAAAATGTTTATACTTTGATATTTAAATTTGATGTGTGTTTTCATATATATGTATATAGAAAGAATAATCTTTGCTAATGCTTTAGACATTTTAAGAGTTAATCTTCCTATCAGACCTAAGGGGTGGAATGTATTACTCCCATCTTAACAGATGAGGAAAATGAAGCACAAAGCTAAGGTAACATTAAGTAATTTTCCCGAGATCACACACTTTTTAAGGGATGGACCCAGGAATGGAACACATCTGTCTGACCCAAAGACCATGCTTGTAACCCCCAAACTATACTTGCCTTATTTAAATAAGTATTGCTTATTTGAATGCACACAGGGACTTATTCTATCTGCAATGTCTTTACAGACTAGCAAGTCTCATAACTGATTAGTCCTTTCCATTCCTTGTACAACCAACTGATATATTAATGTCCTAAAAACATACGACTTTCCTCCATTTACTGTATGAATTCCCAACCTTGTGCATGACAACTTTGCTATCCAAAGCCTTTCTTCACAAAGCTTTTCTTCAGAGTCTATTGTAAATGTGAATTTGAGGCCAATCCAAGGGAAATTATCACAAATTCCAAAGTAGTTGGACTTTGACGGGGTAGCTTTCTAGATTCCCCCCAAACTAATTCATGCTTACATTGCAAAATGGGTAGTCTTAAACAGGGCTTTCACCAGAGCCTTCCTTTATCTCTTCCCATCACTTGAGATTATTTTTCTGTCACATCCATGTTGCCGTTCACCTGAATGATGAACAGGTGCTCCGGTGCTATTACGAATGTTTGCAGTTATCTCATCTCCATTTCTTAATTTCTCTTCAATTCTAACCAGTTTTACCCTTGCGTATATGTTAACTCCTGATTGTTTTTGTTGTTTTGGTCCACAGATATTGATGAATGTAAGGTAATGCCAAACCTCTGCACCAATGGTCAGTGCATCAACACCATGGGCTCATTCCGATGCTTCTGCAAGGTTGGCTACAACACAGACATCAGTGGAACATCTTGTATAGGTAAGGATGGGCACCTCCATGTCTGGGGATTTGGGGGCTAATCAACTACTGTTTCCTACAAGTCACTCATTATCAGTAAGTGTCTTTATTATGGAGCTTTGGAATATACATTTTATTAAAATGATGCCATCCTCTCGATAATGTGCTTCTTAATCACACAGCACTTGGCCTTTGTCCAGTGATATAGGATGTAGAATTGTTTATGTCATCCAAAAAAAGTCTGTTCAATGAGGGAAACAAAAATTACAAATACGTACTTTCAACATTTTATATTTTAATTTAAAATTGAAAGTGCACATTTGTTTGTCACTCTTTGAATGAAGGAAAAGGGCTTTTTCTTATGAATATGTGTATGTTAAGAGAATGTTTTCCATGTTTCTCTTTGCTATTTTTTTGCGTAAAGTATACCAAGTAAGCATTACCTAAATAAAATTTCCAGCTGCGGAGCATTCTCAGTACAGAATCCTTCTACCGTTTTACAATTTATTTTTCTTATTCAATTTGTTACTGTCTCACTCACACCAATTTATGACCGTCGTGGGGCAGAAAGGACTTAAGACTTTCACTGAGTCTTTCCAAAATATCGGGGGAACCTGCCCCGGATAATTCAACTTGGGTTCTTTTCTATTTCCCTAAGTGTCGGCTGGTCTGAGAAATAAAGGGAAAGAGTACAAAGAGAGGAATTTTTAAAGCTGGGTGTCCGGGGGAGACAGCACATGTTGATAGGTTCCATGATGCCCCCAAAGCTGCAAAACCAGCATGTTTTTATTAAAGATTTTCAAAAGGGGAGGGAGTGTACAAATAGGGTGTGGGTCATAAAGATTACATGCTTCACAAGGTAGTGAAATATTACAAGGCAAATGGAGGCAGGGCGAGATCACAGGACCAGGGCAAAATTAAAACTGCTGATGAAGTTTCAGGCACGCATTGTCATTGATAACATCTTATCAGGAGACAGGGTTTGAGAGCAGACAACCAGTCTGACCAAAATTTATTAGGCAGGAATTTCTTTGTCCTAATAGGCCTGGGAGCACTACAGGAGACTGGGGCTTATTTCATCCCTTATCTGCAATCGTAAAAGACAGACGTCCCCAGAGTGGCCATTTTAGAGACCTCCCCCTAGGAACACATTCTCTTTCTCAGGGATGTTCCTTGCCGAGAAAAAGAATTCAGCGATATTTCTCCTATTTGCTTTTGAAAGAAGAGAAATATGGCTCTGTTCCACCCAGCTCTCAAGTGGCCATACCTAATGGTTATCTCCCTTGTTCCCTGAACATCGCTGTTATCCTGTTCTTTTTTCAAAGTGCCCAGATTTCATATTGTTAAAAAAAGTGATGCAGTTAACGCAGTCATCACAGGGTCCTGAGGCGACATACATCCTCAGCTTACGAAGATGACAGGATGAAGAGATTAAAGTAAAGACAGGCATAGGAAATCACAAGAGTATTGATTGCAGAAGTGATAAGTGCCCATGAAATCTTCACAATTTATGTTCAGAGACTGCAGTAAAGACAGGCATAAGAAATTATAAAAGTGTTAATTTGGGGAACTAATAAATGTCCATGAGATCTTCACAATGTATGTTCTTCTGCCATGGCTTCAGCCAGTCCCTCTGTTTGGGGTCCCTGACTTCCCGCAACACCAAAGTATTCAACTTCATTTTTATTAAAGAAAAAATTTTCTCCTTTATATTTCATTAGCTTACTTGATATTCTATCAAATTACCTATGTCAATAACAAATACACCTGGCATTAAAAGGTTAAGAAAACCCAGCTGACTTCTTTGAAACAGAAGAGCGTGAGTAATAGAGAATAGGCCATTAATCATGAGCATTCAGCATTCTGTGAACATCAACGTCATATGTTATGTGGAGGAAATGGAGATTGTCTGCTATCACTCAGAGTCTGAGTAGGAAAGAGATGGCACATTTCAAGGAGGACAATTCAAGGAGGGTCTAACAAAAGGACTGTCTATACACGTGTGAGCAGCGTATATAAAAGCCAGGAGGCATAGTGCTATGTGCTGGAGCTGTACTACCGCTGGGCCAAAAAAAAAGAGGCAGAGGTTATTGGAACCCGAAAAAAGAAAGTTGTGCTCAGAAGAGTGCCTTGAGAGGACCTGTGACAGCTGATCCAGGGACTCAGCCAGTCTGAGCCTATCTGCCGGGAGGGAATTGAGGAAATAAGGGCCAGACAGAAGAAGAGGGCAAGGGAGAGCCTCTGGATGGAGTCCGTAGAGCTCCGACTCCTGGGCCTGAGAGCAGGGTGGACCAGGGTGAGGACTGAATCTGAAGGGGAAAGTGGAAAGTTTCCAACACCATCTGTGATCCCACAAGATGCTTAAGGGAGCCTCCGTAAAGAGAGTTTAAGAGAACTTGTGCTACATCCATGTGTCAAACATAGAGAAACTCTTACTAAGTTTATGATTCTCAGGTTGTAAACCAAAGTGTATTAATCTAAAGAATTTAGTAATTTTGAACCCAGACAGTTGTCTAGACATCATAATATTTACCCAAGATCCGCAGATTGATTTACAAAGTAAACCTATATATTTCTTTAGAGAAAATCATTCTGTGCATCATTTCTTTCTGGCTATATTCCACTTTAAGTTGAAGAGGAAAAACAAAAAGAATGAAGTAAGAATATGGAAGGAGGAAAGAGTCCAGTTGTTTTTTTTAACCAGTAATTTAATCTTCGCATCACTTTTACTTAGACCTTGATGAATGCTCCCAGTCCCCGAAACCATGCAACTTCATCTGCAAGAACACTGAGGGGAGTTATCAGTGTTCATGTCCGAGGGGGTATGTCCTGCAAGAGGATGGAAAGACATGCAAAGGTGAGTGAAGAGTCTCTGACAATTGTGACCCTTGTCTGTATCTTTTCTTTCAAGTGTAAATGTTAGATTATCAGGGATTATACTATGTGCATCACCTTCATTAAAAGGTACCTTCCTAGTGGCCGTGTTATTGCTCAAAGAAAAACTCTACCAGTAGGCTCATTGCAGGAGGCAGAGAGGATTAAAACCCAAGTTAAAACAGTTTGCTTCTTATAGAAAACTACACAAATTTTAAAAAATAAAATATAACAAATATTTTGGTATGGGAAGAGATTGAAACAAATCACTGAAACAAGATTTTTGTTGTGGTTACTTATCTAAGCTTTTATTTTTCTAAGCTACCTTTATTATGAGTTTACTGTGAAAAAGTGAAAATAAATAGGTAAATTTAAATTTTTTGCTTAGGTAGTATCAAAAGTAATTATTTATCCAGCTAAATTAGATCATTAAAATAGCTTCAATATTATACTCATATATTTGATTTTATAGTAAGCCTCATCAGAATGAAATTAATGGACTGCAGAAATTTTTAAAATATAGATTATTCTCAGTAAAATGAGATTTTATTTCCAAGGCATATCAAAAAAATAAAATAATAGCAAGCACTGCTTGGATCTGTTTAGTGAACTGATATGGGTCCGTGTTGTACATTGTTTATAAATAAGTATGACTAAAGCGTTTTTTAAGCTGTAAAGTAATGAATTAGTCTTGCCTACATCTTATGTGGTACATTTATTTTAAATATAGTTTCCAAATTAAGTTTTAATATAGCCAAAATCAAATTTTGAGTTTCTTTATTAGTAGAGTCCAAATATCAACACCATTTATGACTAGAATTACAGATGGCTGTATTTTGCTTCCTCTAATATTAATGCCCGTGTTTTCATCTGAATGTGGAAACTCTTAGTGTTTGTGTTAGGACCTTCATCAGTTTCTAGATTCTGTTTCATTTTTATTTAATCCTTCCTTTAACAGGAATAAGTAATCAGCCATGTACTATACTGCATTCAATGCAAGAATTGTAACCTTTGGATAGTAGCTTTGAGAACAGTTCATGGAAACTGCTATTATTCTGCCATTCAGTTTCTTATGTTATATATTGCCTTACTTGCCCTATCATCCTAGCCCATAATATTTATTCTGCCTAAATATGTGAAAAGAAACTGTTTTCCATATGCCTGTGGAAATCTACGAAGCTTCCAGCAAAAATGCAGACAAAATTCTTCTAATGGAGCATGTGCATCTCCTGTGACTTCACAAGAAAGGAAACATAGCCAGATAATCTACTGTGGTTTTCATTGGCTTCTCTCTAATTTCAGACCTTGATGAATGTCAAACCAAACAGCATAACTGCCAGTTCCTCTGTGTCAACACCCTGGGGGGGTTTACCTGTAAATGTCCACCTGGTTTCACACAGCATCACACTGCTTGTATCGGTAAGACAGGATTACAAATGATAAATTTTACAAACTTCCAGTAAATGCATAAAAATTGTATTTAAAATTATAAACAGAAGAATGTCCTGGTACTTATATTCATAACCAGTACCCCATAATGAGTGGTCTAAAGAAGTTGCTCATAATATAGATATTTTCAAGAACAATATCCAAAGGGGGAAAAAAAGGCCTTTGTAGTCCAAGCACATGCACAGTAGCCATATTTCAAGCAGTGCCTTTATATCACATTCTCAATATAACCATGGTGTTCAGACAAAGTATGATTGAAGGCTCCCTGTAATTTAGAACATGTTAACAAACACACTGAGCTTTTATTTTAGAAGACACATGTTAAGGAACTTCCTGTCAGTGTGCCCTCAATCACCCCAAAATATGCTCTCATCTCAAACCTCTTGAAATACACTGTTTCTTACCACTTTTGTCTTTAATATGATAGTGAATTTTGGTATAAATTTTCCTAAAATGCCATTTTCACATCATGAAACTTAGGTTTTCATACATTGCTTTTTACTTCACATGAAATTTAAGACATGTCATAATTGGAAAGTTTGACGCTCTGCTTCTTGATGCTTTGCCAGACAACAACGAATGTGGGTCTCAGCCTTCGCTTTGTGGAGCGAAGGGAATCTGTCAAAACACTCCAGGCAGTTTCAGCTGCGAGTGCCAAAGAGGGTTCTCCCTTGATGCCACCGGACTGAACTGTGAAGGTTAGTTGATTTGCTCAAAAATTCTTAGTCTAGTAAAAAAAAACCATATATATTTTTAACTTCCAAGACACTCAATGAGAAATTGGGATAATCTCAAAAAAAAAGAAAAAAAAAATAGTATTGAACAAAATAGGACCCAGCAACTGATTCCTGGTCATAAATTTCTGTGTATCACTTTGGGGACAGAGGGAAACTTAGATGCAGTGAAACAAAAATTCTGTGATTACGAATTGACTTTTAAAGTAACTGTTGACTACTGATAGATCTGATAAAGAATTGAGTTGAAAAAGAATTCTGTGCATAATATGGTTTGCAGTAGTGTACAAGCATACCAGAAAAAAAAAAAAACAGTTGACCTTTGTTCCATGATTCTTAAATGTATAAGAATTAAATATCAAAAGAATCTGTCATCATAGAGAATTGAACAAATGTAGTGAACATGCTAGGGTGAAATGATGGCTGTTTCTATTTTTTATGGCTCAAGCTCCTGCTTCACTCCTTCACTTTCCTACAGTGGACCTTGGTCTCCTCTGCAATAGCTATTTCCTGTAAAATCCAAGGGAACATTTAAGTGGGAACAAAATAAGAACATGCTTGCAGTTAAGAAAATTTCATATAGTTCTTCACTATTTATATTGCAAGTACTAGTGTATGACAAGAAAAATGCATTAGGATTAGTGTCTTATAAAACACCCATGCCAGGATTATGAGACTATATTTATTTCCCTTACATTCTTAGATCGTATTGCAATTTACAGTTTTCTTGATTTTAATCACCCTTTTAACATTAACTATTCTTAGAAATATATGATTTGGATCTCTAGAAGTATATTTAAAGTATTTAATTTGCTCTCTATAAGTCTTGTGGGACTTTTATATGTATCTCATTTTCAGCAAAGAAAAATTCAATGTTTAAAATGTCAATTTTAATATTTTATCTTTCAAATCATTGACACATTGAAAGTATTCTGAACCTACAGCTGTTTGCCACATGCAAGTTCAGCCTGTGACCATCCCCATAAGATACCATTTATTAATTATCCATGTAAATTTGTTACACACCTCAGACATGCCAATTTTGTTTTACTCTTTATGGATAGATTTCAAAGATTCGGTTGTCATTCCAAAAGAGCATGCATAAAGAAACAAAGAAATTATTCCACATGTATAATACACCACATCTTGTCTAAAAATAACACATTTAAATACTTAAGAGGGATTTGCATCTAATTAATCTTGAATGGTAATAAAAATTTTTACTTGCAATAGAATTATACTTTTTAGGTATCTCTGTAACGCTTCTATCCTCCCCAAAATGAGGGTTATATCTCAGTTACTTTCAAACTTACTGAAACATGCAATGCAAATATATTTTTATATATATGATTTACCAAATAAATCATACCATATGCAGTTAATTAGTTCAAAAAGCACAACATTTGTGGTGGCTGTGGTTGACTTGCTGAAATTGAGATGTTACTTAGAGCACTGACGTGCCGTGGTCTGGTGGAGCGCAGAAGAATGAGGTGGTCTCTTATCTCAGAACTCTTCCTCGCACCACCACTGACTAATAATCATGTGACCTGGAAAAATGACAGACTCTCTGTGTGTCACGTCTTGTGTATTTGTTCCCATGATAACAGTTACCCCAGGTTTCGTTTGGAGTGCATTTAAAAATAGTAGAAGAAAGTGACATGAACGTTTTGCCGGGCTTGTTTTTGCAGATGTTGATGAATGTGATGGGAACCACAGGTGCCAACACGGCTGCCAGAACATCCTGGGTGGCTACAGATGTGGCTGCCCCCAAGGCTACATCCAGCACTACCAGTGGAATCAGTGTGTCGGTGAGTGCACTTTTCTTCCTGAAAGTATCTCTGAATAAGATGAACAAATTGTGAGGGTTGAGGTTTCAGTATAGCCTTTGAATTTTAGACTTTAAAACCAGGCCTTGAGACTGATGCATGGGGACTCATTCTGCTAGTGTGTATGTTTGAAAATATCTACAATAAAAAGTTTGTTTTTAAGTACATAAACGTTAACTAGAGGTTTCTTCATTTTAAATTTCTGCTAATTTTAAGTTTCTGAAGATGATGTTAAGAATCACCATCTTTGTTTGCCAAGGTCAGCCACTTTTTTGTCTGTAATTTGATATCTTTAGATTTCCCATCCATTCCCCTCATACGAATCTAAAGGAATTCACATCAACTTAATGAGGACAGTCCATGTGTGCTCTCCTGTCACATAGATTTAATAAAGGATGGGAAGTGTTTTAAGGTCAAAAAAGTACCTACTTATAGCAAATGCTGTTGGCAACTCTAGACAGAAGTGTTTGTAAAATAAAATACATGGGCTCTCAGCTCTGTTCCTTGCATTGATAATAGTCACTGAAATTCTCCTTTTAAGGAGCGATTGATCAAAGAGAACATTATTCTCTACTTGAATAGCCAGCTGACTGACTTAGCATATGCCTAATTTCTTTGCTCCATTTGAATGCCCTTCACAGACCCTCCAACCAACACATTTTGACGCTAGATGCTGCCATAACCGAGCAGAAAGGGGCACGGGGGTCCTTCAGAGAAATACCAGGGTGCTTCCTGTTTCTGTGTAGTAATTCAAATTACTTCCCAGGTTATTCACATATTGAATTATTGTGATCCACTAGATAAATTAGTCTTAAAAAAAAATTTGTGGTCTTCTCAAAAGAAATTTCTAATGACAGCTTAGTGAATTAAGAACAAAAAAATCAAGATAAATTTCAGTGGAGAGAAAATCATGCCAGGTCAAAGACAGACGCTTTACCACACCACGAATATACACTCATAGGAGGAAATGCAGAAACCAGTAAGTGATCAAAAGTTAAAGACAAGACAGTTTCAAAAAATTATTAAAATTACCAGTTAGGCAGTCAATCAAAATAACTTGATAAATTTAATTCACTTTTTTTCCTCTTCATAGAAAAAAGAATGTTGCAGAACTCCTTATCCCCAGATTTATTGATTCATAAACAAAGGCAAAGTCTTTAGAATATCAGGAACAATATTTTTTACATAGCTATTAAAATAATTTAAAACATTCTATAGGTTGCCTATTCACTCTGATGATAGTTTATTTTGCTGTGCAGAAGCTCTTTAATTAGATCCCAGTTGTCAATTTTGGCTTTATTGCAATTGCTTTTGATGTTTTCATCATGAAGTCTTTGCCCATGCCTATGTCCTGAATGGTATTGCCAAGGTTTTCTTCTGGGAATTTTTTTTTTTTTTTTTAAGGCGGAATCTCGCCCTGTTGCCCAGGCTGAAGTGCAGTGGCATGATCTCGGCTCACTACAGCCTCCACCTCCCGGGGTTCAAGTGATTTTCCTGCCTCAGCCTCCTGAGTAGCTGGGATTACAGGAGTCTGCCACAATTCCCGGCTAATTTTTTGTATTTTTAGTAGAGACGGGGTTTCACCACGTTGGCCAGGCTTGTCTTGAACTCCTGACCTCAGGTGATCCACCCGCCGGAGCCTCCCAAAGTGCTGGGATTACAAGCATGAGCCCGGCCTCATGCCCTGCCTCTTCTAGAGATTTTATGGTTTGGGGTTTTACTTTAAGTCTTTAATCCATATTGAGTTAATTTTTGTATAAGGTGTAAGGAAAGGGTCCAGTTTTAGTTTTTTGCATATGGTTGGCCAGCTTTCCCAGCATCATTTACTGAATAGGAGATCCTTTCCTCATTGTTTGTTTTTGTCAGGTTTGTCAAAGATCAGATGGTTGTAGATGTGTGGTTTTACTTCTGAGGTCTCTGTTCTGTGCCATTGGTCTATATGTCTGCTTTGGTACCAGTACCATGCTGTTTTGGTTACTTTAGCGTTATTGTATACTTTGAATCCATCTGGTCCTGAGCTTTTTTTTGGTTGTTAGGCTATTCATTACTGCCTCAAATTTAGAACTTGTTATTAGCCTATTCGCGGATTTGACTTCTTCCTGGTTTAGTCTTGAGAGGGTGTATGTGTCCAGGAAATTATCCATTTCTTCTAGATTTCCTAGTTTATTTGCATAGAGATGTTTATAGTATTCTCTGATGGTAGTCTGTATTTCAGTGGGATCAGTGGTGATATCCCCTTTGTCATTTTTTTTATTGTGTCTATTTGATTCTTCTCTGTTCTTTATTAGTCTGGCTAGTGGTCTATTTTGTTATTTTTTTCAAAAAGCCAGCTCCTGGATTCATTGATTTTCTTGGAGGGTTTTCCATGTCTCTGTATCTTTCAATTCTGCTCTCAGTTATTTCTTGTCTTCTGTTAGCTTTTGGATTAGCTTGCTCTTGCTTCTCTAGCTCTTTTAATTATGATGTTAGGGTGTCGACTTGAGATCTTTCTAGCCTTCTGATGTGGGCATTTTAGTGCTATAAATTTCCCCTAAACACTGCTTTAGCTGTGGCCCAGAGATTCTGGTACATTGTCTGTTTGTTCTCATTGGTTTCAAAGAACTAAAGAGCTTCTACACAGCAAAAGAACTATCATCAGAGTGAACAGGCAACCTGTAGAATGGAAGAAAATGTTTGCAATCTACCCATCTAACACAGGTCTAATATCCAGAATCTGCAAGGAACTTTCTGACACAGGTCTAATATCCAGAATCTGCAAGGAACTAAAACACATTTGTGAGAAAAATACAAACAACCCCATCAAAAAGTGGGCAAAGGATATGAACAGACACTTCTCAAAAAAGGACATTTATGCGGCCAACAAACATGAAAAATAGCTCAACATCACTGATTATTAGAGAAATGCAAATCAAAACCACAATGAGATACGATCTCCTGCCAGTCAGAATGGCAGTTATTAAAAAGTCAAGAAACAATGGATGATGGTGAGGCTGTGGAGAAACAGGAAAACTTTTATACTGTTGGTGGGAATGGAAATTAGTTCAACCATTGTTGAAGACAGTGTGGTGATTCCTCAAGGATCTAGAACCAGAAATACCATTTGACCCAGCAATCCCATTACTGGGTATATACCTACAGGAATATAAATCATTCTACTATGAAGACACATGCACATATATGTCTATTGCAGCACTATTTACAATAGCAAAGTCTTGGAACCAACTCAAATGCCCATCCATGATAGACTGGATAAAGAAAATGTGGTACATATATACCATGGAATACTATGCAGCCATAAAAGGGAATGAGAGTATGTCCTTTGCAGCGACATGGATGAATCTGGAAGCCATTATCCTCAGCAAACTAACACAGGAACAGAAAACCAAACACCACATGTTCTCACTCATAAGTGGGAGTTAAACAGTGAGAACACATAAACACGGAAAGGAAGGGAATAAACACATGGCGGGGCCTTTTAGGGGGTGGGGGGCAAGGGGAGGGAACCTAGAGGATGGATCAATAGGTGCAGCACAGCACCATGGCACACTTACAGCTATGTAACCAACCTGCACATTCTGCACATGTATCCCGGAACTTAAAGTAAAATTTAAATAAATAAATAAATAAAATAATTATATAAAACAATTTTATTATATTGCAATATTTATAAAATATGAAGCCCACCACTTTAGTAAATACCATGGACTTCTTGGTTAATTCCATAGACCTTAATCCAAAAGAATGATTCTCTAGTATTTCATATTGTGACAGCTTAAACAGAATTTTTTTTAAGGAGAACATAAGGAGAAATAGGAACATGCATGGAGTGCCAATTTAATTTCAAAGTTTTTCAGTTTCCTGAAGTTTTTGTTTCTAAACATGTAGCACAAAACTAGCTGCAAAGGTTTCTACTAAATGTGGAAGCTCTGTTTAAAATAGTCTGACTTAAAATCAAGATGGTGTGGTGTATCCCAATTCCCCTTTATGAAATCCTGGGGTGGGCACTTTGACAAGGTAGTCACCCCCAGAGCAGCTCGCACTGGAGTCCAGCCAGAAGCCTGTTTGCCTTCTAATCAGGAGAAACTCCATGAGCAGAGGAATAAATGGTTTCAAAGATGAGTCTAAAACTAAAAATACACGAGCAGATATCCCTAATTGCAGGTATTAATTTGTAAGCTTGTTCTACTAAAATGGGTACCTCTATGCAGCAGGTGCCTGGGTACGACACATCAGGGATTTATTTCAACAGATTCTAGATTCTTCTGGGCAGCGTTGAGGAATCCAGCTTGTCTCTGATAAAATTGCTGACTTTCTTCCCTTGAATTCATGTAATACCATTGGATTTTTAACTCAAATATATGGCAGAAATAGGGTGAAATACCCCTTCAGGAAACTAATAAAAGCAACAAGTTAGCAAAAGAAAAAGAATTAGTACAAAACGCAAATTAAAAAGCCACAAACATTTTTTATCTGTCACTACTTGTGTGAATATCTTCAGCCATTCATGTGATTGATGGGGGAATACAGAAGGAAGCATTTCAGACAGATTTCCTCAGGGCTGCTTGTCAGTGGTCAACACTGTTAGTCAATGCATCAGATAGTTTAAACCAGCAGAATTGTAAACCTATTATGTTACTAAACTTACCACCAGTTGGAGAAGAATGAAAGTTCTTTGAAAGTGTCAATGCTGAAAAAAGCTTTCAATTCAAACTAACACTTCAGGGAGTTTCCTGCCAGTTGTCACAGATAATTCACAACATTCTGGTAGATAGAGTGTACAGATGTAGGGAACATTCTCAACTATTTATAAGCATTAGAGTTATTCCAATACAATTATTCAGAATTGGAAATATGTAAATATTAACATTTGCATATGAAGAAAAATTATGTGTTCAAATATGAAGACTTTGTGTTTTAGTATTAGTAACTTCCAGTTGCTTCTATAGCCTGTTCACAATAATTCACACATGTTTTAGTGAGGCTTGAATCAGTTCAAACTATGTGTCAGACAGGAATATATTTATTTAAGTCTATAAATTTTAATCATGATACACATTTATAGAATATAAATATGAGATATCATGGTGCTTGCAAAAATGTTACATATTTTTAAATATTCTTGTAAGTGATATGTTTAAATGTAATTTATTCAGTTAATTATTTTTGCCTGGTAATTTTTCTTCCTAACACAATGTCTAATGGTATATTCATGGCAGGATCATTTTATTAAATTGTAATCTAATTTAGATTCCCTGTTAGGAGAGAAACACTGCATAGGAATGTCAGATCTAATTATAAAAGCAGATGAGCCTTTGTGGCAGAATTCCAAGTCTCTTGTATATAGAAATAAAATAGCAGTTACAGTTACATCATATGTAGCCAAGTTACTGAGAATTTATTTATTGTATCTGCATTCTTCCCCTGCCATAAAGGCTAAGAATTTTCACATATTAGATAATCAGCATCTTTTATATTCAGTGATTAAGAAACCTACATTTAGTGATCTCCTTTAATTCTGAGACTATCAGAATCATGATACAAAAATGTACCTAATAACATCTACCCTTTGAGTAACTTCTGTCCTATACTTAACGAAGTTTAATTTCCTGTCTGGGAGGCCTCTTCACTGAGAGCCCGTGTGCATCCTCCAGATCTCACTGAGCTACTGCAGATCCCTCGCTTCCCCACTAGGTCCTGTGTCCTCCGCGCACGCCTACTTGCACATGGGCCTGTTTCCCTACGTGGGCTGAAATATATGCTTGTCACATATTAGGTAAACAGACACTCTTTGCTCCACATGGAGTCACAAAAAAAAAAAGAATTCCATGGAACAGATGTGATTTGTTCCCAGGGTGAAATCTGGATTATAAAAAAAGCCCAAAGAAGTCAAGCCGCGTGCTGTATATCAACCAGACAGTTAAGGCAAAATTATAATCTCCGAAGTTGAAAGCATAATCAGACTTTGATTTTGTAAAAATGATAATAGCAACTGAAAGTATAACCTATAATTATCCTGCTACCAGGTATTTATAGTATGTTAGTCATTAAGTGAGTAAAAGCTATGTGCTGGCTGATAGCTGGATGCAAACCTGCCTCAGCAGGCACAGTCTGCACCCAGTGGGTTCTCAAGCATTTTAAACTGAACTAGTTGTTAGTTCAATTGATTTAATTAAATAGTGTTGATTTCTATTGTTTTCATTTAGGGTTTATGCATTTTTTTTTTTATGCTTTCTCCTCCTGTATAATGAAGGTTTGGGGAATTGCTGGGGGAATGGATACAAATACTTACTGGGATTTTTAAAAATTGATATATCATAAACTTCTCCCTTTTAAAGTGTACAGGTAAATGGGTTTGTAGATTCTCACAAAGGTACGCAGTCATCGATACTACCCGTTTCAGAACATTCTCATCACCTCCAAAAGACACACGGTATCCAAGAGCGGTCATTTCCCATTTCTCCCCCACCGACAGGCCCTGGCAACTCATTTTCTCTCTATCTCTAAGGATTTGCCTAAAATATAGGCTTTTGAAGTAACCTTCTGTTAAGAGAATAGAAGAGTTATTCACTAGGCAAACTGCAAATATCTGTCCCCAAGGGCTGCAGACATATTTAGAAACAGTACAAACAGAAAAGAGCAAAGCAAGGGTTTTTTAAAGCCACAATTTAGGGGAATTATTTTCATTAATATGCTTTGCAAATCAGTCGTCAGAATAAAATAAAATACCGTGTTAGAGTTATTTCTGCCATAAAATCACAGGCACTTGAGACTCCAGACTTGTTCACATTTTGCTCTTGCCGGCTTCCCCGTGTAAGAGTTTCTTTCTTCGTTTCACTAGATGAGAATGAATGCTCCAATCCCAATGCCTGTGGCTCTGCTTCCTGCTACAATACCCTGGGGAGTTACAAGTGCGCCTGCCCCTCAGGTTTCTCCTTCGACCAGTTCTCCAGTGCCTGCCACGACGTGAATGAATGCTCATCCTCCAAGAACCCCTGCAATTACGGCTGCTCCAACACGGAGGGGGGCTACCTCTGTGGCTGCCCCCCTGGGTACTACCGAGTGGGACAAGGGTAAGGTGGCCTTCAGCCTCACCAACCAGAGGAACACATGGTTCCTGAGTGAGTTCAGGCCACCCACCACTGCAGGGGAGAGTACAGTGTCTAAAAACCAAGCCGCAGAACCATTGATTAGAGCTCTTAGGGTATGCAGATAAACACCAAGAAAGCACACACGGACTGTGCTCAGGGGATAGGATTACTTCCTTTGCGATGAGCATAAAACTTGAATTTGTATGTAAATATCACTCTTTGCTCCTGTTATTAAGGGCGTGAATTGATTCAATCTGACCCAAGGCCAGAGACAAGCAGACGTTTAAAAATCCGGCTCACATGTTGCCATGGATACCTGGGCTGTGAGGTAGAAGTGGAAATGGCCTTGCCACAGGTTCTTCTACAATTTCTGGAAGGTGCTAGCACAGTGATCACTGAGGAAAGAGTTTGTCCCTTTCTTTGCTCAGGTGGATTTTCTGTTGCACAGAGAGAGGATGGTGCCTAGTTTGATGTGGTGCCACTCAGCACAGGCCCGGCCCACAAGACAGGCTTCCCTCCAACTAGGCACACAGTCTCAAGTTCCAAGGGCTGTGGCCTAGGTGCTGGCCATTTGCATCCTTCCAGGAAGGCCGTGGTGCTCAGTGACAAAGAAGATGGGCATTTAGAGGTCAGTCCAGGTTGCCTTCTTTGAAAGGAGCATTGTGCAAGGCAGGGACTAAAAGGAATGGGCCAAGTCTGTCCAACAATAGTGTATGACAATACTTAAAACAAAAGGCTTGGTCTAGACAAAGGTCATTTAGAGCCAATTCATTGACTCACTAACCAAAATACAAGTTCAGAAATCTCAGTTTTTAAAGCAGGGAGCTTTGTTACAAGCAGCAAATACAGGCTTCAGGCCCCTGAAACAATGGAACCTCTCTTAGTGTTCTCTTTGGAAATTCATACCTTGCTTTTACCTTTGGAGTTAATTATGCTCAGTACTTCAGTCTAATTAGGACTGAAAATTGGGGAAGCACGGGGCTCACCCTCAGGAGAATTTTACTGTGTCAGAATAAGGGAAAATTTCATCTATTGTGTGTTAAAGAATTATAGGGGATGGTGGCTAATCCCTATAATTCCAGTACTTTGGGAGTCTGAGGTAAGAGGACCGCTTGAAGGCAGAAGTTGGAGACCAGCCAGGGCAACATAGCAAGACCCTATCTCAACAAAACATTAAAATTTAAAAAAATTAGCTGGATGTAGTGGTGTGTGCCTATTGTCCCTGCTAATTTGGAGGCTGAGGCAGGAGGAGCTCTTGAGCCCAGAAGTTCGAGGCTGCAGTGAGCAAGATCGTGCCACTGTACTCCAGCTTGGGGAACAGAGCAAGACCTTGTCTCTAAAAGAAAAAGAGTTGCAAAGAGTATTAGGGTTTTATGTTTATGAGTTTAGAGTTTGCTCTTTTGGTTTCGTGTTTCTGAAGAATCTGCTCTACCACTGGAAAACTATGGTCAAAGTCAGTGATAAAATCTAACAATACTTTGCTTTTTGCAAATAGCCACTGTGTCTCAGGAATGGGATTTAACAAGGGGCAGTACCTGTCACTGGATACAGAGGTCGATGAGGAAAATGCTCTGTCCCCAGAAGCATGCTACGAGTGCAAAATCAATGGCTATTCTAAGAAAGACAGCAGGCAGAAGAGAAGTATTCATGAACCTGATCCCACTGCTGTGAGTACATCCCACTTTGTGTGGCCACAAAATTTTATCCATATGGAGTCATGTAAACAGTGCAGTTCATGTCGTTTTCAGCCTCATTCAAGTTAATCATACCTTGAATTTAATGGATAAATTAATGGACCCAGTATGGAAAAGACAAGTACATTAAAATGATTGAATTATTAGATCAAAACACAAAGCTTGGGAGAAAAAACTTTTTAAGATTCACAGTTTCAGAGCATTTTCTTTTGTTGTCGTTTTTGATTTATGCGGGAGGGTATGTCCATCTAGGAAAGAGCTATTTTTGCATGATTCAAAAAATGAAATTATTTTTAATTTGTTCAGTTCTGTTTTATAAATGCATAGCATACAAGACTGATTTTAATTTTCACTAGGAAAACCAAGTAGGTCTCATATTCTTTGATTTATTTATAAGACAGCTGTTCCTGCATTAAAAACTTTTGTCTTCCAAATCACTTGTATTCTTTAAGGAACTGAAGTTGGAAATTGCCTGCCGCTGATATTTCCTTTCCCTAATGGCATTTTGGCAGTGTTTAAAGGGGTGGGCTGCAAACTACCTGGTTTTGGACATAATTCCCTGGCCCTCCCTATCTATTACCTCTGTTACATAGGGTGTGTGTATTTAACTTCTCTCAGCCTCAGTTTTTTCACCTGTAAAATGGGACTAATACTTACCTCTGAAGGCTGATGGAAGGGTTAATTGAATTGAAACACGTGAACTGCCTGGAACAATGCCTGACATATATAACCCACGTGTTCAGTTCCTGTCAATGATGAATATCTCATATCTAGAGGTCTTGATGATTTTCCCAAAGATCTGAGACAGCATGAGGTCATCACTCACCACTCTTTGCAGTTAATATGACTGAGAAATTACCCCACCAAAAAACCTAATCAACAACTAGCTGGCTGTGTGAATTGGACAACTTGCTTCAGTTTTATGGGCCTCAGAAACTTTGTCTATATGACCTGACTTCTCTAGCCAAAAAGTTTATGATGCTATTTTATAATAATAAATAAGTCAGTGTTACATTTACCTTAAGTAGACTAAGATACCCAACTGATGTTTAAGTTTGACAGTTGAGATATTCATCAAGTTCCCAAACTACAAATCCAGAAGTTCTGCTTATAAACTTTCCCATTGGGGTACTAGGATATAATCCTGCCTGAATACTGATGGGCACTTCTGGGTCACCATTGCCAAGCTCTTACTTAGCAGGTACCCAATCAAAGCACTGTGGTTTTTATCCTATCTTACTTAAATATCATTTGTACCCCTCCCAACCCTCTGAGCAAAAGTCAAACTTGGTTTATCAGGGCCCTGCCCCACTGGCTTTTACCAAAGATGCTGGTTCGAACTGGAGCCCTGAGAACTCTGCAGATCACTCACTCTGTGTACCTCTGATAGCTCCCAGTAAACTCACTCATCATTCACTTACCTTACAAATCAAAGCCCAGCCTTCAGCCAGAAGATTCCCCTGGGCGCAGTCCCTGCTGATGCCCAACAGCAGTACTTCTCATTTTGACTTCAGAAAAAAAAGAAAAATCATTACCTAAATTTTCTTTTATAAAAATTATTAATTAGCACAATATTTCATAAACTCATCAAAAAATCTTGAAATGTGAACACTCTGTAGGCCCAGTCCTGTAACTTTAATTACCTCATTAAGGCTGAGTGAGAAGTCATAAAGATTTACAGGGCATTCTCGATGGAATTGGCCTTTTCTTCCAACTGACAAAAATGTACAATAGCCTCTTTCACAGCCACTGCTGGTAAGGAGAGTGCAGAAAGCGGGAGTGGGAAGCCACAGCCTGTCCTTGTGACCAAAACCCCTGCAGCTGATCTCTTTCTAGTCCTCTGCTTGTGCTGTAGAAGCTTGTCCGAAATCATTTCCTGTTCTTCCTCTAGGTTGAACAGATCAGCCTAGAGAGTGTCGACATGGACAGCCCCGTCAACATGAAGTTCAACCTCTCCCACCTCGGCTCTAAGGAGCACATCCTGGAGCTAAGGCCCGCCATCCAGCCCCTCAACAACCACATCCGTTATGTCATCTCTCAAGGGAATGATGATGGCGTCTTCCGCATCCACCAAAGAAATGGGCTCAGCTACTTGCACACGGCCAAGAAGAAGCTCATGCCCGGCACGTACACACTGGAAATCACTAGCGTCCCTCTCTATAAGAAGAAGGAGCTTAAGAAACTGGAAGAGAGCAATGAGGATGACTACCTCCTAGGGGAGCTTGGGGAGGCTCTCAGAATGAGGCTGCAGATTCAGCTCTATTAACCCTTCACAGACTTGGGCCCAGGCTCAAATCCTAGCACAGCCAGTCTGCAAGAAGCATTTGAAAAGTCAAGGACTAATTTTAAAGAGGAAAAATAATAATAACTCTGTTTCTTTCCTCCCTGACTTAGACTTTGAATGTTGACCCTCACAGGGAGGGATAATTTAGACTCTGGTATGGCCAAAGATTTGAGCACAAAGGCAACCGTGGTTACTGTATTTTTTATATAACTTCATTTTAAAATATATTAAAAGAAACCTAAATGTTCAAGATATCAGCATATGGCACTAAATGCACAAAAATAATGTGAGCTTTTTTTTTTTCCCTGTTAGCAGTCTGTAACACTTTGGGTATTTTGCTATAGTTGCTAATTAAAAAAATATAGATGTTTATTTATTTTTAATGCAGTAATATATGGAGAAATGAACAAACTATGTAAACAAAAAGGGAAACTCACTTGTTTTTCTTTAGATTTATAAATTTGAGCTATTTCTTTTAGAGGTGCTTTTTAAAAATCCAATAGATACAAGAGATGTTTCCTTTGGTTTTCTGCCAGTCATCCAGCTGATACACACCTGATGATTTTAAAGAAAGCCACACAGAGCTGAATGGGCAGTGTAATCAATAATTTAAAAGACATGAATGTCATTAGATCCTTTATAACGTAGATCGAAGCCAAAGCAGCTCATTTGTGACAACATTTCACATCACCAGACACACCAGGCAACAGAAGATGAAGCACAACCACTGTAGCAAAATACCTTGACTGCTTGTGAGACCATTAGCATTGCAGGCCAAACCGTACTGTATTTCCTTCTCATAACCTCAAGGAACCACATGTGCTACCCACAACACCTCATTCTTACCCAGGGTGCGCTGCGTACTCATGGTACTGTAGGCAGCTGAAGAACCGCCGTTCCTTTGAAAGGGAACACCTGGCGTTCTGTAGTGTTTCGTGCTGTCTTAGACAATGGTGCATTTATTATGTTCAAGTTATTTCAGGATTGCCATATGTGCAAACAAATCATGCAGTGCAGCCAAGGAATATATGTTGTTGTTGTTGTTGTTTTAAACCCATTTTTTTTTTTTAGAATTTTCATTAATACTGTAGTTATACACCATATGCCTCATTTTATAGCCTATTGTGTATGAAAGATGTTTGTACAATGAATTGATGTTTAGTTTGCTTTAGTCATTTAAAAAGGTATTGTACCAGGACGTGCTATTAAGAGTACGTATCCATTATTCTTCTCAACCCAAGAACCTGTTCCCCTGGACCAGTGACCAAACCTCATATGTGAAATTGCCAAAGCACACGCAGACTCCCGGTTGTTTCTCTCAAACCTGTGCTGACCAAAGACGAGTAACCAGTCATACCCAGTGTTTTGAGGTTTTATTGTTTTTTTTTTTTTTAAACTAAAAAATAAAAGGAACAGTGTAAATTTGTAATCAAGAGTTTGTGAGGAAAAGCTTATGGTTTTTGGTTTTGTTTGTTTTTGTAGGTCTATGTATCAAATATGACACTTTTCTTGCAATAAAGCTTATTTTGGGGTAATTTTCTGGCTGAAAATTTTATGAGACCACAACCCCTGTTGTATTTGTGGGAGGGGCTGGGAGCTTTGCCTGTGGGAACCTGTATTAAAGTAACAGACAGACAGACAGACACACAGGAAAATAAAGGAATGCTGGCAAATCTGTGAAGCAAAGTCAACGTGTGTTCAACTGATGATTATGATTTGAAGTTACGTTCAAATAGAAGGACATAAAGTCATTTACTTCTGCATAAATTCTAAACTTCCTGGGACCCATCTTTCTGGAAACTTCAAAGAATTTCTTCACTTCATGCTAATGCCCCCTTAAAGTATCCATGAGGAAGTGAAATGTTCTTTTAGAGAATCTTACTTCTTTAAGGTAGAAATTTCCCGAACTCAAGTTTTTAATTTAAGGTAATAGTGGGCATACCCCAGGCCAAAAGGCATCTTCAAAAATAATCCAAACCTTATCTCTTAAAATGATGTATACTTTATTCAGTGGAGAAGTGGATAGATTTAACAAGTATTTAACATGAACTCTCTCTGATACACTGCTAAAACAAGCACAGAAATGTTTCCAAGACTCTTAGAGATTAATTTAATACATGGTTTAAGAATTTATGTGCTTAAATTTTTTATCCAAGGAATAAGTAAACAAGGAAATATTGTGACTGATCTTAATGCTGTTCTTTGCCAATCAGAAATTAGCTGCATGGAGTAAGAAAAGTATTTGCCTCAAGGCATCCTTTAAAACTTAACATGCGTATTCAGTTTCATCTGGCATCTATTACTGGTACAGCATGAGCACTGTATTATGAAATTACCTGGAACCAAATTTGACTCTAGCCTTGAGAGTTGAGCAACAACATTTAGTTTATCTTCAACTTGCTCCTAAAGAAGTTTGAGAATCCACATCCTTTTGGTGCCTTACATAGAAGATCAAAAATTGATGAGGGGTTTACAGAGAATAATGACATAGAAGGAAATGACCACTGCAAGACACTCCCAGGAGGAAATGTCTCAGGTACCTTTGGTAGCTTTGTTGCCATTTTCTTACTGTGAACACTGACACAATCACGATGAATTTGTCTTTCTCATAATGAACTGCTAATGATATTTTCTGCACTATGTTGTCATTCCCATGAATGTCCCATTTGCCCCAGAAACTACTCTGGCTAAGTTATAGAAAATCTTGCAGGAAAGTAAAGTGTGATATAAGCCCAGACACATAAACCAAATCCACTGGGCAGATGCGTTAGTTAATAAGCAATAATTTGGTCTTTAGCTGACATGAATTCTTTTTCTACTTGTATTTAAATTTGGAGTTTTAAAAAATGTAGCTCTGTTTAGTACCTTTTGCTTTTGCTACTTACTTGTAGTAGATAAAATTTGGGTATTTTTGTGCGTGAACATTGAATAAAATTCAGGGACAAAACGTTTAGAGTTACACTAAATTCAAACATCTGCCTTTTTGCATTATCTAGGAATACTAAACAGGATAATTCATACAGTCTTTCTCTTTTAAATACTCTAGGGTTTTATTTTGCATTAATTGCCTTCCTGGTTCACAGAATAAACACTTGGGGTTGAGGATGGGAAATACGACAAAAAATTATAGAGCATCAGTCTACTGGAGTCCTACAAACATTTAAGGAAACAAGGTAATTCATATATCACATTGAAGCATATGAATTTGCTGTTATTTGGCCATGTTTCACCTACAAAATGGGAATTTTATGTGGTTCAATTTAATAGTTCAGAAATACGTTCTTCAAGAATAGACTAGAAATGTGAACATATCCTTTCTCTTCAAAAGACAGTAATCCATTCACTCCTTTCTATGCCATTGTTGGCTCATTTGTACTCCTAATTTACAGTAGTCCACAAGAAAATATACGCAATTTATTCAAACAACCACTCTTTTTCAAGCTCTACAACACTGGAAAGAGTAAATCACACACCTTTGGGACGTCAATGGGATTATGGAAGCTGTTCAAAGACAAAGACAAGTCCATTGGGAAAGGCTGGAATATAGCATAGTGTTTTGTGTTTTTTTGTTTTTGTTTTTTCTTTTAAAAAGTAAAGGAAAAACTTGAGGAACTTTTACTTCTTGAGAGAGAAGAAAAGATGGAGATTCATTGCCACCCAACAGGAAGTAAGGGTGTCAACCATGTCTGCAATCTCATCCCAGCCTGAATATTGATTCCTTTTTTTTTTTTTTAAACACGCTTGCTTTCTCAAATAGATACAAAGCCATGGTTTTCTTGATCAACAGGAAGTACATGTTTCTGATCCCACGTCCTTTAAAATTATTTCAGTGTACAGAGCAGTGGAGTCCTAAAATACAATGTGAAGAAAGTTCTCTGAAAAGGAATTTGAAGAAAAGAGACTTTATTCCAGTGAATAGTTTGCAAACTGGGAAGATAACAGTTTCAGTGTAAAACAAAGGTGTGTTCCAGAAAACCGAAGATTCAGATTTTATCGCGAAAGGTCGTGCCCAGGTTCCCAATCAGGTTCATTTATGCAAATGAAGTATTCAAAATTGCTTAGTTCTGACTGGTTGACACAGATGAGTCCTGATTTGTCAAAATAGCTGAGCCCTGATTGGCAGGGGGACAGGTGAGCTCTGATTGGTTGGTTTCCAACTCCCAAATCCGAAGTCTCTGTCAAATGCTTCTTTCAAAGGGTTGATGCCAGGAGGGTTTCTGGCCACAGGTTATTTTGGCACCTATAAGGTATCCTTTCTGTGTCAGATGTTTTGCTAAGCTAAATTAAATGATGGGTGTTCATTAAATGTCTAGATCATTTCCAGGCAAGATGTAATTCCCTGTATGCCCTGGTCGACAGAAAGTGTGGATTATCCATGGATTCCCCATGACTAACTCAAGCGAGTTAAAACAGAACCAGGCAGCTGTGGCTGGGTGAAGGTCATGTACTTTGTGTTCTTAGAAAGATGTAAATGCACCTCCCTGACTATAATCAAGCCAAACCAGTTTCCGTCGTAGGTGCCAAGATAAACTGTGGTCGGACACATGATGCCTACTGGCCCTTTGAAAGGAGCAGCTGACTTCTGGTTTTGAGCTCATCTACCCTGGCCAATCAGGGCTTAGTTGTATTGACCAATCAGGACTCAATTGTGTTGACCAGTCAGAACAAGTTTGAATACTTTATTTGCAAAAATGGTCCTCATTGGGAACCTGAGTAGGACCTTTTGCTATTTCAAATCTGAACCTTCTCTTTGTGCTCTGAAACCACCTTCATGTTACACCAAAAGCTGCATCTTCACAGTTTGCAAATTATTACTGGAATAAAATCTCTCCTCCAAATTCCTTTTCAGAGAATTTTTATTCACATCGTTCAATTCAATTCAATCATTCAATTCACCCACTCAAGCAGTATTATCTTTTAGTTAAAAGAAATAAACTTTCAGCAGACCTGAATTTCAATTCCTTCTCCGTGGACAAGTTACATAACTTTTCTGAGACCTGGTTTCTTTCCTAGGATGATCTTTCCTTACACTGTGGCTGAGAGGGTTGAATGAGATAGTACAGGCAACGCCATTAGCATAGGGCCCAAGCAGATAGCACACATTCAGTAACTGTGAGCTGCTCTTCTTCCTCCTTCTACTCATCTTACTACCATCACTAGTAGAAGAATGAGCTCACATATCTACACAAAGCTCCTTTCTAAGCATGGCCTGGAACTACTGCTGTGTCATGGAATTGTAGGAACACATCCAGATAAATGGCAATCAGGAAAATTTTCTAAGTGGCCTGAACCTTTAGAAGTCCTGACGTGGTCGTGAGCGTTTATCGTCTCTACATCACTCTGCCCTTAACAGAATTGTAGGCATGATAGGTCAAGCTACAAATGCAGCGGGAGCCCTCCCATCTATAGACCCCCAGGAAATGAACCAATAAGAATATGGGCATCTGATCATCCCTTTGAGATGATTTAGTGTCGTTCAATGTTAGCACTAGAAAGGCTTTAGAGGGCCAGCACAGTGGCTCATGACTGTAATCCCAGCACTTGGGAGGTCAACACGGGTGGATGACTTGAGGCCAGGTATTCAAGACCAGCCTGGCCAACATGTGAAACCTCATCTTTACTAAAAATACAAAAAATAGCCGGGAATGGTGGTGAGTGCCTGTAATCCTAACTACTCAGGAGGCTGAGGCAAGAGCATCGCTTGAACCTGGGAAGCGGAGGTTGCAGTGAGCTGAGATCACACCACTGCACTCCAGCCTGGGCAACAGAGTGAATAAGACTCCATCTCAAAAGAAAAAAAGAAAGGCCTTTAGAAATCCAATCCTGTTTATAGGTTTACAAATGGGGAAAGTAAGGCCCAGAGTTGTAACACAGTTCATTGCAAAGCTAGTTTCTATCGAGGTGAGACAAGAATCCTGGTTGCCTAGTTGCAGTGTGGTTCTATTCATATTTCCACTACATGGTAAGCCTATTTGGATCTCTTTTAAACCCTAAGATATAGGCCAGTTCCCATGGTTTTGGCTCATCTTGAATCCAAAAATATTTTCCAAGCACGATTCAAGCACTGCTTTTTGTTTTGTCTCTCCCACTGTCTGTGTAACTGCTCCCAATCTCTTATAAACCAGAGAGTTGTGTATGCACTGAAATGCCAAGATATTGGCTGCTACATAGTAGGCCCCACCCCAATCCTGTACTTCTGTAAATACATATTAGAGCCCTGGCTCTCAAAGGGTTAAATGTTTTATTTAAACCAGACCTTCAAAACTTTAAAAACACATACACATTTGTTTTACTAAGAATGCTTAAGGAAAGTACACTAGTTGCTTGTGTTGCTTAATTGTCATTTTTTTTTTCCTTTTCCTGAGAGCCTAAAAAAGATATTACTAGATTAAGTTGGCTTACTTTCGAAATAGCCAAGAACCAACGGCTCCCATTAGTCACCCCCATTAGGGCTGCAGCTTATATGTCAGGATGTAGTATAGACATTTTCCAGAAGAAAACAGGAAAAATGCTTTACATGATTTTTAGAGCAAGC